AGCGGTTCAATCATGCTTGGCTTGTTTATATTTCTTTCATATGAAAGTTTCTTGTTTTGTTTTTCTCTTCATACTCATCGTGAGCAGCGGCGCTCGCCCAGGTTTCTCTGTTAATTTACCGTAAGCTGTTTCATGTGCTTCCGAGTGCACGTAGCCTCCTGCTCAAAAGAAGGGAAAAGCATATTCTCCCATCCCCGGGGGAAATAATTAATCCTTACAAGGCTGTCGCATGTTGAAGTGAAGCGAGTGTGAAGCATTTAGCCCAGGAGGCATCGCAGGCTGTCGCCCGCACAGGCACCTGTTGTTGTCCCTGCCCTACATTTCATGAGAGAGCACTGAGCAGAGGATAACAACATGCTTCACTGATGGCAAATAAAACACACAAAGCAGATGCATATCTGTGTGTGTGTGTGCATGTGTGGATTTGAATATCTACGCACTCCCTTTTGCCTGTTTTCATACATTATCTTTGCATGCACGACCAAGCTAGAGAGTTTGTACAGGTGCAGAGAACCCAACTCCTTCTGAAAGCTGAGGACTCACACAAATGCTGGCTGCCTCTGAGGGTGTTTATCGGCCAGCACCATCTGTATGCTGCCGCTCATTGCTATGATCTACTGCAGCCTGAACCAATAAGTCACAGAGTGCCCGTCTAGAAAGAGACGCTCCTTTAACCTCCCTGTCTTCTCTTATAGACTTAAAGCTCTGGAGGAGAGAGATGTGCGAGCCCTGCACATCAAACACTGTCTATAGCAGCTTGTGTGTGAGAGTGAAATGTTCTTTGGTTTGTGGCCATACTTACTGTAATCAACTTTGCTATAAAATTCCTACCGTGGAACTTTTTAAAGAGGAAGCCGGAATCAGAAGCATCCAGATGCTCATTTGCCTCCTCCTCCTCCACTTCTTCCTTTATGCTGTGGGCTCTAATAACCGGAAGCCTTTGTGGAGCTGAGATGGGTTTTGTAGGCCTGAAAGGCCTCTAATCCCTGTGGCCTGTGAAGTGTGAAGCCCTTTGATGCCAGGTCGGTGTGCCAAAGGCTCTGCCTATTGACAAACAAGGGCCAAGCTGGAAAAAAGATGGAGGGAGAGGGCTGTCTTCTCTTTCTCAGAAGAAACACAGGCAGAGGCATGAAAAATATAGGGCTCAGTCAGTGAGAAGGAATAGAATTAGCTACCCTTTAATGAATTTCCTGGCTTTTTTATGGTTTTTTTTTTCTTCATGTGGCAGTAATTAGGTGGAATGATGGGCATATTGCAGCTGGGGGCTTGTAGGGCGGCCCTTGATATGCCTGAAAGCCAAGTATCTCTCCTCATTTAGACCATGTGATGATCAAAGATGTTTTTTTTTTCTTTTTTGCCCTCATGTAAAGAAGATCAGAAAAAAATGCTACCATTCCATTTGCATGTGGACCTGCAATGTGCTTTGAAATGTGCATGTTTTTCTCTTCTGAGCAAATGAAATAAGTCTTCTGTCAGTTTTCCACCGCTAGTCAGAACATCAAAGCAAATGACAGCGCAGTCATGAGGGAAGCCGGGCTCTGCCTCGCTGAGGTTGGTTAGATCTCAGATAGGTTGGTCTGCCACGCTCACACCAGCCCATTAGGGCGTCACCCAATTCCGATTGAAGCCAAGTCTCTGATGCCAGCTTGTTTTTATAAATTCAAAGTGAAATTTGAAGTGTAGGGCTTCTGATTTAAAACGTGCGTTGTCCACTGGAGGAACAAACCTGCTAAATTTAGCTTGGGATGTGCACAGTCTCGCCCTTCTGCTTTTAAATTCCTCATTCATTTCCTTTACGATATGGATCTTGTAGATTTAATCATTTTCACAGTCTGGAAACCCAAAGGGTTGTTGAAATGAACTTCCCATGATATCCATAATAGGAGCAAAGAAATGAGAATGGTGACTACTTGGCTGTGGAGTTTCTTTAAAATGATTTTGCAATTGGAAAGGAAATGGAGTGCGTCCCAGTCACTTGCTGCATCCGGCAGACGCTCCTTAGGAAGTCGGGATGCTTGCTTGCAGCACAACCATGGCAGTGAGTTGTTGGGGAACATTTTTTAGCTTTTGCATCAAAATGTCATTTTTGAGGAGGTTGCAAGTCATTCGTGGCAGCTGATGTATTGTTTGTAAATTGAGTTATTTTGCCAGCCCCCACGTATATATATATTTTGTTACATTGAGCTAAGTAGCCATGAAATTGCCTGAATAATGTCGTTTAAATCCAATCTCACCACGGCCCGTCACCTCCATACCCAAGCACCAAAACAATGATACATGGTGGGCTTTTTAGAAATAGCATTTTTTCCTGTTTGCCACCTCATTTTACAGTGGCCAAGTGTTGGCTCATTGACCGAGAGATGTTAGTCTTACTCTTTACCTTCAGTGGTGGATTGAAATGATTGAAATGAGTTTGGGAATTGGCGTGGAACAGAAAAAAAATACAAATATTTACATGCATGCATTTTTAATGCAAAACTCGTGGGGTTTGCATGTATTTGCCTTTTTCAGTTTCAGTATTTATGTTCATACGATTAAAATGACGCAGGGCAGTTTCCTGCTCCTCCTCCCTACTGGTTGAAAGTGGAACTACAACTGTCGTAAACAACCCTGCTGCAGCCTGCTGTATAGCTAGTGCTAACAATGCGCTAACACTATGAGCCAACTAATACAAAAATAATCCATGAAGTAAAAAGATCCACACTGTTCGACAAGTCCAGTAGCAACAAAGCCAGTCCGTGATTTTGCAGTCTCCTTACTCCCTCAAGCTAGTGTAGGCCGCGCCAATGTTCATGTGGTTCTAGCTCTTTGCTTCACCACCAAAGACGTTTCTCCCTTATTTTTTTTCCAGGCTCTACCATGATGCCAACAGAAAAAGAAAATTTCTGTTTCTTCTTCTTGTGCTTTTAATTGACAATCGGTGAACTGAAAAAGCTAACTGCTAGCATTTCAGCTAACAGCCGTAAAGCAGGTAAAATGCACCCCCTAGGACACCTACCTGCTCAACAAAACTATCAAGTGTGGTTTTTGGTCAGTAGAGGGCTGCAGAGTGGTGTCAAGAAGGAAACTGGTCAAGTTTCTAATCCAACAATCACTGAGATCAATGTTAAAGCTCTAGCTTAAAGGTTAAAAAACTATCTATTGTTACTTTAAATTGGACGTATTTATTTTTTCATCATGAAAGCTAACTTGTCGTTTTGCTTTATTTAGATAATGAAGCCTTAACTTATGCCTGTTTTTTACATTTTGGTCAAATATTTAGTTTAAGACTTTTCCAAATTAACTTTTCTTTCAGAATATTTACCTCAACCAAGTTAGTAAGATTTAATTTGTAATTTTCAGGTGGTGGGGTGGAGGCAGTGTGGAGGTGGGGCCCATTTCTTAGTACTCCTGGACTAAATAAATGTGGAAATTTAGTGGCCAAGGGTAAGACCCAATAAGTGATACCACTTATAAATCTCAAATGTGCCACTGCAATTAAACAAGCTTTTATCCCCTCCCCTCCTTCCCTCCATGCCTGGTACCAAGGCTAACCCAATTCAATGCTGAAGAGAGTCCGAATTAATTTCACAAAGCACTGATTTAACAGCGCCGGAGGTACCCGGCTTTGACAGAATGAGTTTTTAAAAAGATTCATTTGTCTAGGGATGTACATCCACAGGAGGGAGTGAAAATGAGATGGAAAGAAAGCTGAAATGGAGGAGGGGTGTGATGGAACATAAATGAATACCAGTTCTCATTTACAGCTTTAAAACTATCTTTGGGTTGTTCTGAAGTGTAGGCATAGTTTTTTTTTTTTTTTTTTTTTTTTTTACTTCAGGTCTTTGTAATAAAAATATTTTTAAATTATGTTTGAGTGGAGTCTCAAGTTCAGCTCAGATTCAGGGTTCTTTTACGATTCATAAAACAAGCTGAGCATCAAATGTCTTACAGCCTTTTTGGTGTTCTGTGGTTTATAAATTAGCTTAATCTGAGATCTCACAACCGCCCACTTTCAATAATAAAAACACAAATGAGGGTTTAGTCAGGAGCAGCTATGGACTAAAAAAGCAAGCTTTTTTAGGAAAACGTTTCTGAATAAAGAATCAAAAGAACAGCTGTGCAGAACATCATTACATCTGAGAGGCAGTGGCTGCATTTAGTTTTATCAGTTTTATTTTATTATTTTTTTACTTTCATGTAAAGCAACGCTCATGTTTCCCTGCTTCTCCATCCTACTGATTGAAAGCGGAATTACAACTGTCGTAAACAACCCTGCCGCAGCTTGCCAAGCCATTAAGTACAAAATCTACATTGTTGCAACAAAGCCAGGTCACCATCAGTTCGTGATTTCAACCCAAGTGTCCTCCATAACTTAAGCTCCCTCAAACGAATCCAGACAGGGTTGATGTTCACTCTGGCTTTAGCTCTTTGCTTTACCTCCAGAGACATAACACTTTTACTTCCAGGTTTTGCCATGATGCCCACAAGAAAAGCAAAGTTCATGTTTGAATTCTTGTGCTTTTTATCGATTGTTGGTGAACTGAAAAATCAAAATGCTAGCTAGCCTTTACATTAGCTACTGGCATAGGAAATGGCAAATATTCATAAAGCAGGTGGCAAGCTCCACCTAGAGAACCTTCCCGTCCCAAAAATTGTTGAAGTTTTGTTTGTGGTCAGTGGAGGGCTGCAGAGTAGTGTCCAATATAAAGTTGGTAAAGTTTCTACCTCAAGAATCACTAAAATCTCTTTAAAAGCAATAGTTTTAAGTATTAAGAACTCTTTAGTGTTGTTCTGTAACTGAGGTGTCTGTTATATTATTTATATTTTGAGGTTACAACCGTACACTTTACACTTAAAATGCTGTTTATTGCAAAGAACTGATGGATCTGGTTTCGTCACAGGCTTCTTTGATAATGATGCAAGTTAAATCCAGGTCAATAGTTGTACATTCAACCTTTTGTGATTTTAAATCATGTATGTTTATTTTACTCATGCTCTTCCTTCTGTTTGTCTTTCAGGTGACCTGCTGGTGCCCACACACACCCCGCGCTACCCAACTGCGGCAGAACTCGATGCTTACGCTCAGAAGACTGCCAACAGCCCACTTTCCATCAAGATCTTCCCCACCAACATCAGGGTTCCCCAGCACAAGCACCTTAACCGGACTGTGAATGGATATGACACCACAGGGCAGCGCTACAGTCCTTACCCGCATCTTCACACAGTGGGGTACCAGGGTCTCCTTGCTATTGTCAAGGCCTCATCATCATCGTCATCATCCTCCACTTTTGGACCTTCAAAGAGTGTTCTCAAGAATGCAGAAGGTAGACGGACTAAGCTCTCTCCAGCCCACATAGCTGTTGCTCCATACCCACCTCCAAGTAATAGCACTTTAGCCAGTTGTCATGGCCAAATGGTATACCACACTGGGCCCTCAAAGCCCCCAGACGGCCCTGGGTTGTCGGTTCCTCCAAATGTCACTGTCGCCGGCTCTGTGATTCCTGTAACAGGGGGCCGAGGCCTAGCCCTGCCTGCACAGTCCAACCTCCCCTCCATCCAGAGTATCATCTACCAGATCAACCAGCACTGCCAGGCCCAGGCACTGCAGCAGGTGTGTCATGGGGCTTCCGCACCAACAAATCCCAGCCCCGCCAAGCAGGGTACGGCTGTCATGGGAGTCACTTCTAGCTCCTCAGGTGGCTACGTGGTGGGTATGGGTCCCCAGGCTAACATGGTGTACACAGGATCAGGGCTGCCTGCCCAAAGTGCAGAGGCAATGAAGAGTGGAGTGTATGCAGATGGTATGGACTACATCATTTGGCAGAAACAGCAACAACAACAACATCAACAACAGCAGCAGCAACAGGCTGTTCTTCGTATGTACAGTGGAGGCAGCGGAGGAGGAGGTGCCATCAGCAAGTCTCCTGAAACCTGTGTTCCAGGTGGAGGAATTATGGCAGCCCAAGTGTCCTCCTCCTCCTCCAGACCTTACCACCTGACAGCGAGTGCCAGTGGAGGAAACGGGCTAGAAAAAGTCAGCTCCTCCCCTTTGAACTGCGTGGGTATGCATGGGAACTTCTCAGTGGGTCAGTACTTTGCACCGCCATGGAACAGTGTGCTGGTGACCCCCGACAGTGACTGCTACAACCCCCAGGAGCTTCTAGGTACCTCCACAGGAGGGCCAGCGACCGGGCACAGAGAAATGGGCTACCCTCATCACCACTACCATCACCACCACCACCACCACCACCCTGCCATAGACAGTGGTGGAGGTCTGTGCTGCAGCCTGCCAAGCAAGAGCTTGTGCAACACATCCGTTCTGAGCAGCAGCCTGCAGTCTCTGGAGTACCTGATCAACGACATCCACCCTCCCTGCATCAAGGAGCAGATGCTCGGCAAAGGCTACGAGACTGTGTCTGTGCCACGTCTGTTAGACCACCAGCATGCACACATCCGCCTCCCTGTTTACAGATAGAGGAGGAGCAGAATCATCAGATGTGAGTTTGTTGAAGAAAATCAAAGGAACAGAGAAGTTTTTTTGTTGATGCGGTACAGAACTGTTGCGAGTACCACTGCTTTAACCAGTGTGGGAGCTTATAGAAGAGCAGTCGTCGTGCTGTTTGACCTTCGATGTGGCCAAACACAAAAGGTGGTAAAGAAAAGGGATTTCAAGATTATCCTGATGTTCCATTGTGTGGTTTGCCAATAGGACTTTTGGATTGATTTCCTTTTTTCTTTTTTTGTTTTGATATGATTTCCTTTCTAAAACTGGTTTTGATGAGAATCTTAGCTCGACATCAAGTGCACACGTCACTTGTATCTCCTTTCCAAATGCTAAGGATGAAGCTACTGTGTAGGTTATCACTGAAACGGTCCTAAAGGACCACGGCTTAGGGCTGTTTAGAAATCCCCAAAAATTTCTGACAGAACGCTCGTACACACCCAAACACAGGCTGATGAATGAGAAGAGTACGATGATGAGCAGTTCCCGGGTGTTCTACGTTTGAATTTTAAAGGGTAGTACGATATTAGCTATTGTTGCTGTAATTGATAAATTAATTGCACTGCTTGAATTTTGTTAACTTTGAAGTTTGGAATTGGGTAGTTTGCATATGATATATTTAAGAAACTTGAAAAACTTGAACCTATTTTTTGTTGTTTGATATATTTGTAGGTATATTATTGTATTGGCTGCTACGAGGAAAAGCATCTCAATATTTTTTCTTCTTTTTAAAAAAAATCAATATTGTATTGTTTTCCACTTTTTATGTTTATGAGTTAATAATTCCTCCTCAAGCTGATGTGCAGTTTCTTATGTCCAGGCCTGAGACATAGCTGCTGCTTTGGTTCTGTAAGAACCTGTTCCGAGAGCTCTTCTTTTATGTTAATTTTTGAACCAACACTGGAATCTACAATAAATCTTGAAATATTTACAAAAAAAAAAAATTAAAATAAAAGAAAATGTGGTTTTAAAAAAAGTACAAGAAAAGGAAATGTAATGAAGAATGTGACGGGAGGTTATCTGTGTAACCCGGCGTTCGGGACCGCGTGTGGCCGAGTGCATGAGTGTTTGTTGATTTAAGTTTGTGTTTCTTCAAAATCCTCAGACTTTTTTTCTTAATTATCCTTTTATTGTGTCATTTTCAGATTTTTTTTTTCCCACAAAGACTGACTGATTCACCAGTCCCATAAATATTCTGAGGGAACTAACCTGCTTTACATGGAGGCTTTAGATTTTGCGAGTCAGAATAGAGACTTTAGTTCCATCTTGAATCCTGCGTTTCCAGCACCGCAGCCTTCTCTGTTCTCAGAATAGAAGACAGCGCTGGAAACAAACGAGGGTCACTCTCCACTCCTAATCTTTGCAAATAAAAACAAAATGAAAACAATCATGCTCTGTCCTTAGGCATCAGATGAAACAAGAATAAGTTCTCCTCTTCCACCCCCCTCCCACCGTTAGGACGCGTTTAGCCTAGGCCGGTCTTAACTTGATAAATCAGAGAGGTGAAATATTTATGACGACTGTGAGATTCCCTTGAATGTACTGCACTTAAATTACCGTAATATTGTATTGCCTTGTAGGACACGAGTGAAAGAGAAAACTGCATCAGTCCTCTGGTCTTAAATCGGGATTTTTTTAAATTTCATTTTTCATTGTCAAATTTGAATTTATCAACTGGAAAGCAGAAAACACGAGCTTTGATGTGGGGAAATACTGGTATCTGTCTAGATTTATGAAGTGCAATTATTATGACTGTATTAACATTTTTTTCTCTGAGCTTATACCAAAAAATGTAAACTACAGTTGTCAATACATTCCCAATGTACCACATCCCTAACCCCTACCTTTCTTCTGCTTTTGTTTTAAGGTGTAAAATAAATTTCTTTAAGAATATATTCAGAAACCACGTCTCGGCTTTGAGGTCTGTGATTATTATCATTTGGGACATCGGGGTCTTGGTCGATTTTCTGTCTCCGTTTGTATTCTGTAAGTTTAGCTTTCCAACATGTGATCTTTTAAGCTGTGATAAAAGAAACAAAAGGGGGACAAAGTAATAGATATCCCTTTAGCTTGACTATAACCTTTAAATATTCTGATATTTTAAGCTAAAGAACTCTAAGCTCCTTGGCTTAAATTTGCATATAAACCTTCTTAACATGATTTTTCCCGCCGTGTTGTTTCAACAGGCTAATGCTTCATCCACAGTCTGATTCAAGCACATTTTTCTGTCTAGTAGAAATATTTTGACAGATCTACAGATGCATCCCGTCCCTAAATCCCTTCTTTTTGTCTTCTGCAACCGAGCATTAAACCCTGTCACATGGTGTCGGAGTGAAGAGGAGACACTTGAGGCAGCGGAGTTTCCAGTGTCTGGCCTTTCCTACCAGTGGAAGTCTGAGGCACTAGCGGGCCTCTCGGCTAATAGAAATATTGGGTGACGTCTGGCTACTGGACACTGCCAGAGGAGAGTATTTGTCCAGTCAAAGGGCTGAAATCAAACCCTCCAAGTAGCGAGGGATTTCCAAAAAGGAACTAAAAGCAAAAAACAAATAAAGATGTATTATTTAGCACAAATGATTTAAAGGATTTTTGTTGAATGTGTATAAAACGGTCCAGTGTGTCTGATCACTATTTCACTTTGCAAGGCTCCAAGCTGTCTGCCCCCCCCCCCCCCCCCCCCCCCCCCCCCCCCCCCCGGCATTTTACACACATTAATGAGCTCCTGTTGATGCATCTTAGGCCTGCCAATGTGGTCCATTCCACCATTCCTCATCTGGACAATGAACGCTTAGCCCATATTAGGATAATAGAATTAAATTTCAAATAGATTTCTGCTTGAGCTGATCCAGCCACGGCTCACTCAGCTGCAGAGTGGCATATGGCATGTCATTATCTGAGCCCCCCAAGCCCACGCACGCACCCACCAGGGCCAGCAGGGTTCAGCGGTGCTTAAACAAACTAGAGGTTAAAACTTGAAGGGGAGGAGGACCGTGGGGCTCTGGGAGGTGGTGTGTGTCTGTGAAGGGGGACGTCTCAGATGGCCCCAGCACCTCTCCATGGCGCCCTGGCTCTGAGGTCCTGTTTTTAAAAAGCTGGGCTACGCTTGATGGGGGGGGGGGGGGGATTATATGCTTGTTCTCTCCGTGGCTGGAGGGGCCCTGTGCAGCAAGACAGGAAAGACTCGAAAAAGATGTAGAGATTTTGGGGTCAGAGGATCCCTGAGGCATCAGTTCTCAGGATAATTGTCATGTTCCTGTTTCTGTTTCCTGTCTCCACATCTTTCAGTTGTCACTTTCTAACAGAAACTAGACTCACTGTGCTTCAAAACTTAAGATCTCATGTTTCATTAACTTTTTTTTATTATTTAGGAGGAAATAATGCACACGTGGTGCTGTGGAGGGATAAATCACAGCAGCACCCCCGTGTGAACGAGGACATTCAGATCTATAACTTATCTCTGTGGTTACAGACTGCTATTGACTTATAACGTGTTTTCAAGGGCAACGAGACACTCGTGGGGATGTGTGGAGGGCAGAGTGTATGGGGGAAGTGACTTATGCGGGTTGTAAAAATCCCTTAGTAAATCCCAATAAGTCCATGAGGACCTTTGGCCGGCGTAAAGGTCTAGTCGCATATTATGCACCTTAAATACTTCTGAGAAGAAGCTGTTCAGAGCAGGGTCAGCTCTTTCACTAAGAACAGAAGGGATGAGACGGGGGAGAACTGAAGTAAAGGCAGCTGCTCATGCTGCTTCTCTAACCTGCAGATGATGGGTATGTGTGGTGGAGGAGGGGTTGATAGTCCTCCACATCCCTATGGTCAACCCCATCCTGTCTCCTGGCTGTCCTTCTTAGGGTTCCAATCTCAGCTCTTCCCAGAATTCCTCTCTACCATCTATGGAAGGACGAAATCACGCAGACGGTCCTCTCTGTTTCATACCTTGTAAGAAAAGACTTTAATCAATAATTCAGATGGTCCTAAGGAGGCCTGTACAGTTAAACCACCAGCCTTAAAGCTCTGTTGCACAATATTAAAGATGTGTTTTGAGTCACAGTTTGAGCACATCTCTTTGAGTGCGGCAGGAGAAATCCTGATGGGTCAGACGTGAGCGGCACAGAATCTAAATGTAGTTGTTAGTATTTATTAGATGTACCACAAGGTAAAAATCAGCACAAGTGATAAAATTAATCTGGACTTTCCCCCAAAGGCACAGCTCCAGAGCCCTTTCATTACTTTCTTTTCTAAAGAGGCAATGCAGTATGGTGTAATTCCAGGAGCTTACAGCGTTTTATTTCTTCATTGTCACAGCTTCAGCTGAAAAGCTTATGGCCTCCAAATATTCATTTGGATTGTGTGGGTCTGTTACTGGATCTAATATAAATGCGAAAGTCTGGGGATTTTGCTTTGTTTTTCCTTTTTTGGTGAGTTGTTTTTTGATTCCTTTCACTGTTTGTATGGCTCTCCAAATTATCCTGTGGACAGACGGGGCTGTTTTGTTTTTCTCAGATGATCTCAACAAGTGCACCAATGCTGCCAAAGTATGAGGGTGCTGCAACCTTGAGAAAATAATATATATGGAAATGGGAAATCTATAAAGCATCTCTCTTATTGTTTTCCCTGCAGTACTGTGTTTAAAAATGATTTTGTCTCCTCAGGATGAAAAAAAAAACAGTGTAAGGAATACATTGCTTTCTTCTTTTGAAAACGATAATATATGAGTCTTAGATTTAAAAATAAATAAGTCTAAATATGAAGAAAAGCTGTAAAATCCTTTAGTTGTGGGGTTTTCAACTTTTGAATGTGCCTACAGCCAAGCATCCCAGCAACCGCTTATACCTTCTCCTGTTCTGCAATCTCCCCACAACCATCATCTTCAATTTGCTGAAACTGCCACTCACTCCTCCATCCCAACCATCACAGTAGATTTTTGTCTCTTCTCTGCTTTTTGTCAATCTCAGGTCTGAAATTTCTTTACTTTACAGTAGATGGCTGTTTTTCATTTGACCTTTCCTCTCTTATGTATTATTGATTGACATAAGGAAATAAAGCAGATGACTTCTATGCTTGTCTACTTTGCTTCTTTCTGTCTTAAGCAGTTGGACTATAGCCCTTCCCGTAACGCAGGTAAGCATATTAGTCTTAGGATTCAGTTTGTGCATCACCGCCATATGCCTGCTTTGGCAATCTTGTTGTTCACTTGACCTTTTTCACCCTTACACCAGGAGCAACCTCACCTTAAGGAAACAAGCTAATTACTGTTAATCAACGTGCACAAGCTTGCATTTAGCAGAAATTTTTTAAAGCATTTATGTTGGATTTGCCTTTTTTAACAGATCACCTAGTCTTTCCAATAATTTTGCAATAACTGACTATAAGTACTCAATGTGCTTGACTCAAATTAAAGATGTGGTTCACAGGGGTGCACCTTTTCCAGGAACTAGCAGTTCCTCGCGAGTAGAATGCCGGTTTTGGTATCTTATTTCCTGGTATATATGAGCATCTCGGTTCTGATGGGATAACAGCAATCTACCTCTGACTCTCAACACAAATGTTTCATAACCGCAAATAACACAAGCCCTGAGGAGGTCTGCCATGTGGTGAAGTTGCTAATGCTAATGATTAGCTTCAACTATTCAGGATGTTTGTTGCTTTTTGCCGGATGCTAAAACAATAACAGTCTTCCCCGTTGTGTGTCAAATGAGTGAGTCCATCAATGTTAAGTGACTGTGTGACGTAGATCTGTCAGCATTTATAAATCCTAGAGTTTCACCATCTATTTTCTCTCAAAAGCTATTGCAGGAGATAGGTGTAGGAGACTATTTTCATGTTCAGCCTGCATTAAAAACTCAGTGACCGATTATATTAAGAAATAATCATAAAAAAATGGGTTTCTGTGAACCACACCTTTTCAGCTGTTGCTTTCAAACTGATTTCAGTGGTTCTTAAACCAAAAACTTGAGCAACTTCACATTGAACAGCATTCTGTTGACCAGAAACTGTAGTTAACAGTTTAGTAGCATGGGTAGGTATACTAATGGGAGTGCTTTACTGCAACAACTGTTAATTTTTCCAGTAGCTTATAGAAAAGCTAGCTGTTAGCTTTTTCAATTAGCCAACCATCAATAAAAAGCACAGGAAGAAGAATGTTGCTTTTTTTGTTGGCATCATGGCAGAGAAAAGTAAATGAGTAATGTCTTTGGAGTCAAAGCAAAGAGCTAAGTAGTTGCTTCATGTTAGCGTTAGCTCATTGTTAGTGCTAGCTACAGCAGTCTGTGGCAGGGTTGTTCACCACAGTTGTAATTCCACTTTGAACCAGTAGGGTAGAGGAGCAGGAAACAAATTCAGTGTTGCTGTAATAGCTATGGTGGATTAACTTTGCATATGGAGCCCCACAAACCTCCATTCTGTGTGTGTAACAATATAGGTATTCTCGAGAACTCATCACAAGACACTTTTCTTTCTCTTCTCGCTCCCAACCTCTCCGCCCACCTAAAACATCAGATAAGCCACAGACTGATGAGCCAGCCGCCTCCACCAGAGCGTGTGGTACTGGGAGACAGCACACTGATTTCATACACGCTCGCTCAGACAGAAAAAGAGCTCCATGGAGCAGAAATGCTTCTCTTATTAGCAAAACTCATTCACCTGCACGCCACATTGAGTCCCTTGCAATTTCACAATAAATCATGAGAGATGCTAACGGAGGCCGAGGGAGGGAAGCGAGCCGAACGCTCCGCCACGGCCGTGCCCTCGCCTGTCAGTTTAGACACTGTGAATCATTTCGGGATCAGTGGCCTCATTTTAACTTATATGAACTGAAAGGTCATCTCACAAACCAGCTGACCAATATGTCTTCCAGTGGCTGCTCATTCTAATCAGATATGTCACAGGTTGGTGCAATATTTAACTGAGGGATCATGGGAAGAATTATTCAGAGAGTGGAAAATGTATGCATCCACTTGTTATAAAATGCAAGATTCACAAGTGAGGGATTGAAGTTTCCTCCTTCTGTGTCAGGCTGCTGGACTTTGGACAATAACAATGTTACATGAAGCTCTAAATCAACCTGAAGTGTTGTTTATTGAAATAAGAATGAGTTGGCCTGAATCCAGTATGGTGTCCTCTCCCGACTCAGCAGCCTAAACACTTTAAAGCTTAACTGGCTGGACAATAGCTGAACAATTTGTACCTCCAATACCTAAGCTAGTTAGTCTACCCTAACACCTCCTGCATGAGGCCTTACCTTTCCCTTCCACCACATATACCATTACAACGTGATCCTGCCTGGCTAACGTTTGGTTTGTTGAGACACTTTTTGTGGCAGCCAGCACACGCCTGCTACAAGCGGGTGAGCCATTTTGTTAACAGCTCACACTTCCTGTGCAAGCATGTGGTTCCAGAGTTGCTGACAGTGACACTTGCAGGACCGAGCCCTGCCCTACTTAACAGGCTGATGGGAGGAGGGCAGGCCAAGTTGTCAGCAGCGCTAGGTGCTCACTGCTCAGATAAACCTGGAGGATTAGTGGCCCAGTTAAAGTTGGGGCAAAGAGGATTAGCCTCTTCTCTGAGGTGGCGAGAGATTCCCCGTGTCCTTCAGCACTGCTGGCCTCGCTGAGGAGAGACGAGGGAGAAGGAGGAGGAGGAGGCCCTTCGCCATCATTAATGTGAAAATCTTCAGAGGAAGAGGAAAAGTGAGGCGTAATGATGAAAGGTGAAAGGCAATGATCCCGTTCGTAAAGTGTTGCCAGCTTGTAGTATCATTAGGAAGCAAAAGGCTCATAATTACTGGCCAGGTGTTCAGGGGACCTGAAGTCTTCTGTATACAATATTTCATAAATGTCAGATTCAACAAACTTGTTATGGAGCCTCTGACAATTCAATATTTGCAAAAATAAATGTGCAATGTACAGTGTATATATATATATATATATATATATATATATATATATATATATATATATATATATATATATATATATATATATATAAAACAAACAGACATGGTTCATGTTTGTTGTCATTCCTAATTCGGTGCAAAATTCAGACCTCTGCTGCCACCAGCAGGACATGGAAGGAGCTGCAGATGGTAAATGATGCGAGCTGGGCTCTACAATCTTTACACTGGAAGAAGACTTTATCAAAATTTGTCCTACAAAATAAAATTTGTATTGAGCTGCAAAATGCACCAGACCTTTAATAGCACTTTATAAAGTTTTTTTATTCATATGGATCCCACTTTTTATTACGCTGACATCTTGGATTAGGTTCTTTGTATTCAAGCAAAAAAGAATGAGCTATGGTTTAAAGCAGGTAAAAGTGATACAAATACACCTAATGCCTTTAAATAAATAAATATTTTTAAAAATGAGGTTGCTAATTATTTATAACAGAAATTTCCTCACAAGCCTTTGATTTATGATCCCAGTGTTTTAGACGTTTCCTTTGGTTTAAAAGTAAATAGCTGCATGGTACTGCATCATATTGATTTGTTTTGGGGGGGGTCTAGTGTGCCACATGTGGCCTCAGTGCTACAGGTTGCAGACTTCTGTTTTAGAGGTTTGGATTCTGTAAATGACACAGATGAATACTTTATTTTAAAGGTCTCAAATGTAAGAAATAATCCAACTCAACAGCATCTTAATTATCTAAATAGATGTTTAATACACAGCCATAATCCACAAAAAAAATAAAAATTAAATTAAAAATCACTTTTACTGATTTCAACCTTCCTGCCTAAATGCTCAGACTTTTTATTAAGGTGCTCATTTAAATGGATCCTACATTAATGGTGAAATAAAAGAGCCACATGGATATTAAACATGACCAGTGTTTACTTCTCTGTGATGCTATGTACAAAAATTATAAACAAAAATGAAAAAAAAGACAGAATGTAAAAATGCAAAATAAAACAATGCATGGAAATGTAAACAGAGCACAATGACCTGTGACCTTCAAACTAAAGAGAATTTAAGAAAATGACCTGCAGCACAATAACACACACATATGCTACTTTGCTACGCACAAAAAATAAACAAAAATTAAAGCTTTGTGGGGCAAAGAGCCAACTGTGATGAAAACGCTGCAGCAAAGGGGGGAGTGCATAATGGCAAGAGCTGATTATGCAAACACCCCAGCTGCAAAGGAACAATAACTCTGCAAATTCAAAGACAATCCCTAACACGAAGGACTATTGTCCCACATTTGCATATTTGTTTGACAACTCTAACCTGCTCATCATGCCCATCTTGTGCAGAATACTGTCTTTGTGTTCATATAATAATGCACACATCACAAACTGGCATAGAGCATTGTTGCTGCTCAAATGACAGCTGTTCTGCCTGAGCTGGTAGCTCCAGCCCGTGCCTTTCAAAGTAGAGTATTTAATTAATACAGAACAGAGAAAATATATACTTGTGTAATATATAAATAATTTCTACAATCTGGATCACTCCACCTTAAAAGCAAACATCATAAAAAAGTTCATCTTTACGACAAACTTGAATGAAATGTAAGGCAAGCAAAGTTGATTTTTAATTTCTAAATCTAAAAATGTATTAAAATATATCTACTAACGTGTTTATATATGTGTGTGTGTGTGTGTGTGTGTGTGTGATTGCAGAGCTAATACGATTATACCATAAAAAACATGTTAGAAAACCCAACAAGAGCCGTGGATGTTAAAGTCCCTGAGTGGTCGGTCGCCCACTGATGCAAAGGCACAGAACCGTCTGGAAATGGGTTTTCTGTGGGTTCTTAAAACACTAAATTCAGTTTGAATTCTAAATCAAGTTTTTAGTGTTTTCATCTGTATTTAGAGTAGATATCCATCCATCCATCTATCGCCTATACCTGCTTGTCCAAGCAGGGTCGCCGGGAGCAGGTGCCTACCTCCAGTAGTCCTATCTCATAACATTTTATTCCATCTCTAGTAAAGTGTTGCATTTATTTCATCTACCTACAAACTAATAGCATCAGCGATATTTGTAATGTCTTCTTTTCGTCTACACCCTATATTATGACTGAAGCTGTCAGTGTCTGAATGACAGCGGCTCCATCTCTACCACCAACTCGCTCGCTCGAGGACTTTTACTTAACTCCACCACTCGCGGGACCACCGTAGTCCAGCGATCTGAGGAAGAAAATTTTATGGGTCTGAGTTTGAGTTAAAACCACATCACAATTGTCTATGCTTGTCCACAGTAGGAATCTCACCTCTCCTCAAGGATCTGCCACCTGGATGTGACCCAGTGGTTTGGCTGGTCTCACTTTTACCTGGATCCTCGTTGATTATTGCCAGGTTCTGGTTCCAGTGACACCAGTTAACCTCATCCACCCTGAGGTTACAACACACCATTAGAAGTGACAGATGTCTGAGTTTCAAACTTTTTATTCCTATTGTTCAGCGTGTGGTGTGAATGGGATTAGGCCAACATTTGTAAATAAAAACATTTTTGCTTTGTGCATTTTCTGCAGCTCAGCTTCACTCATTCTAATATGAGACTCAATAAGCGATCAGTCTCGTTGGTCACATTGGGAAAACGCTGTAGTATCTAAACAACTGGAGAAATAATGCTGGTATTTTTCACTTCTGATCAACTAATATTAAGAAAAAACTATGTAGTTTGATGATATGGATGTTTGGACTGCATGGGAAGTACCTGAAACACCAACGTCGATCTGGAGTGCCATCCCAGTTCTTTCCCACAGTGACCATCTCTCCAGCTCGAAAAGACTTTCTAATACAGACTGGAAAAGAACGCTCTATATCCAAAATGGTCTTGGCCCACTACAAGTAAAGCAATAGCAAATGTCAATTTTGTACATTTTCAGGTACTTAAATGAAAACTTTTTCATTTGCTAAAGTCTGGGGGACTTAACAACTGTGTCATAGATAAAACTGGAGCCTCTGTCACCTGAAGCTTCCAGATCTTCTTGCTCTCCTTGGACACCTGTCCCACAGTCTGCCCCATCAAGGCAATCAACATGTTGAGTAGCAGCACAAAGGTGAGGATAATGTAGGTGACTAAGAGGATGAGGAAGGCCGCTGGGTATCGTGCACTATAGAGCACATCCAGCTCACCTATCCCAATGGTCAGCTTGAACAGGTCCAGTAGGAAAGTACTGAAAGTGTCTGGGTCCCTGCACTTTGGGTAGGTGAGACAGCTATCGTTACACAACGTAGGGCAAACGGGTAGGAGAGACACCAAGGCTGTGGGGTGGAAATACATCTGTGAGCACTTCGAGGAAATAATGAATAAATACAAACAAAAATGGCAGAAGTCAAACATCTCAGCTCACCTGAAGCGTACCCAATCATGAAGAGAAAATAGACCAACAGAAACCTGAAAAGGTCTTTAAAAAGAATCTAAAAGCCAAAAGAAAGATAATCATGAGAGATAATAAAACTTCAGGTAATTTAACTTTTATCTTTAATATTGGACCTTCTGTATCATGATGCTGTATGTTCCAGTGAGCTTCAGGCCTCTGGTGAAGTAAAGTGTGTTCATCCAACCCAGGACAAGAGCAAAGACCATGACGGCGATGTAATCCTTAACGCCAGACAGGTAAAGAGCAGCTGTGATGATAATCAGGACAGAGTAGAGGAAACTAGAGGGAAAAGGAAGGACCTTGTCAGTGAACGAGAACACTTATCTAAGCCATCACTGCTAAACAAAAAGAGCTATTGCTTTAATAAAATATAGATCTGCTTTAACAGGTTTAAAAAACTACTAATACCAAGTGGAAGTGTGCGAAATAAAGGACTGAGCTGAGTGGATGCTCAGATTAAAGTTATGAAGAGATCAGGAAGGTGGTGCAAAGTTGAAGGATGATGACTTACTACAGCAGCTGAAAAGATCCATCCATAAACAAAGACTTCACCTCAGGCCACTTCTTCAGGAAGACTTCCTTAATCTGCAGAGAAACATTTCCATAATCACACTTAGCTACAGGTCTGATAGAGGATCAGTGTTATCGACGATCACAGCAAACTGCCACGGAGTGTGTTGGCTCACATTAGTGAGGAAGAAGAAGACTCCTGATGCCAGGATTACAATCTCACCAGCCATCCGCAGGTAGTCAGAGGAGGTGGTGTAGGGGTATGGAGGCTGCAAAAGAAAAGATAAAACTAATATGACTTTTTATAATAGTTTAATTACAAACATATTTATGAAGTTCTTTGCTCTAAATCCCTCTCACATACAGCGACTTCATCAGTTTTATTCTTGACATAATCAGTACTTTCTGGAATGAGCCATTTCAGGGCTCTGCCACTTTAAGAAAAAAAGCTGGAGCTGGCCACGCCCACCCTTCCCCACTCAGGCTGCTATAAGCTGAGAAGCTCCAATATGCAAGAGGGCTCGAATTAGAGCCGCTGCTCCTCCAGCAGCAGCTCTCTCTTGCATGTGAGACGTGGTTCTGTTCTAATTACTTCATTTGTGACATCACAAATGGGGAATTTTTGAAACGGCTCATTTTAGACACATAATTGCTAAAATTAAACACTGACAGAAAACTGATGGATGAGTTTGGGGTGTTTACAGAAGCAGTAGAGGCCCACGTGGTAGCACAAAAGGATGCAAAAGGGTTTTGCACGATAAATCCTCTTTAAATTACAGTGAAACTCAAGATTTAGTACATTCACTGAATATAATGTGGAAAATGAAACAAAACAAGTCAAGTTTAGTTATAAAAACAGTTAACAGTTAAGAACTTGCTTTATTTTTATTTTTTGCATACACATACATAAAAATATTAGTTTATTTTATAAAAAGCCAAAACCAAAAAACAAGCCAAGTGGATGAGTTTAAGTATCTCGGGGTCTTGTTCACGAGTGAGGGAAAACTGGAGCGTGAGATCGATAGGCGGATTGGTGCTGCATCTGCAGTGATATGGGCGTTGTACCGGTCTGTCGTGGTGAAGAGAGAGCTGAGTCAGAAGGCGAAACTCTCAATTTACCGGTCGATCTACGTTCCTACCCTCACCTATGGTCATGAGCTTTGGGTAGTGACCGAAAGAACAAGATCGCAGATACAAGCGGTCGAAATGAGTTTTCTCTGAAGAGTGGCTGGGCTCTCCCTTAGAGATAGGGTGAGAAGCTCGGTCATTCGGGAGGGGCTCGGAGTAGACCCGCTGCTCCTCCACATCGAGAGGAGCCAGTTGAGGTGGCTCGGGCATCTGGTCAGGATGCCTCCTGGACGCCTCCCTGGTGAGGTTTTCTGGGCACGTTCAACCGGGAGGAGAACTAAAGGTAGACCCAGGACACGTTGGAGGGACTATGTCTCTCACCTGGCCAGGGAACGCCTTGGGATTCCCCCGGAGGAGCTGGCCCAAGTAGCTGGGGAGAGGGAAGTCTGGGCCTCTCGCCTTAGGCTACTGCCCCCGCGACCCGACTCCATATAAGCGGATGAAAATGGATGGATGGATGGAAAAAGCCAAAGCAGATGTTTCTTCTAGTCTCATTATCTACACCAGCTGTGAGCTGCATCATCTTAGAGCAGAATTAGTCCTTTTATCTATTTTAATTATAATAAATAAGCTCATATAAACTCATCTTTGTTTATCAGTTGTATAGTTGGTGCAGCTTCATAGCTGCAACATACTCAGGATAAAAACTCTAAACATATTTGTGACACAGATGCTGAGATTTAAAAAAAACTTTTCTTAAGCTAAAGTTCTGCATTCTGAGTAAACTCACACACACCGTTCCTTCTGTTGGGTGGAAATAAGCCACTAAGGTGAAGATGATCATGGAGATGAGGTAGGATATCACACTGATGTAAAAGGTGGCGGCAGCAAACTTCTGCCATTTGGCCCTCAGCAGCTCGTTGAAAGGCTCCACAGCCAGCATCTCATGGCGGTTCTGATCACAAGAACAAGGACACAAAACTTTTTGTTAGACAAGCAGCAAAGTTTTTTATGCTCAAAGGGAGTTACTGCACTTCATCTACCTCATTGCGGCTGTTGTAAACGAGGATTTCCAGCACAGACGGCTCCTCCCCACATGTGTCCACGTAAGACAGGTCATAAAGCGAGGAGTACACCGGACCATACGCCCAGTCCTTAAACTTACGCGACAGGTGACGAACTTCCTCATCCTTAATCTCTCGTTGGATAATGTGCTGGAAAACCTGTGGGAACACAGAGAAGCTGATTATTTGATTTGAACATCAAATCAAAAAGAAACGCAGCGATCGTAAATGTACCTACCCCTGTTTTGCCAAGTTTGGCGGCCATCATGAGAGGTGACATGCCGTCGTTGTTGAGGATCTTCTCCAGGCTGCAGTCTGGGTAGAGCTTGGTGCACTTAACGAGCAGCATGTCGTACATCTTTGTGAGGAAACGGGTGTTGTCCTTGGTGTTGTCTGCAATGTGAACTAGTGCGTGCAGCACTGTGTTTCCTCGTGAGTCCTGGCGTCGCAGGTCGGCCTTCTTGTGCGGGTTCTCTGTCAGGTAGTGCACTATGTTGGGCTGGTTAGTACATGCGGCGAGGGAGAGGGGCAGCTCACCTGGGTAAACGACCAGAGAGCACTCACATCAATTTAAAATCACAGGAGATTAGTTGAAATGTGCTTTTAGTAGAATAATAATAATAAAACAACCGGGGGGTTAATTAAGAGCCGTATCTGGCATCTGTAGCCTTCCATAAAGCCGACTAAACACCGGATCAAAGATCTGACTTAAATCCCCACCTTGAAAGTGGTACAATTAACGGCTGTTTGAGGGAGGGGCCCAAAGGGGACAGAGTGCCAAAAGCAGCTGCTGAAAATGCGCCGTTGCCATGGGTGACAGATTACTTTGTCACCTCACATAGAAACGCTCCTCTTCATGGATTTGCACGGGTGCACGTAGAGAGTTAGCGTGAGCCTAAATCCCATTAGCCATTAGCCCTGCCAGGTTCCTGTTCACCTCGCTGCAAAGCTCCGCGGCAAATTACTCACACTGGGCCCGGACACGCCGGCATTTGGGGACGACAACCGTGCTAAGTGAAAATAGAAATCCTCTCTTCTGCGATGAAAGAAGAATGTGAGACTTGATTTTGATCAAAAGAAGATGTTGGATTTGAGCTTGGTGGAACATCAACACATGTCTGAAAATTCAAAAATGTACCTCTGGCTTCATTTTTGAATGGATTCTGAGTAACAATTATTATGAAGAGATTCCAGTTCCCCGAGATTGTGGTGAAATCTTAGAAGATCCAGCAGAGGGCAGTGTTGATTTGGCTCCCAGCAGGATTATGATGTTTACTTTTCCTAACTGCTGAACACAGACACCTTTAGACACAACCTATACGGCTTGTGTGTTTTGGGAGGGAATTTATTATGACGGTTACTCGTACGAGTGTAGGGTATAAGGTGGAGTCCTGACAAAAACAGTTAAAGTAAAAAAGGTAGGAGGGACTGATGTCACTTCCTTTTTACGCGGTAGAAGGCACGTTTGTGACCGGTGAAGTCACTGAAACATCAAATCCACCACGTCATTACAAACTGAAATGATTGAAATGACAGAAGCAAAAGAATAAAACCACAGGAGCACACTTAAAGGGTTGCTGTGTTTGCTGTTACCAAAGTAGAAGTACCCCCCCTCGTCTCTGGGCTGGAAGAAGCGACCCCTTGCCTGGGCGTGAACATCAGCTCCCTTCTCCACCAGCAGTTCCACGTACTGTTTACAGCGTCGCTCAATGGCAATGTGGAGTGCCGTCTGGCCTGATGACAAAAACACATAAGAGTTACTGCCACTGAATTCTCCTCATACCTCTGCTTCAGCTTAATTAAAAACATGCCGCCTCGATTTCATAACGGCGTTGACTGAGAAAACGATGTTGACTCGAAATCTGTGAGAAGTTACAAAAATGTTTTGATTTATAAATTCTCATGTGAGCTTGACGGAAGCAAAAACAAAAGTGACTAAAGGTGTTGGAAATTATGGAAAAGAGGGCATAAAAAGATAAAAGTTCCCCCAACTATCTTACAGCCAATAATGAAAGGGATAAACTCCAAATACACAAAGTCTGGATGTTCTCATTTACAGGCTGTAAACACGTTTGAGCCTCAGCCTGGCGAGAAGTTATCAATCCTAAATAAAACAGTCACTGCTTGTTTCTAATCAATGGGGTCACGATAAGACCCTAAACGTAGGTTTCACAACTGTTCAGTTCTAATTAGTCTCTTTATTTACCACCAATAAAAACATGTTTTATGAGTTTAATATCTTACCTCTGTAATAGAGATCCCTAAATGGAGTATTAATAAACTCCCTGAGGTTTCCGGTCCTCTCTGCAATGTCCACCAGCAGTGGGATGGTGTTGTTTTGACCCCCATACAGGTTCAGCAGGGCTTTAGGCAGACATGTTTTCCCCGTGGAGGGCTCTAGTGGACAGATTAGACACAGAAAGCTTTAGACCAAGTTGGTTGAGCCAACCCAAGGCATTTTGAGGAGGGTGATATGGGAGTATGGAGCCACTTTTACGTGCCATCCAGTCTCTGCACAAGCAAAACAAGAGCCGTGTTTACATTCTCTGTACAAAGCGGAGCTCATTCCTAGTGCAGGCTGGACTCGTCCAAGGCCAGTCCTTGTCTCTGACTCTGTTAGTGATGATCAGACAGGACCTCAATGCATGGTCATGGAGGGGAGGATGGTCTTTGTAAGGTTCTAGTGGCGTCTGTAAGGAACAATCGTTAAAAGGGCCAAGGTGAGAGTGTCTGAGGTCACGGGTCTCCACATGAAAAGGATGCTTGTTGGGCTGAGTCTTTGCTTCAAGCAGAATCGGATTTTTCCCATGAATGAAGGCAGGATAGAGAGGGAGATGGATCACTAATGTAATGTGGGCTTTGCACTGGTCAAACATGGTCAGTCGGCTAAAAGGTAAATTTCTTGATTTACTTGATCCATCAATGTTCCGATCCTCTCCTACGGTTGTGGGGTTTGGATATTTAAGGGTTGTATATCCTTTGTTCTGGGAATGCCTTGGGATCCTGCAGGAGGAGCTGGGATGTGTGGCTCCCTCTCCTGTTACCTCTGAGACTCAGCCTTAAAGTAGGCATCTGCTGTGGTCTCTAATATCAATGAATGCCTTGTGAGGCATTTTCTATAAGAAGAAAAGCTCTGGTGTTTCTGTTTCAGGAAGTAAAAGGTAGTTGGAGGAGTGGAGTGGAGTCTTACTCATTAATATTCATGATATATGAACATCTCGCCTCTGATTGGCTAAAAGCAACACAACTTTTCCCCTCTGTTCACCCAGCTTTCTTCGGTTAAAAAAATGCTACGCTGATGTTTTGCCTCCTCCAATAAAACAAGCCTGAACATGTTCTGACATTTTGCTATTGCTAACAGTTAGCTCACTCCTGGACGCTAAATCAACACAGCCTTCTGAGGTCCCAACAACCAAGATGGGTGAGACCATGTAGGCTAATTTTCAGTGTGACATAGATCTGTGTAGCTTTTTCTGACCAGACTGTTTCCCTGTCTATTTTCTATCAACGGCTAATGCAGGAAAGAGGTAGAAGAATATTTTCACGTTCAGCCTGCATGTGAAACTAACCCCGGGTTTCCACGGGAGCCGTCAGCAGCACGTTACTGCAGCAGTACGTCTTGCTCGCGTAAGCTGCTGCTTGGCCCTTCCCACGAGACGCGAAGCAGCAGGGGAGCAGCTGTCACTGACAGAGCACGAAATCACACGAGTGACTTCGTCAGTAAACACAACAACAAGCAGGAGAAAATTACGACATGGTTTGTGTTTTATGTTCTGTCCGTTTTATAATCGCCAATACGGACCTGAAAAACAAAGGAGACCGCTAGCTAGGTGATAACTTCTCACGGGGACGCACAGTTAGTAACAGTTTTTAAAAGTAAAGCAACCGGAAGGCAGTACGTTCTTTATTCTGAAAATCTCGGTAGCTTCTCTCCATTTCCGCGTCCGATTTCCTGTCTTTCCTTCCCCAAAAATGTCGAACTTGACCCGTTTCAGAGGCGTCGCGCGTAGAAAATAGAACCGGCGCGTAAAGGCCGCGACATGCTGCTCCTGAGACGCGGCTGACTCGCGCTGCTGACGGCTGCCGACGGCTCCAGTGGAAAAGGTTCTGTTGATCACAGCGGTTCCTATCAGCAGCTATGACGTGCTGCTGCAGTAACGTGCTGCTGACGGCTCCCGTGGAAAGCTGGGGTAAGAGTGACCAACTGTATTTCATGGAGAGCAAATTTGTTCATTTCTCAGTGAATCTCCACGTTTAATAAGTGGTGTATGTCAGTTAGGTTGGCAGTTAGTTGCCCATAAACCCTGATATTTTGATCTCCTTTTTATCATATGTCAGTGAGCATCTTTTTTGACATCAGTGGTTGCTTCATACATTTGAAAGTAACAATAGATTTTTTTAAACTTCAAACTAGCTTTAACATTGATCTCAGTGATTGCAGAGTTAGAAGCTTGACAAGTTTCATATCTTGACACCACTCTGCAGACCACTGCTGACCAACAACTGCACTTGATAGTTTTGTAGAGTGGGTAGGTGCCCTAGGGTCGCTCCTTACCTGCTGTACAATTCTTAGCTGTAATGCAAGCAGTTAGCATTTTCAGTTCGCCGATCGTCAATAAAAAGCAAAAGGAGACGAAAAAAGAAGTTTGCTTTGTCAGTTGGCATCATGGCGAAGCCTGGAAGTAAAAGTAAGAAAGTATTGTCTTCGGAGGCGAAGCAATGAGCTAAAACACCAGCACGCTCTTCACTCGTTTCTGGGAGCTAAAGAAGGCAAAGAAATCACGGACTGATGGTGACCTGGCTTTGTTTCTACTGGACTTTTGTATTGTTTTTTTGTTTTTTTTCCAATAGTGTGGATGTTTTTCCTTCCGGGGATGTTTCTCAATGTCAAGGAACCTTGCCTTGATATCTTGGTCCCACCCCGGTTACCTAGGAGATACGTCATCAGGAGCCACCAAGACGTGTTCCAATCGGTTCCAATGTTCATGTTCTACCGAGGCATGTGCTCTCCGTTTGTTAGCCGTTTAGCTAGCTGAGCAAGGACACACGGGAGGTGTCTTGTAGCCTAGCCTTGGCCAAAAATTACCCACAATACGCCGCTGTATTTTCAAAAGGACGGCGGATCAGAAGCCGGCAGCTACTTTGGGGACTATTTTCAAGTTAAAAAGTAAGTCAACTAATTTAAAGTGGGTTTTTTTTAGATCCAAAGAAGTTTCTATTGTTGGTTAGTTGCTTAGTAGTTGCAGCTTCAGTGGCTAGCTGGTAGTAACTCGCTTATATTTTTTAATTATAATAAACATGTACATGATTTAAAAAGTAAAAGGTTCGTTATATATTTATATTGAAACTAATACATATAAAATACAACATTATCTCCCGTGTCACGTGACGTTACGTGACCGCCGTGGAAGCCGCGGTCACGTGATGCAAGTCTGTTCCATTTAAACATTTTCTTTGACCAAGGAAGCACAGTGTCCTTGTAAGCAAGGCACCTGCCCTCGCCTCGCATGGCAAGGCGCCTTGACATTGAGAAACACCCAGGGTTTATTTTAGTATTCGTTGGCTCATGTTATTGTTAGCTAGTGGATAGCGCTAGCTACAGCAGGCTGCAGAGGGGTTGTTTACATGAGCTGTAGTTCCAATTTCTACCAGTAGTTTGGAGGAGAAGGAAACTGCTCTGTGTTACTTTAAAGAGATGATGTGTATTTTCCCTGGCGATAGGGGGCAGTACATTGCAAGCCAGCTGCAATTTTGTGTTCGAGTAAAACCTTATGGACGGATGGCCATTAGGGTCAAAAATCCTTTGGAGCACAACCTCCAGCAAAATGGCAAGCACACCAAACGCCCATTCATCACTGGCAATGAGCGAAGAGACAAATGTGTAAAACAAAAACATTTATGAATGGCAAACATTTTGTAACCGATTGTTACAAATCAGTAAATTTATTTTTGTCCTCACGAACTCCCATAGAAGGAAACAAGCTGCTAATATGGTGTTGCCCAGAGACTTAGACCCGCTCCCATGTATTTTAGACCCGATTTTTATGGCCATATGTTATAAAGCTGCCAATATATATTTACAACTGGGCATCATTTAAATAATTTTGAACAATATTTCAATGTATACTTCCAGAGATTCATGGTAAAAACTACATATTGTCTCTTTAAAGTTTAGGGTTTTAACTTAAACTAATCACCTGAGATTATTTTACCAGTTGTTGGTAGAATCCAGATATTCGATAACATATAGGTTCTCTGGACTCAGTCCTCTGCTCTTCCTGTATATAACCCTGATAGATTTAAGAGTTGTATCACAATTAAAGAAGCGAGCACATGATTGCACCCGGATGCAAGCAGTTGGATCCCGCTTTGTGTTTAACTTTTGATTTCAATTACGGAATTAAAACAACTAAAAACCAGATAGCAGCAAAAAGAGAACAGAAACACACAAGCAGATAAGGAACTGAGAAAATATGCTGGCGGAAAGTGATCACCGAAAGTGAGCTAGGTACAGATGGACAGGCGTGTGGCGCTAGAAACAATCACATGACTAAATACAAAGAAACAAGGACCAAACTGGAATATTAAACACAACTATAGCATCATGACACATTGGTGGAAATAAAGAGAAAGCAATATTCTAACAAGGTTTTTATTTATTTGAAACAAAGTTTCAGACATTTCTCATTTGCTAGTTTGAGTCGCTTTCGTTCATTCTCATGTTAATTCAATTAGTGGGATTCAGCTTCTGTCGAGCTGATTCAACATGATGAGATGACACTAACTGGAGGTTGTGTGTGTGTGTGTGTGTGTGTGTGTGTGTGTGTGTGTGTGTGTGTGTGTGTGTGTGTGTGTGTGGGGTGTGTAGTGTTGTAAAATATGCGACTTCTAGTTTCCCAAGTGAACAAAATGGGAATTAGTTCACAATGACACAAGAGAGCAAAGAGTTTCACAACTGTTGTGTTCATCTCACCAGTTTCAGATTCATTTTAACAGGGTGAGACTTAGACTTCACTTCTAGTCGCTACTCAGTTGAAAGTTGAATGATGGTAAAGCTTTACTTAATGGTCCCACAAACTCAGCAGTTGGCTGTGATTTCTCTCTGCTCCCTGAGAAAACCTCTTAGACACACACAGGAAGCCCCATGTTTGAATGGGACAAAGGCCACACAACTCCACCTTTTCTCGCTCACATCCTTGGAGCCAGAAGTGACAGCGAACAGGGCAGAAACAGAGAAACTCAATGGCCAGGCAGATAAATGAAAAGCCTAAATTCTCCCTTTAGAGCAGAGACAGCTAGATCCCCAAGTGCATTTAGGTCTTACCTCTAAACTCCTCATCTGTTAACCTCTTCTGCTGATCCTGCAGGTACTCCTGCAGGCCCTCGAGGGCCTCTGGTTCCCCACGTGACACACACTCAAACAGCAGAGAGCGATTGAAGATTTTCATTACTTTTGGGGGGTCAACGCTTTGACCATCATCACCTGAACCCTCCGTTTTCCTAAAAAAACACAGATCTTGATGTTAAACAATGTCACACATTGTGCTTGTGCACTAAAAAAGCAGAAATTCCATTCAATCAAAGTATTCTATTCACTTTTGGTTGGCGGAAAATTAAGAATTAAATGTTGCACAAACCACCTTTGAAGAAAGCACCAACACCCCTTAGTGTCTGGATAAATGGACCTCTGTGAGTGTGAGGTGGGTAGCAGCAGTCAGGAACCAGCAGCAGCCTAAATATGACCTCAGCAACCACAGAGGATCCAACAACATGTTCTCTGTTCAGCCCGTGTGTGTGTGTGTGTGTGTGTGTGTGTGTGTGTGTGTGTGTGTGTGTGTGTGTGTGTGTGTGTGTGTGTGTGTGTGTGTGTGTGTGTGTGTGTGTGTGAGTGTGTGTGTGTGTGTGTGTGTGTGTGTGTGTGTGGCACACCTCTGTCAAAGAAACTAAAGTACAGAAAGTGTTTGTTTGATGACAGAATTTTTCCAAACTGACCAGTGTCCATATGGAAAACCTGATCCAGTAAACTATCAGGTCCTGGAAACACACAGGTGCTGTTCTGTACTCTTCTCACCCTCTTGGGAGCTTTTTCCTGCGTTTCTTCTGGTTGCTTGCATTTCCGTACGTTCCATAATCAAACAGAGAGTCCATGGGTGCTTTTTTGGGGCCTGGGACCACACTTGACTCATATATGGTGGTTTCCAGCAGATCCATAGGGGTGGAAATGCCCTTTTTGAAAGCACCCTGGAATTTCATCCGCAGGTTGTGCCTGTTGTCTGAGGGCTGGTCAGTCTGAGGCGGCTCCAGTGCCGACTCCTGACTCGTGTCATGTCCTGGCTGAGAGGCATCCTCGTTTTCAAACAGGTTTGAGATCTCAGAGAGCGGGAAGGAAGCATCGTTCTCCGCCTGAGCGTTTGCTCCATCTCCAGAGTCCACAGACAGCCCGGCTTTGGCAGAGTCAGGAGAGTCTGACTTGGACAGGATGAGGTGACACCTTCTGAGGAGAGCAGAGCGGCCCTGAAGGATAACAATGAGAACATGTTGGGAAGGTTTGAGGGAATATCTCGTTCAACTAGAAGAACAAGTTTGGATTTGTTTGTTGATAGTCTGGCACAGAACTATTACTTTACATATATACAAAACATCACAAACACTTGCGTACATTCAACGTTTATCCTCAAAGCCTTTTTCAAAATTAGTCTCCCTTCAGACTTTCTTAAATATGTTTTAAATATTTTCTTTAGATTCTGAAATGCTTTTTACCTCATTTTCAGAACTATTTGATCAAGACCACAAATAAAGAATACTAGAAAGTCTGGCTAGTTAGAGGAAAACTATTAACTTGTTTAATCAATACATTTGAGCGGTCTCTAGTAGGAATGAATGCCTTGTAAGTCCTTCTCAGGGGGGAAGATTTAGCGATGCACCATTAAAAGTTGCCCACATCACAGCTGAGCTTCAGGCAGCAGGTTTTGCTGATATTTGAACTTCTCGCCTCAGATTGAATAACAGCAACACAACTCTACCACTGAATCTGCTTTGCAATGTGGATGTTTTATCTCCACAAGTAGCAAGAGCCTGTAGGAGTTTCTGCCATGTGGTGGTGTTGCTAATGCTAACGGTTAGCTTAAACTCAATGAGAGGTCCTTCGTTGTTTCCCGGATAATAAAACAACAGCCTCTCCCGTCGTGAGTCAAGATGGGTGAGTCCGTGAATGATAAGTGACAGTGTGACGTAGATCTGTCAGGATTTTTAAATCCTAGAGTTTTAACATCTGTTTTCTATCAGAGGCTAATGCAGGAGATAGGTGTAGGAGACTATTTTCATGTTCAGCCTGCATTAAAAACTCAGAGTGACCGATTAGAATCAGAAATAATAATTAAAAAATAGGTTTTCAGTGTTTCACACCTTTAAGAAATGATGGCTAAGAGAAGACTTTTATTCTGAAATGATTTAATTCATTATTTAAATACATATAAACAAGAATTCTTAAAGAGGTGAGTTAAAAAGACTCAACATCGTTCCTTTCTCTCTCGTTCTTTGTCTCATTTAGAAAAGTGTTATTAAAACGAGTCATCCTCAAAACATTTACAGATTTCAAAAATAGTAGCGGTGCAAAAGTAGCTTTGTTTGCTTGCCAACAAAATAAGAAGAAAAAATAACTTCCAGGAAATTGTAGCTCTTTAATGCTCAACTGCCTTCGTAGCCCCTTCTTATACCTCATTCATCTCTTTTATCGCAGTGATGCCCTCAATTCCACTTCAGGGGGAAACGGAAATGACGCTGAAGCATGAAGACATTCTGAAGCAGGGGAGGGAAACCAGAAAAGGATCTGCTGACACAGAAAAACACGCTTTACAGGCTTTATTCTAAATGACTCAACAAGTCTGTTATGAAGAGATGAGACATACAGAAAACCCAACAGACTAATGCTAAAACCAACAAGAGTCCAGACGCTGTTAGTCAGATGCAGGCGTTTACTTTGGAGAGAAAGATCCCACCACTTTACAACTATTTAATTCTAATGATTATTTAACACAAGAAGTCTCTCTGCAGTTTGCATTATGACAGCCACAGAGCTGTGCTAGAATGAGATAAGTTCTCAACAACTTTGCAGACCAAAGGATTTCCTGCATTTGCGGCTGATACTGAGGGCTTATCTGAGCAGGGCTGTGCAGCAAAAGAGCAACTAAACATTAGAGCTGGTGTCCCTCAAAACCAGAGGTGGAAAGTAACGAATTACATTTACTCACTTTATTGTAATTGAGTAGTTTTTTTTGTATATTTATACTTTTTAAGTCGTTTTTAAAAGCTGTACTTTTACTTTTACTCGAGTAAGTTTTTGAAAAAGAATTGTAATTCGCTACATTTTAAATCATATCCGTTACTGAGTAAAAACAAATTATAGGCTTAATAAATTGTGTAGCAGCGTCAGAACAGGAAGAGACACCTGCATGAGCGCCACGTCTAAACCGTGGGGTGTGTGGGTGTACACTTCTTCTCCAAAACATCAGTTCAGTCCTTGTGATCCACTCGCTGTTCACCTCCTCTCTTCCTCCTCTCCTGTGGGTTGGAACCCGCACCTAAGCGCACCGGTGTGACGTCATCACAATTCCACTCGGTTCGGAGGCCAGACTTGGTTCCATGTTTGAAATGTGTTTCCCTACCGCTCCGCACGGCAGCGGCAAAATAACGTTTAGCGCTCATAACAAGCGGATTCTCAGCGCTTAGCTCATAAAACAGAGGACCTGCTGTTCTCTGTGAGTTAAAACATCCTGATACTGTTCAGGTGTAAACATTGTGCTCCATCCCTGTGTTTGAAGATCCTTCTTGATGCCACAGATATGTGATGATTTAGCTTGTTTCTTTATTTTACTCTATGCAGAATAAGAGATTAAAGTATTACTAAAGCAGTTCAGTGTAGTTAAATTAGTCATGACGTGTGTGTGTGTGTGTGTGTGTGTGTGTGTGTGTGTGTGTGTGTGTGTGTGTGTGTGTGTGTGTGTGTGTGTGTGTGTGTGTGTGTGTGTGTGTGTGCACATGAGCGTGTTGTGAACTGATGTTGTGATTTTGCACTTGTCATGTTCTGTGTCCCTTTGTTCCCCAGCCCCTCCAGTTCCCACTCCAGGTTCTCCTGTTGTGTTTCATAGCGCCCTCATGTGTCCTTTGTCTGCATCTCATTTATGCGTCTCCTGTGTTCCTTTAGTCTTCTCCAGTCACCCCTCTGCAGCCAGTCATCCCTCTGCAGTGTTTATAGTTTCAGCTTTTCATTTTTATTAGTCTCTTTATTATGTTTTGTCCCACTGGTTTTTGTAGTTCTCCTTCCCTTTAGAATTTTAGTTATATGGTTGCTTTTCTGTTTTTAGGTTCACTCTTTGGTCATATTAGTTTCTTCCCTGATTAGTCATTGCTTTCACCTGGTCCTCCCCCCACACTCCACACACCTGCAGCTCATCTGCTTCCCATTATGCTCCAGTGTATTTAAGCCCTGTCTTGTCTCTGTGTCTTGTCGGTCCATTGTCGTTGTCAGTGTTTTGTCCGTCTCGTGTGCTCTCCTGATCTTGCTCATGAAAGAGCTTCTGTTTTGCCTTTTTTGCCAGCATTTGCCTTTGGATTTATGCCCAGCCTCCTAAAATAAAAGGATTTTTACTTCATATCCACTTCTGCCTCATGTCATCCTGGGTTACTGCATTTTGGGTCCAAACCATCCTCTCAACGTGACTGAATGGACCGACCAGCCCAGGACCCAGCAGCAACCCCAGGTAAACGGGATCCTAGCCATGGGAGGAATAACTTCAATGGTGACCCGGTCGTCTGTAGGGCTTTTGTTTGGAACGTTGTGCGCTCTGTGGATTGGGAACTTTTGGACCTTGATTTGGTTATTTCTCTGGTGTACCGCCTAGAGGGGAGAGCTCTGCAATGGGCCAACCGCTACTTCAAGCAATATCTTTTAAAAGAGTTGTCTTTGGAATTTTCATTAAGGATTTGCAGGACGCCTTCTGCCACCCACACACACACTCTCCTCCCCACCTCCATCTGGCTCAGACTGCACTGGCTTTTTCCGGGTGGATCACCATCTGACACCTACCGAAGTTGTATTAAGCGCCCTCTCAGCGTCTCTGAGGGTCCTAACCTCCACACCTTCACCTGGTCCCAACAACGCTGCATCTTCATCCCTGGTAGGTTGTTCTTCCTCCTCATCTTCGGTTTCTGCCATCTCCACACCTCCGTTGACCCAAAACCCCCCACGTCAACGATGCCGCCGACGCCGTCAGGTCTTCTGTGGACAGAGCATCACCAACAGTTCAGGTGTCACCTACACTTACACCTCAGCCCAAGCTCCACTCGCCACCATCTCCAGCTCAGCCCGATCTCCTCATCATCCCGGAGACCCGAGCTGTTCAGCCAGTCCAAGAGGTCCAAGTTCTGCAGTCCAAGTCTGAGCTCCACCTGCCTTCACCTTATCCAGTTCCGGCGGTGGTCCCGGAGGACGCATCGCATCCTGTCTCGGCGGTGGTCCCGGAGGACGCATCGCATCCTGTCCAGCCCGTCCACGAGGCTCCGGCCCAGCCCGTCCACGAGGCTCCGGCCCAGCCCGACGCCTCCAGGCCAGGAGTAGACGACGCCTCCAGGCCAGGAGTAGACGACGCCTCCAGGCCAGGAGTAGACGACGCCTCCAGGCCAGGAGTAGACTACTCCACAAGTGTCCCAGTCTCTCGAGTCCCAAATGGTCCGGTCCCAGTCCCTGTCTCCAGAGATCCTTCCTCGTCCTCCTCCAGGGCCCCCGATCCCCAGAGTTTCCTGTTCCTGGCTCCTGACTCCCCGTCGCCGTCCCCCAAGACTTTCATGGTCCCGCCTCCTGGTTCCCCGTCGCCGTCCCCCCAAGTCTTGCCCGGTCCCGCCTCCTGGTTCCCCGTCGCCGGCCCCCCAAGACTTGTCCGGTCCCGCCTCCTGGTTCCCCGTCGCCGGCCCCCCAAGACTTGTCCGGTCCCGCCTCCTGGTTCCCCGTCGCCGGCCCCCCAGAGTCCCCTGGTCCCTCCTCGCCCGCCCTTGTGGGTTGTTGTTTGTTTGGTCCCTCCTCTCCTGCCGTGTGGTCTCTCGTGTTCTGTTTTATCTTTCTTTTGTTTGTGGTTTTGTCTTGTTCTGGTTTTGTGCTTCTGGTATCCGCCCTTGAGGGGAGGGTACTGTCATGTTCTGTGTCCCTTTGTTCCCCAGCCCCTCCAGTTCCCACTCCAGGTTCTCCTTTTTTTGTTTCATAGCGCCCTCATGTGTCCTTTGTTTGCATCTCATTTATGTGTCTCCTGTGTTCCTTTAGTCTTCTCCAGTCACCCCTCTGCAGCCAGTCATCCCTCTGCAGTGTTTATAGTTTCAGCTTTTTATTTTTATTAGTCTCTTTATTATGTTTTGTCCCACCGGTTTTTGTAGTACTCCTTCCCTTTAGAATTTTAGTTATATGGTTGCTTTTCTGTTTTTAGGTTCACTCTTTGGTCATATTAGTTTCTTCCCTGATTAGTCATTGCTTTCACCTGGTCCTCCCCCCACACTCCACACACCTGCAGCTCATCTGCTTCCCATTATGCTCCAGTGTATTTAAGCCGTCTTGTCTCGGTGTCTTGTCGGTCCATTGTCGTTGTCAGTGTTTTGTCCATCTCGTGTGTTCTCCTGATCTTGCTCATGAAAGAGCTTCTGTTTTGCCTTTTTTGCCAGCATTTGCCTTTGGATTTATGCCCAGCCTCCTAAAATAAAAGGATTTTTACTTCATATCCACTTCTGCCTCGTGTCATCCTGGGTTACTGCATTTTGGGTCCAAACCATCCTCTCAACGTGACAGCACTGATGTAGCCATCTTTATGCCGACAAAAATGTAACTTTTACTTTGAGTACATTTTATTTACTATACTTTTTACTTTGACTTGAGTAAAAATGTAGGCAAGTACTTTTACTTGTACTAAAAATTATCAAAGCATTGGTACTTGTAATTAAGTAGGACATTTTTGTAATCTTTCCACCTCTGCTCAAAACCTATCTGGCACAAGAGATTAAAATACCTTTACGCCTCTTTAGATGGTGGGAATGAATGAAAGCTGCAGCCAAGTAAACTAGAGAGTTTATGGAGGTAAAGAAAAGTTTGGGTTTGGATCAGTAAATGAACACAAAGGCTAATATGGAAGGTCACAGGAAAAGTTTCCAAACAAGGGAGCTTCTTGCTGATTCAAAAGTCTCCTGATGAGGTAGTTCCTGCTCTAATGGGACATTATCCAGAGCAGGAAAGGTCAAAGTGGAAAGAGATTAATATTGTTTTCTTGTACATGTTCAATGAAAATACAGCTTTAAAGCTGAGAAAACGTTTTAAATAAAAAGTCAACCATGGTAAAATGCACATACTAGTCATGTTTTCTAGGATTTAGCTCCCTCACATTAAACCACAGTGAACAACAATCAGAACAAATATTTTCTCATATGCAAACTTTTTAATTAAATCAACTCTTAAGAAAAGTAGAAACACTCACCTTAATTCACCTGTAAAACTCTGCCTCGCTCTAGTTTGAAACACATCAAACTCTTTTGACCTGACTCTTTCCCAGCCGCTTCAGACTCACTCCAGCCAGCGAGAGAACTGAAACTCGGACTAAACGTTTCCCCTGACTCCTGAGCTGAGCTCCATAACAACAACTGAAGCTTTCAGTGATTCTGGAGCGGAGGGAGCGGACACCACCTTGTCTGAAAAGAGTCCCTGCGGAAGGAGATGGTGTAGTAACACACATGGCCGCTAGGGGCGAACTGACAAAATATGGCAAGCCATTGTAGCAAATAAACAAAGGACGCTGCCTCGTCGACAACAGTGTGCACACATAATCTTTACTATCTAGCTATAAAGTAAATCTGCATGTCATCCACTCACGGGTTGGTGCTCTACAGCCAGATAACATCAAGAATGAAAAGTAGGAGAGCTGGAGCTCTCAAGCGAGCACAAATGGTTTTATTAGATACGCCTAATTATAATAAAACCATCTCCCAAGTGCTCCAGCTCTCCTACTTTTCATTGTTTACTTTCTATTCAGAATAAACGTGTTTATCAAGTATAAATCTTAATTTAATGAAACTCAAATGCGTTGATACTATTTATTTTATTTTATTATTCATAAGTTTTATGAGCTGTTTTAGATCAATGACTTCCCAATAGATTTCCGATAAATAAGTATTAAAACTTGGGAATACTAGATATTCCCATTTTTGTCCACCTGTAAGGAAAATCAAAGTCATTATGGATACCTAAACATATGTTTTCAGTAATGAAAGTTGTTACTAGTGATGACTATCATGTTGATCATGGAGAGAAAGAAATTTCAAATTAAATCAAACATACTTTAATGTGTCCATGGGAACAATTCCTGAGTTTAAACGTGTCAGAGTAGAAAAAAAGGTATAAATTAAATTTAAAAACACATAGAGTCTTGCGAATAATCAAAGCAAAAATAGGATGAAAACAAAACAAAAATGGAAAATAAAATCTAAATGCATTAAAAAAATACATTTAAAACAAAAATGTAAAAAAAAACAAGATATTTTATTTTAATTTTTTGTTTTTGTATTTTCGATCTTCAAAATGTTAATTTAAAATAATAAACTACTTTCTTATTTCTGGACGCACCATACACACAAATAGAAGAGTGATGTTATTTGAATTAGAACTGCATTTCCAGCTGATGCATTTTAATTGGATTAATAGCTTTTAGGATAATAGAAGTTCATTTTTACACAAGTATAGAATGCATCGTAAAGTTTTGCTTACATGAGCTGACTGGCTAATAAATGATAAATCAGCTTGCCATAATTTTAGGTTCCGTTAAACCCATAGTGTCATGCTAAGAAACCTGAGAGCATTCCTAGAAATACCAAAAACAAGTTTGTACAGGTACTGTTTGTCTCTAGACCATTGACTGACAGCAGGTTGTTTCTCTTTACTCCATGTTGACACTGAATACAGAGGAAATTAAACAGCCATGTTACTTACATCAGCGTGTCATTGACTTTTAAATAACAAATAAATTGTGATTTATTAACACAATAATTGAGGTGTTAATATTTCAATTAAAACTCTCAAGAGATGTTTTATTTTTAGTTCTTACAAGCCATTTGATTCATGACCTCGTTTGCCTCTGCCTAGAAGACATCATTTGTCAAAGCAAAATAACTTTGCTTTCTCATATAGGATGGCTTAACAGGCCATGTTTACCTTGCTGCACTGCTGAATGAACATACCGATGGAGTAAAGTTTCACAAATACAGAGCCAGTGCTTACCTTTTGAAGACTACAGGTGGGAGTGGTCTGTCAGGAGGGTGTGGCAGGAATCCACCCCAAGGCAATACTAGGAGCCACACACAACACAAAATGTAACAGAAGCTTTTTCAAGCTTTTAATAGATGCACAAACCCAGAAAAGTTTTTATGACATTGAAGATTTAAATGCACAACATTAACTGATTTATTATTAATGAATGACCCTTACAGTGAACAGGTCAGGCAGTTGGCTTTGTTCATTTATCTGTAACTATCATGGAGAAATATAAATGATGTTAAGCAAATATCTTACTTGGGAAATTTTACTCAGCACAATTTTAAACACAGATTTGAGCTCTGAGCAAACATTTCTGCAGTTCTAACACTTACAGGGTATTTACAGAAGAATATGTATGATCTGTACGTACAGTACACATAACCCCATAATAACCCAGTACAGCTTGGAAGAACCCTGCACATACTCTGCGAGTTCCCCAAGAGAACCCCACATTCAATTCAGTTGGTCGTTGTCGTCGTCTTCCTCTGCTTATCCCGGTCCGGGTCGCGGGTGCAGCATCCCAACTAGGGAGCTCCAGCCCGTCCTCTCCCCAGCCATATCCACCAGCTCCTCCGGCAGGAACCCAAGGCGTTCCCGGACCAGATTGGAGATGTAAACTCTCCAACGAGTCCTGGGTCGACCCGGGGGCCTCCTGCCGGCAGGACATGCCTGAAACACCTCCCCAGGGAGGCGTCCAGGAGGCATCCTGACCAGATGCCCAAACCACCTCAACTGACCCCTTTTTTATCCAGAGGAGCAGCGGTTCTACTCCGAGTCCCTCCCGAATGTCCGAGCTCCTCACCCTATCTCTAAGGCTGAGCCCGGCCACCCTACGGAGGAAACTCATTTTGGCCGCTTGTATTCGTGATCTCGTTCTTTCGGTCATTACCCAAAGCTCATGACCATAGGTGAGGATTGGGACGTAGATCGACCAGTAAAGCGAGAGCCTGGCTTTCTGGCTCAGCTCCCTCTTCACCACGACAGGTTGGCTCAGCATCTGCATCACTGCAGATGCCAAACCAATCCGCCTGTCGATCTCCCGATCCCTCCTACCCTCACTCGTGAACAAGACCCTGAGATACTTAAACTCCTCCACTTGAGGTAGGACCTCTCTCCCGACCCGGAGTTGGCAAGCCACCCTTTCCCGGTTGAGAACCATGGTCTCAGATTTAGAGGTGCTGATCCTCATCCCAGCCGCTTCACACTCGGCCGCAAACCTACCCAGCAAGAGCTGAAGGTCAGAGCTGGATGAAGCTAGGAGGACCACATCATCCGCAAAAAGCAGAGACAAAATTCTCCTGCCACCAAACTCGACACACTCCACAACACGGCTGCGCCTAGAAATTCTGTCCATAAAGGTAATGAACAGAACCTGTGACAAAGGGCAGCCCTGGCAGAGTCCAACTCTCACCTGGAACTGGTCCATCTTACTACCGGCTATGCGGACCAAACTCACGCTCCTCTGGTAAAGGGACTGAATGGCCCTTAACAGAAAGCCACTCACCCCATACTCCTGGAGCGTCCCCCACAGGGTGCCCCTGGGGACACAGTCATAAGCCTTCTCCAAATCCACAAAACACATGTGGATTGGTTGGGCAAACTCCCATGCCCCCTCCATCACCCTTGCAAGGGTATAGAGCTGGTCCACAGTTCCACGGCCAGGACGAAAACCACATTGCTCCTCCTCTGAGATTCAACTATCGATCGGACCCTCCTCTTCAGTACCTTGGAGTAGACCTTTCCAGGGAGGCTGAGGAGTGTGATCCCCTCTATTTGGAACACACCCTCCGGTCACCCTTCTTAAAGATGGGGACCACCACCCCGGTCTGCCACTCCACAGGAACTGCCCCCGATGACCACGCAATGTTGCAGAGACGTGTCAACATGACAGCCCTACAACATTCATAGCCTTGAGATACCCAGGACGAATCTCATCCGTCCCCGGGGCTCCGCCACTGTGTAGTTGTTTGACTACCTCAGCAACTTCTGCCCCAGAGATTGGACAGTCCATCCCCAAGTCTCCTTGCTCTGGCTCATCCTTGGAATGCGCGTAGGTGGGATTGAGGAGCTCCTCAAAGTATAGGGCACATTGTCTCCTAGATACGGTTCCACGGCCTTCACCGGTCGCAGGCCCGCCCATGCTGGGATAGGGAGAAAGAGTTTCCATGGCGACGGCAGCATTTCATATTTCTTCTGAGGGGAGTTTACACTTCAGCCTAACAGGCTCCAAGGGCACCAGATTCAGATAAGAATTGTTTGGGGACAGACAGAGATAATTTCCTCTTTGCCTTAGTGTTCTGTTGGTCTTCAACCCCTCTAGATCCAATAATGGTGTAATTAATCTATCCCAATCCGTGCTGATCCGTCAACTCGCTCCTTGATGGAATCCACCTTCTGTGCCAGAGCCTGAATCTCAGCCAATGTTCCAAGCTTACGACTCATCTCGACAATTATATGAGTTTGTGCGTTCACAGCATGATGCATTCCATCCCTGAGCTCCGGGATTAAGCCAATATTCCTCGAAAGCTCGTTAATTTTCCAGTAAGCCAGGTAACCTCTTTGGTGTGTTCTTGCTGTGTTGAAATTCTAATTCCATCTTTTAGTTCTTTTTAAAACACAGAAAGGTTTTATTTACCTGCAACGTTTCGTTTGCGGCTGCAAACTTCGTCAGGCTGACGCTGATGGTGGCGTTACTCCCCTCTCCGACGATGCAGTCCAATGCACGATCCAACGACTAAACTCCATTGTCCCTGATCATGGTCCCACATCCACGTCTCCTTATCTCGATAGCTTCTTTTATCCATCTTTTGTATTTCTGTTGTTCGGTGTTTATGATCCTTGTGTTGTCCCAGTCCATTATATGGTTTTCTCTTGTGCAGTGATCTGTTACGGCTGACTTCTTTTTTGTGCTTTCTGCTTCTTCATTTGCTGCTCTTGTGTGTTTTCGACTTGCCTCTTTCTCGCACTCCTTTCTATGTTCTATTGTTCGTGTGTTGAGTTGGCGTCCGGTTTCTCCAATGTATGTGTTATTGCAGAGTTTGCATGGGATTTTGTAAATGACTCCACATTCATGTCCAGCTGGTATCTTGTCTTTTGGGTGTACTAGGCTGTTTCTAACTGTTGTGTATGGTTTTGTTGGTGTGTTTATGTTGTGTTTTTTCATTGTTGCTCTTATTTTTTCTGTTATGCCTTTGATGTATGGTAGGGTTATCACTGGTTTTTGTTCTCTTTTTGGGTTGCTAGTTCTTTGCTTTGGTTGTTGTTTCTTTCTGTTGTTGTTTTCCTTTGTTTATTGCCCATGTCGGGTATCCACAGGTATTTAAAGCGTGTTGTATGTGTTTGTCCTCTTGTTTACGACCTCTTTCTTCTGTTACTACGTTTGCTCAGTGATATAATGTTCTGATTACTGACATTTTGTGTATGGTGGGGTGCTCTGATGTCCACAATAGATATTAGTCTATGTGTGTTGGTTACCCTAAACATAAACACATATAGAAAACCAACACACACAGACCAATATCTATTATGAACATCAGAACACTTGAGCACAGTTTTTGAAGGAACTAGGTGTTGTTCCAAACATCTTGGAGAACTAACCACAGATTGTCTGTGGATGTAGACTTCCTCACATCCTTCTGTCTCAGAAGCATTCAGTGATGTTGAGATCAGGGTCTTGTGGAGGCCAGACCATCACCTCCAGGACTTCTAGGTCTTCTTTATGCTGAAGATCTTCATGACTTTGGCTTCTTGTTTGGAGTCACTCACTTTGCATTTTGTAAATTGATTTAAAAAAATAAATGTATGTTCCTGAAAGAGTTTATTGTTTACAGTGTTTTTTCCACTCCTGCCTAAAACTCTTGCACTTTAAACTCACTGCAACTCCATCCAGCAATTAAACTTACACATAATACACATTTATTGATAAACCTGATCTTTTTAACCAGTATTAGTTTTAATTACACATTGTAGAAGCTGGTGATTGTCACACACACACACACACACACACACACACACACACACACACACACACACACACACACACACAGCAATACAATACAAGAAGACACAAGCTGGGACTTAATGCAACAACAAAGACAAGTAACAAAAGACACCACCTCTTGACAACAGCTTGATCAAAACTGAAGTTCAAGTGTAAACAAAAAAAAAACACCCAGAACTGGTTTTATATGGATAGGTGAACCAAACCTTCTGTTATAATTTATCTGTTTCTCTCACTTGTCCTGCTTTGTTACCATGTTTTAATGTAAAAGTAGTGAGCAAAAGTAACATATGCACTTGAATGCACCATCCCTAAAATACCGGTGACTGATATTTAATTAGCTTTTTAACTTATTGAGTGATTTTAATTGATTTAGCCTAAGACAGCACTTCCAAACGTAAACAAGTTTCTCTCATAAAAAGACAAGACTGAAAACATGAAGACGTAAAACACAATGTCAGCTGTTGCTTTGAAGCACGTCTGAATGAGACTCAGGAACAGAAAGACCTCCAGCAGTCACAGCTTGTAGTCAAGATCAGCATTCAGCCTACTAAATATATCATAAACAGCATCGACCGTGGCAGAGAAGTTGATAAGGAATTTTCTGATCTTTTCCAAGCATTCCTCCTCCTTGATGTCTCGGCCCTTGGAGAGGGACTTCAGGAAGTCTGACTTATAGGGAGCCGCAAATATAGCAGCCTAGAAGAGAAAATGTTGTTTGTAGATACAGCTGTACTCATCTAATCTACATGTCTGTGTTTAAAATCAAACTCACCTTAAATAGCTGCTGAACAAACCAGCCATGATACCTTTTGAGGGCTATATCATAGGCTTTGGTGATGTTGACTCGGATGAGATTTGGGTTGCTGTCGTCCTTTTCACCGTTCACCAGGCTCTGGAGAAAGACTTGGATGAATTTAAGACCCCTGTTGGAAAACGAGCACACGCTAATTCTCAAGCTGAACGATAGCAACACAAATGTTCATGAGTGCGAAACAGTGATGACTCAAACCTTTTCAGCCACATGAGTGCCAGTGTTGCTCCAACTTTGGGCCATTCCCCTCCATGCATTTCTTTTTCTGCCTCTAAAATCATCTGAAGTGTTTTGAATCTTGCAGGGTTGGTGTCATAAACTGCCTTAATTTTCTGTTGGTTAAATAAATACATATTATTAATCTAATGACTAAAAACAATCAACATTGTAGTATAGTCTAATTCTGATTGATATGGATGGAAATGCATTAAACACATTAAACAGCATTATTATCTTGTTGCATCATGCTCACAGTCCACTAGGAATGCACACATTTAGCTGTGATTTTAATAAATATTGTGGGCACATCCTTTACAGCTTCCTCACACGACCATATTTGGAGTTGTTTCACACTGAGGCAACAGTTTAGGGTGAAATCTGGGTGAATCCAGTTGGAACTGCCTCCAGGGGCTGAATGACTGCAAAAGAAAGCCCAGAGGACGTGAAAGGGGTTGTCTGCCGGGAACATCTGCAGCAACCACAGCACTCTTGTATTCTTTACTTGACTGAATTAGAACCTTTTGTATCAGGGCCTAATATAGGGCCTTAAATATCCTAAAATACAGTTTTTGCTGTGACAGTATTTTTAAATAATCCGCCTACATTGGAATACAGAACTGGGTGGTAAGAATTCAGCGTGAAAGTTGTAGCTTTCCTAAATGTGGGGCTGTCAGTATTCTTACAGATTGACCACATTTGGATCCGGGTCACGGCACCAAATCTGTAAGAATTCTGTCAGCACACACTTAGAAAAAATGCTGGGACCAGTGTTAAATAAATAAATTAATTAATTTCCATCCAGATCCAGCAGAATTATCTTACAGTGGACAAAATTTAAGTGACACTTACTGTGATGTTACCAGTTATGTCAGCTTTGATTGGTGCAAAAATGGTAGCGCCAAGACAGTCTGAGGATTGGTAGAGAGAGAGGGGGGGGGGGGGGGGGGGAGCAAATTAGGAATGTTGATGAAACACATTAACAGTTATTTTCCTCTCAAACCTGATTCAACATTTAAAACCGAAGCTAAATGATAAATTCAACTTAAAATGAGAGGTTAGTTAGGAATGTCCAATTTCAACCAACCATTATTATCAGCCAATATTGGCATTAAAATGTAAAGTCTAAAATTGTCAGAATCTGTCTTTTATGACGCATTTTACATGCACATATTATAAATCAAACTCTTCAGCTACTTCTCTCACTCAAAATGTCAAAATATGACAGATCCAAAGGTACAGTTTTTGAAATATGTTAAATAGTTGCCTTATTTTGCAAGGATTAGTGTTTAAATGTTAGGTACGTGTGATAAGAGATATGTAATGTTAGTTACATAAAATATCTTTGTTTTTCTTTTTCTTTTTTTTTTTAAATGAGAGGGGACCCCATTGTTGCTACATGCTTGCTTAGTATGAGGATTGCTGTAAAGACTCTGACACAAAGCAGTGACTCGATGCAACCTGCTGGGTTTCTTATATAGGAAACTTTTTACTGATTTGCTTAATGAACTGACCTGTATTTGAATGTTTACTTTGTGAAGTGCCTTGAGACAACTCTAGTCATGATTTGACGCTATATAAATAAACTTGAATTGAATTGAATTAAATATAAAGGTATTGGTTTATACTGGCATCTGAAATGTAGAGTTAGAATATAGCATTTTACAGCATATCAGTAAAAAGCTTATATCAAACAACTCTAGTTTGATTTTTTTAAATGTCTTTTTATTGAAACAATTAATTTGCCAGCTTCAGAATGAGCTCAGTTCCGATACACATAGATTAATTTTGACCAGACTGATGGGCTAACAGCTAGTTACACTGAAGTCCATCTCTTTAAATTACGGCCATTAAAAAGCTTTATGTCAAAATGTCATCATGATTTTGTACTAATATTATACTTAGTTATTCACAGCATAAGCAAAAATCTGGTTAATTGTATAACTTGAAACTGACAGCAGTTTCAAGGTTTAAAATGGGGTGAAAGGTTTTTGCATGAACTTCTAAAATGTAGACACCAGAAACCCAACTTAACTTTTTTACTTGGAATTAAACTCAATTTCTCCAAAGTAAAGCTGTTCAAAGAGCCATCTACAACAGGTAAGACATTAAATGTGCTCTACCTTTTCACTTGCAGAGACCCTCTCAAAAAATATGACCTGTCTCTTTAACACATGAAAACAAACCAAAACAATATATTTTCAGGGGAATACCACATTACAATTGCTAACAAAAAACACCATAATTTATTAACATTGTATAAATATTTGGGGTGGGGCTCAATTAAAAAAATGATCTAATACTTCAGAGGCTTTGTAATTAATTAATCTTGATTAATCGCATTTTGACCATTTTAATCGTTCAATACTATTTGCCCCAAAGCTTCTTTTTTTTGTAACAAAATATATTTTAGTGAGGCACAGATGACATACCCACACTTTAGTATCTCTGTAACCACCAGGTCTATTTGATTACTTTGGTCTCATTGTAAAGGTAACCTTTGTGGGATTTGTTGAAATGTGTAAATATCAGGATATGTGTTATTAATGAAGTGTAAATGGACATTGAGTATTGTAAATGTTGTATCCTTAACTGAACACTAGGTGGCAGCAGAGCACTGCTAATATATGTGGAGGTGTAGAGTGGAGTTCTGGGGAAGTTCTGCTGAAGGTTGTAAGATGAATGCTGTGTGTATGCTCATCCCTCTTGCTGTAATAATGTGGATAAAGTAATTGCCTGCCTGCTTTACCGACTAGAAAAACATAACAGTAGAAACGTTGATTTTTGTCTTTCTTTCTTTTCTTCATGAAGAACAATTTGTGATCTGCTTCACTTCAGAGTTCCGACTCATAGCATAAATTCAAACAAAACAACATAAAAATCAATAAAAATGTATACAAGTGTAAACATGAAACAAATTCACTGACTGACAGTTACGTAATTCATTTAATTGTAGTTTTATTTGGGTTTGGAACACATAAAAAGGGTTTACACGGTCTCGTAGCCCAGGCTCCACATCTTTTCAGAGGTGCAGCTTGATGATATTTATTGATATATGTAAGGCATAATGCTAAATTGTAATCATAATCAACATGTTAACTTCCTACCCCTAATAAATGTGTAAATCGTAACTCAACAGCTAATGGAACATTTTTGGTTCTTGTTTTTACATTTCTATACTGGGTATGAAATAAATCTATGTTAGTTAGAGCTGTTGTCATAGTTTTACAAGTCGTTATCATCTCATGTCTTTAATTTAGAGAGTGGGTTTGATGACATCAGTGACATGAGTCCTGACCCCACACAGCTCGTGTTGACCCTCATGAATCTTTCCAGGCCCTGAGCTGTTAGTGGAAACTACTCATGACTGAGTCCTCTTTATTGTGCAGATGTGACGCTTTACCACAACAATAAAGGATACAGATCTAGTTTCAGAAGCTTGTGGGCCTCTCTTCACATTTTCCAGTGTACTGTCCTCACAGGCCTCATTTTGTCACAAATCAAAATGTTTCTATTGAATATGTTTAGTGTTAATTGGGCAGTACTGGAACATCTTAACTCTCTGTAAGACCTATCAGACAATAATAAATAAATAATAGGGAGTGAGTGGGTCAGTCGTGTACTGTCCAAAGAGCCAAGACGAAGCCTAATTAATCAAACAATGTTGTCAATTTGTACTAGGTGTTCAGGACCTTAATAGCTTGTAGGAAAATTGGCCCGGACATTTCTAGGTCAGGAAAAACAAAGGCCACAAGGAGGAAAGAGTTGAATACTGGTGTCAGGCTTGTTTCATCTCAAGGGTTTCACATGGCAAATTCAATGGATGGACTTTGGCGTATTAATACAGAATGAAGTTGCACAAAGATGCTCTGGTGCAGCGAGCCTCCTTTGAATGGACGAGGGAAACTCAACACCATACTAATCAATTTTCACAACTTTAAATCCAGGCCAGTGGATTAAATTATGCATGCTAACGGATTGTGAACAGCTTGATGGAGAGAAATATGATCCAAATGAAGATAATCATTTGAATTGAGACACATTGTTTTAGTGACCTTTAAAGAACGATTGGGACAGATTTTGCTTCTTTGACAGTTTGTGCTGAATAATCAATGTTTGTCAATACTTGCACCAGTGGAAAAATTAGAACTATAATGTCCACGTAAAAGTATCATAACATGCAGCTACGGGCTTGATGTGACTTGTCGGTGACATAAATTCAGCTTATTATTTACTTATTACAACAATAATTTTGACTTGATAAATCTGTCATAACAAGCTCCACAAATATAGGAAAATGCTGCATCCTGCAGTGTGTGACATCTAAAAGGTTTGTTCACATAATTTCACAAGCACACATTTGTTATTGGTCACTGTCCAAAACTGAGAAGATAAGCTTTACTTACCTAAGAATGGTGGAAGGTAAGACACAGCCTCCAGAAAGGGTCTTGTTTCCACCTGTTTGTCAGCCGGCAGCTGCCTGAACTGGTGCTCCATCAGCAGAGCCATCTCTGTAGTCTGCACACGCTAAAAGCAAAAGGCTGCCAAAGCCTGTGCTGCAGATTCAGTGTGTCACCAAGACTAGGTGAATCAACACACACGCACTAACTCACACACTCAAGTTACCTACTTTCAACCCAGGTCATGGGAGGACATCCAGCTGCCGGCAGGCTCATGTGATCAATTAGTCTACATGGGACATTTATTCCTCTATCTATCTATCTATCTATCTATCTATCTATCTATCTATCTATCTATCTATCTATCTATCTATCTATCTATCTATCTATCTATCTATCTATCTATCTATCTATCTATCTATCTATCTATCTATCTATCTATCTATCTATCTATCTATCTATCTATCTATCTATCTATCTATCTATCTATCTATCATCATCTAACTGTCTGTCTGTCTGTCTCTGTCAGAATAATTATATATTAACGAAATTGATAATAATAATAATAATAATAATAATAATAATAATAATTGATAATTTCCACCTGACTGAATATGAGTGACTGAATTTATTTATAACAACAATTTAAACTGGGAAGATTTTCCCACCATTTTTTGTGTTGAAACTCACAAAAATCACCTAATTATATCCGATTTATTTATTTGTTTGTTTGTTTTATCAGCGCGCGTAAGTTGAGGTTGTGACAAGAAACGAAATGAGAAAAATCTTTTCGCGTTTCTTGAAATGAACACTTTTGGCCTTCGCTTGATTCCGTAGCGTTGGAGGGGAGTAAACCGTCTTTGGTAACTAAGGAAATACCTGAGAGCGGTTGTTTGAATTTGAATTAAAAGCGAAGACGGTTTAAATTCTTAAAGGTAGGCTTTTGTGTCCAAATGATACGTGCTGATTTATTTGAACGGTTTCTCTGCTGAGAGGCTAAATGTGGTTTATGGAGACAAACGAATCTAGGAACCGCCATTGTTTTCGTCAGCTGAGTTAGCATCTACGTTAACACAAACGTTAGAAACAGCGTCTTGTGCTTGATATAGACTATTATATTATTATATAGGCTTTCCATAGACTAATCTCAAGTGATGCCAGGTGTAACTGTGTTTAACTGTTGAGTTGCTTTTTTTTATTTTGTTGCTTGTGATTCAGACTGATGGCTTTTCCCACACGCTCGGTCCATCTGTCCAGTAGGAATCGGTGCCGGGTGCTGGAAGAACAGAAGGTCCAGCGTCGTGAGAGGGAGGCTCAACAGCGCCACCAGTGGGAGCTTCATTCTCGGTACCTAAAGGAGCAGGAAGTCCGCTGTCAGCAGCAGGCGGCCTGGAGCTGCCAGAGGTGCTTCCAGCAAAGGCACGCACGTCTTTTTCTTACTTTGGGAGGGTGTTGTTGCAGCAGAGACGACTGGGGCCAAATCTACCTCATCGTGATGTAGAAGAGATAGGGCATGGGGATTCTTCTGTGATGCCTTCAATGAGATTGTAAATAATAATGCTCCATTCCGTTAAATCCGTGTTGAAGGTCGAGATAGCCCATAGTTTACTCTGATGAGTGAAAGCGATGCTGCCTAGGCAAAAGCTTGGAAATCTAAACCGGGAAGGGACTGGCTGTCATTCAGCTGACTGCAGAATCGTTTCAACTCCACTGTAAATAAAGTCTAATCTGATTTTTATCTGTCTAAAAACTCAAGTCATCATGAGTGATTTTAGAAGGAAATCAAATAAAAAAGGATTCTCACTTAATAACCAATAAATCAGCTGAGCACTTTGTTTAGTCCAGTTTTCTCTGAATCTAAATCCTCACCTACAAAAGCCTAGAAAACAGCAGCTTATCATTTCACCTTCCTCGTTAGCTCACCTTCTACCGCTCAGTCATTCAGTTTGATCCCATTTGTTGTCTCGGAGGTCCATAGCATACTGAAAAGTTTAGATCCAAACAAATCCTGACAGACTTGATCCTTTTTGGAAGCAGACTTCATAGCAGAACCACTGAGTCATGTTTTTAATATTGCCCTATCTAGTAATGAATTTCCTAATATTTGGAAATCTGCTTTTGTTTCCCCTCTAGAAAAAAAGAGACATCTCTGTTGTCAATAATTTCAGACCAAATTCTAAAATGAAATGTCTTTTCTTGTATATTCACGGTTTGGATCAGCAGACAAAGATGGCAACAAAAGACAATTGAAGTATTTTTTTTCTCCACTCTTTATTAGCATGTCAGCCTACCATCATTTGGAAGAGGAGGAGCAAAGAAAAGCCTTCCTGTGGAGACACAGAGGGAAGCTCAGAACCATGCTTCAGGAGGAACGAGACCAGCTGGAGGCAGAGCTTCGACAGCTTGTCCCTGACAAAACCACACGAATGAATCAAATGGTGCAGAAAGCTGAAGAGCTTCATTCAGCAAGAGAGGAAACGAGAAAAAAAGTAGTTCCCTTAAATATTTTTGTTATTGATGGTCAGTGTTTTGCCACGTATGATTCTGTTCTCGTAACTTCTCTGTTTTTGTGTCTTCTAGATTGCACAGGAGCTTCTGAGAGAGCACTGGAAGAGAAACAATGCAGAATTACGACAGGTAAGTGGGTTTGAACTATTCATGCAAAAGTGATTAAAGCCCCAAATCTGGGCTGCACCAATGTGATTAATGACTCTGGGTATCAGGTAAACATCTAGTGTGTGTGTGAAGGACCTGATAATCCAGGAAAACAGAGACTTTTTGTTCTGATGTCCATTTGATCTGAAAACTTATAGCTCTAGTGAGGCACACGTTCCATTACTTTCAGTTAACCTGAGTCTAGCCTTTGCTTTAGAGAGTAAAACGCTCTGGTTTCCTTTCCTCTAGGGGTCAGGTTCATCAGCACCTCTGTCACAACTCAGTCTTTAACTCTGTCTGCAGGCTGAGTCGGCGTTACATAAAGATCATGTTGTCAGCCGGTGGCAGGAGCAGGTATCTGAGAAGAAACAGGTAGGATGATCACCCCGAGTGTTCAATTAAACATGTCAAATGATGTTTATGTCAGTGTTTAATCCGTCCAGCCAGCCATTAAAGCTGCCATTATCCTTTTACATCACCAATTATTTATGTAGCACATCTATTTTTAATCAAAGTGCTTATGCATTCTGTGAGCACAGGATCACATCTGAAAACTCAGGTTAATCCAACTCAACGCCGTGCATAGTTAAGAAAGTTTGACACTTGATGTGAGCAACCCGTCTCATCAAACATGCAGAAAGAAGTGACAGAACGAGAGGAGAAGAGGCGCTTTGAGAACGAGCACGAGAGGACTCGAAAAGAGGCGCAGGAGAGGATGAAGCAAGCGGAGGAGAGACAGAAAGAAGAGGAGCGTAGGAGAGCAGAGGCTCTTCGCCAACAGATGGAAGAACTGAAGATGAGGGAGGAAGAGGTTTTTGCAGCTTCAAAAATAACATCTCTGCTTGTCTAAATAAAGCTTTTCTTACTAACGGTGTGTTGATGCCCTCAGACCTCCCGTCTAAAAAAGGAGCAACAGGTTCTGATGATGCAGCAGGTGGAGCTAGATAAAATAGAAGAGGAGCGGAAGAAGATAGAAGACAGGCGCAAAAAAGCTGAAATGGGGTATAAGCAGCTCTTTCTGTAGATTATTCATCACAAGCTGATCAAACTTCATACATAATTAACTACCATCCAGGAGTTTTTTGATTCGTCAATATAAAGCTCAGCTGAGGAGGAAAGCCCAGCAAGTGCAGGAGGAGCTGGTACGGATCAGCCTCACCCTCAATCCAGATATATCTAATGTTTTATGTAAAATCTTTTTAAAAATCTTTTGTGAACGTCAGGAGGTTGACCGTAAGATCATGGCAGCCCTGCTAGAGGGAGAGGAGGAGGACCAAAGGCTGAAGGCAGCGAGGAGGGAAAGGGCGGTCGCCGACGCTGCCTGGATGAAATCTGTGCTTGAAGAGCAGCTGAAGCTGGAGCGCGAGAGGGAGGCTGAGTTTGAAACTGTCCACAGGTCAGCGTCAAGACTCTGCAAAGAAAAGAGAAGGGGTTCTTCTTCGTTTAAATGCAAACCGATGTTTCACGTGAACTTACAGGGAGGACGCTCAGCGCGTGTGGGAGAAACGAGAAGCTCAATGGGAGAAGGAGAAGAAAGCCAGAGAGCGACTCATGCACGAGGTAAAACCGGGTTTCAGTGAAGGTTTCTCAAAAACGATTCTTTGGATTAAAAGATTTCTGTTTTTTCTTGTAAGGTGCTCGTGGAGAGGCAGCGGCAACTGGAGGAGAAAATGCAGAGGAACCGTGAGGCTCAAGAAAGCTCACTAAAAAGACGCGAGGAGCTGATCCAGGAGTTGGAGAAGGAGAGGGAGCTCAGACGCCTGGAGAAAGAGCAACACGAGGGCCGCAAGACAACAAGGATGCAAGAATTAGATGCTCAGGTTTGTGCTGCTTGTATGATTTTTAGTTTTCGCTTGCAAACATGTCCTAACATTTGAATGGTTAATGCAGGTGGAGCAGAGACACCAGGAGGAGATGGAGGAGCAGCGCAGGAGAGAGCGTGAACAAGAGGAGGACAGGGAGGCTCTTCGGATACAAGAGGAGCAGCTGAGGCTTGAGATGCAGAAGATGGCCGTGAAAGGGTACCAAGAAAAGGTAAAGATGCAGCTCAAACTGTCTGGAAAGAAGATGCTCCTTGGTGTTAAATTAAACTTTTCTTTTTTTTCTCCATTAGATTCACAACAAACCTTTATCAGTACCTGGGCATGTGCTGTCGGGGAGACTGAACTTCTGATGAGCTTCTTTTCTGTTGGTAATCAGCTTTAAAGTGCCAACAACGTAGAAGTCCTCTTTAAACTTGAACCGTTTCAACTTTAACCTTTAAAGTCTACCGAGATGTTTACAGTTTTTGGGTGGAATAGGAGAAAGTGTCCTCGGAGTCTTTTAAAAAGGATGAAACATTATCAAAGGTTATGAAGGCTGTTTGTTGTGCCATGTTTATAACCTGATTTTGATGCTTTTGTTTTGAAAAGCACTTGTACATGTATTTGACTGTAGAGTATTTTTTTTATTCTGATTTTCAAAAACCAAATAAAATGGATGCAAACAAACTCGTGGAGCATTTCTGAGTTGAAAGTTTGAAAAGGTGAACAGAAAAACCTCACAGACCAAAGAGGGATTCAGTTATAAATAAAGTTTATTTAAAAAATAATTTTTCCTCAATTGCAGTGGAGCCGCTACATCACATACATTCCTGCACTCTGGACAAGAACAGGAAGGGTCATTGCTTGGAACAAATTCAAAGTAAAAGCATGAATCCTGAATACTTGGTAAAGTTGGTTTGTTCACTTATACAGGAAACGTGTAGACTTCAGTCTCACAAGATGCACAGTTAAAACTAGCTGCAGAGAGACAATACACACACATGAACATACATGACTATTAGCTCCACAGCACTAATGTGAAGTAGCTGCGAAACACAAGAGGCCTGTTGGAAACAAACCAGAAGAGTAAACATTTTGGCCTCAGAACAAGTCAAACTTGTTGCATTCACCAACTTGACTAATGGGCCCACCGATGCAATAAGAGCTCTGCAAGCAGGAACGCACTGGGACAGGAGGCAAATATCACTGCAGCAAATATTTTTATTGCTAAGCTACAAAGTGAATAAACATTTGTTTTGTATTAAACATTACAACGTGATAATGCTGGTATTTCAGTACCATTTTATTTTATGAGACTATCATGCTGTGTAAATGTGCTTAACTCTGTGATAATATTGTAACTATAAACAGGCCTTGTAGCTGGAAGATATTGTGTCATCTCATAAGATATTGTGCTAAGACGAAAAACTCCATATATGATTAGCATTTTTAGATTTTCACATTTTTTATTATTGTCGATATAATGCATAAATCTAAAAAATAATGCATGCATTAACCACAAATACATTACAAAGTGTGTTAAAACAAAAAGAGAGATGAAGTTGGCTGTGCAGCTCTATAAGTGCGGTTTAGTTGGTATTCTCCTTTGTTGTGATGGTGACTAGCTGCTTGGCAGCCTTGGCAATGTCATAAGCACATTGGATGACCTGCTGAGTGACCAGCTGCATGTCCGGTCCTGAGCCGCCCTCTGCAGGGACGGCCTTCCGGCACTCGTTCTGAAGACGGCACGCGCTGGAGGTCAGCAGGCGCAGCGAGGTTCTGACCGTGTCCGAGCGAGGCTTCTGCAGAAGAACAATTCACTTAGTACTAGTAGAGGTGTGTGTGTGTGTGTGTGTGTGTGTGTGTGTGTGTGTGTGTGCGTGCGTGCGTGTGTGTGTGTGTGTGTGCGCGTCAAACCTTGGGAAAGAGGGCAGCCATTTCTGTTACAGCCACATGGATTCTTTCTGAGCAGGGTACGAAGCTGTGAGTGGAGAAGGTTTGCATGAGTTCAACGTAAAAGCCAATGCAGACGGGTTTTCAGCTTGATTATGCGTCATTTTTGCTCAAATACACTCTCACACAGCTGTTTCCCATTTGCAACTTACCCTTTATGCACAAAGTTAATTCCAATTTGGTGCTTTTTATTATTTGCACACTTCTGTTATTCTATTTGCATTCAATCACATGTCATTTGATTTCTTACAATAATTTATATTCTTATTTTTTTAATGTGGTAAATTCAATTGAATCTTTTAGGATTTCATGTGCAGCCTTGCATTCTTTATTTTTTATTCTTATATTTGCTCCTGATTGCTGCTGTGACACCAACATTTCTCCACTGAGGGGCAATAAAAGGAATAATGGCAACAAAATGAACACAATAAAACAGCAGGCAGATGCAGAAACGGGTCTGTTAGTACGAGACACAGCAGAGGAAGAAACCATGTGAGGGAGAGGAAAATCAAACAGTGCCTGGGAGGCAGGGACAGAAGCCGGAGTACCAGGAGGTGGGGTCGGGGGATCGGAGGCCGAGCGGCTGGAGGGGAGAGGGGGCCTTCTCGGCCCAGGGGACCAGAGTGCTGAAACATCCCAGGCTGTGCCTGAGCCGTCGCACACCTTCACGCTCACATGGTCTGTTCACGAGGATGAAGTGTGGAGAAACCAAACAATGTAACAGCAGCGCGCGGGTGGAGGGAGAATGAGGAGGAGCAAAGCCAGAACAAAAAGCATAGACTGGTAAAAACGGAATAATTATGAACTTACAGGTTTGGAACGGAAAAGAGGAAACAAATGCTAAAAGTCTGACTTTCTGTCCACAGTCTGACCTGTCATGTTTGTTATCCTGAGCAGCTCGCAGGAGCTCCTGGATGTTCTTGGTGATCTGCTCCGTTTTGCGGATGACATCCTCTGTGCTGGGGAGCGTGGAGTCCAACTCAGTCTCCACATCATCTAGTTCAGGGATGGAGCTGCTCTCTCCCGGCCAGCCGCTGCTCCTCTGCCTCCCTCTCCTGCCGAACCTGGAGAAAGGCAACTCAGGAATCAGGCTTTCAAAAAAATCCTTGGAACGTATTAGAACAGGAGTCTTCAACTAGATTTGTTCAAGGGCCAGATGCTCTTCTAAAATAAATTTCAATTATTCCCGAATCTTAATGTACATATTAATGTATTTAATATGTTAATTTCCCTTCCAAATACCAGTTTATTTTGTTATTTTTTACACATTTGTCAGTGTTTATGTTCACATTTCCTTTACAAACCCGAGCCACTGGAGGGCGACTGCAACATATTAGGCTTCCTTTTGTGAAGCGGTTCTGCATCAATTTGACGTTGTGGTTCAAGCACGCCAAAAAGTGCAATCTTCAGTTCCTTTTCTCCAAGGGGGCATTTATGTAAATGTTTTTGATTTATTCAGCTCGTTTCCTCCTCTAACTGTAATTCCTTCAGTTGGCTCTGCCTACCAACCTGGTAAATATTGTTTACTTGTGCATGTGTTGCTTTCTTATTGTGTTTTGTGTCGAGACATCGCAACTACGCGCTATTGTGTTGGAAAGTTCATGAACGTAGATCCTAGGAACTGCTGCAGATTAAATAAAAAATGCTGAATGAGAGCGGAGTTTGTAGTCATTTTTGATTATAGGCTGCTTTTCAGTTTGTTTAAAGTGACAGTGTGTATTTTCCCTGGCAATAGGGGGCAGTAGATACCTAAATTGTTGCAAGCAAGCTGCATTTTTGTGTTGGAGTAAGACCTTACCAACAGATGCCCATTAGGGTCAAAAAGGCACAAACTTTAGCAAAATAACAAGCACATCAAACTCCCTTTCATCACTTGCAGTGAGTGAAGATGTAAATGTGTAAAACAACATTTATTAATAGTGAAATTTTTGTAATCATTTTTAAAAAAATCAGTAAATGCGTTCTTCTTCCGGCACTCGCAGAGTACAGATGCTTCTGCTTTTGCTCCCTTATCTTTTTTTCTCAAGGCTCTTTGTCCTGTCTGCCCACAGAGCGCTTCTCTGCATTTCTTCTGAAAAACCCTATTTTTAAGAATGGATTTAATTAATTGGTCATTCAACGCAATTGACAAGATTTGTTCTACGATGAGAACGGAGGAGGGGGCTCCCACTTGCCCGCAAGGGACACACGCAGTGGGATATATGCTCGATTCCTGGAAGGAGTGGAAGATCGTATGCCTCTCTCAGTTGTCCATTGAGGACGTCGAAGATGTGTGGATATTTGGACTGATGATCACTGGATTTCTTCTGATTGGAGTGGGAGGATATCTGGTTTTCTGGAAATTTGGAAAGACGGGAGCGATTGGAGGGCGACCCGCACCCACGGAAAGCACAGTCCGTGTGGAGACTTCTCAGACTGGGACGTTACTCGAGGTGAATCATAAGCTGGTCAATGTTCTAGCTGCGATACCGGTATTAGTGCGCAAAATGGATGTCATCTCGGAGAGGGTCACTGGATGGTGTGGAGATGTTTAAAACCTGAATTGGCTTCACTGGAGGACTTGAATGATCAGTTACAGACTTCAAGGCAGAGAGGAAAATTATCTCTGCCTGACCCAAACAAAGTCTTGTTATCCGAATCTGACGCCATGGCAGCCTTGTGAATGCCAACAACAAACCCCCACGAAGGAATGCAGACAGATGCTGTGAAAACCCGACCTACCCCCCGCCTTCGGATTGGTGGACTTCAGCCTGGCGAGGTCATCAACCTGCAGGTGTCAATGTGCTCTGCGCTCCTCCCAAGATCTCCCTACCACCTGTGGCTACAGTGGCTGAGCGCCATAGGGCTGCTCTAGCTGGGGAAACAGGATCCCAGCCCCCCCCCCCCCCCCGCCTTCCTCTTGGTGTCTCATGTTGTGAATTGTTGATGTTCATGCTTATATGTTTGAGGCGTTTTTTTTTTTTTTTTTTTGCATAGTAAAGCTACGCCCTGCCGGGAGTAACTCTGGTATGTCTTTTTTTCCCCTCCCCCAATTTATCCTCATGTGATCCCCTTTTCATCTAATTAACGGTAGCGCGACTCTAGTTGCGAATGACCACAATACCAATTCTTCTGTACTGAAACAATTGCCTCTCGGGGATGATTAAAGTTTTTTTGAATTTGAATTTGTCCTCAAGGGCTCCCATAGGAGGAAACATGGCATCTAACTTAGACCTGCTCCCATATAATTTAGACCAGATTTCTATGGTTAAATGTTACGAAGCCACCAGTATTTTTCAACAATTAGGCATCATTTCATTCATTTTCAATTTGATGGATATTTCCAGAGATTAACAATAAAAACTACACAATGTCACTTTAAGGCACACTTGGTAGTTTTAGCATGCTTTTAGCACCCCTGGTGTCTGTTTAGTAGAACGTAAAGTGAAACTTATCTCCTCGTTGTGCAGTTTCCTTTATAACAACATAATCTAACTGCTGAAACGTCTCCTCAGCCTTTGTTCGTTTCTACAGGAGCAGTTCATCACTAACTCAGCTGTCTTCACAATCTAAAACATGCAGAAAATGTGCTGCAAGCAGACTTCAGTGCCAGGCATGACAGTTCAATTTTGCCCAAGTCCAACAGGTGGCGCCTGCCACTTTGAAGTTGCAAGTGTGATATTCTGGCCACAGAGGGGACGGGGGGAGTAACATTTCATTAACCCTGCAACGACGGTGGCACAGGAGTTAAGTGCTCGCCCCGTAATCGGAAGGTTGCTGGTTCGAGTCCCGCTCAGTCTGTCACTGTCGTTGTGTCCTTGGGCAAGACACTTAACCCACGTTGCCTGCTGGTGGTGGTCGGAGGGACTGGTGGCGCCAGTGCTCGGCAGCCTCGCCTCTGTCAGTGCGCCCCAGGGCAGCTGTGGCTACATTGTAGCTCATCCCCACCAGTGTGTGAATGTGTGTGTGAATGGGTGAATGACTGATTGTGTTGTAAAGCGCCTTGGGGGGTTCTAGGACTCTAGAAGGCGCTATATCAAATACAGGCCATTTTTGCCATAAACGGTCATTTTAGTACATAGCTCAAGAAATTGATTTAAAAATAGGAAAAAGTTGCTTAGTAAGGTGTGAGAACAACGTTGCAGCTTTACGAAGACCCTTTCATTTGACAGAAAAAGTAGAATGTACAGGTAGAAAGGTTTGGTGGGCTGAGTGTGGCCCACGGGCCACCAGTTGACATTCCCTGTTTTACAACATATGCAAGGAAACACTCTTACCCAGAGCTGTCCATCTCAGAGTCATTGAATGTGTTGTCGTAGTCACTTTCCGGCATGCTGCTTTGTTTTTCCAACTTTGAGGTCTAAAGGAAAAAAGGTGATCATGAGTACACAGCTGCAGCTTGGATGCACGATCAGGTGCAACGGTGTCGGGGTTAAAATCAGCTGACCTGATTAAAAAGTCAATAAAGCTGCAAAAGCCAGAGCACATTAGTTTATGATCTTTAACCTTATCCAGGGGCGTTTTTACTTATAAAGGAAAAAAAAGCTTTGATTCTGTCCGAAAAGTCTAGGAGCGTTTCTGTAAGCATGAAATAAATGTGTAATTCTTGTTTGGATTTTACATCAGAGGTTTGTGAATTTAACAGGGTAGAATAAAACACGGCTGGAATGGCTCACCTTCACACTGAATTCAAAGCTACCCTTGAAACAAGACACAGGTATATTCACACCTAGCATGTTTTTTCATTTTCACTCATAGCTGACCTCCACATACAAGTATTTAGATTACATTCTTGCACATTGTGGAGTCTGAAGCGTAGGTTTGCGTTTAAATGGTGCAGATGGGCTAAATTTCTGTTTCATCCACATTTTTTTTTTACTGCAAACACGTGTTGTTTGGCCGTGTTAAAGCAAAATCGAGCCATTTTTTGACAGTCAAAAGAAAGTTTGTCTTGTTTAAAAACTTGGTTAACAACTAAATGAAATCAATCTTTTTCACAAATTGCATATTTTCAAATATTTTTTTGCAATTTGGAGATTCATTCACCAAATCTATTTTTGACCAGATTTTTTTCCACATCATCAGCAACATGTTAGAAAGAAGCTGTTAAATTCTGCAGCTGGATCTGCTCAGAGTTCAGCCGTCAGGCGGAGGTTTTGGTCAGCAGAGCGGTGAGGATGATGCTGATGAAAGCAGCCAGTGGAAGGACGGCTCATGCACCAGAGCAGCAAAGAAGCTGGAGGACGTAGGACAGGTCAAACCCAAGAGGACGTGATGCTTCCTACCAGGTGCTGACCCGGTGTGTGTGTGTGTACTTAACCTGAATGCTGTCGTCCTTCGACCAAGACAGGGTGGATGGGAATGAGGGAAGGGATGAAGAGGTCACAAAAGCACATCTTTCTGACTACAAAGACAGGGTCAAATCATATTTTAAACATAAATACATGCTGGTGATGAATGTTGACTCCATTTAGATCCAGATTAAGTTTAATAGCAATGCAGAACCAGTTGATGGGAGAATGTGCAGGATGAATGACGATGGAAGCAAAACGGCAAAAAACAAAGTTCTGCTTCGTGTTAAGAGTGAATTTAGGATTAATTATTCTGACTCATACAAATAATTTATTTGTTTGACAAACGTTAACCTCATGCATGTTTTAAAATCCAACATAAATAAAGATGCTGGCTGTAAAAATAGATAAATGTAACTCATCGATTCAAAATTTAAGTGACGCGTTTAATCAGAAAGGGGATCCAAACAGATGAGGTGTGTGTGTGTGTGTGTGTGTGTGTGTGTGTGTGTGTGTGTGTGTGTGTGTGTGTGTGTGTGTGTGTGTGTGTGTGTGTGTGTGTGTGTGTGTGTGTGTGTGTGTGTGTGTGTGTGTGTGTGTGTGTGTGTGTGTGTGTGTGTGTGTGTGTGTGTGTGTGTGTGTGTGTGTGTGTGTGTGTGTGTGTGTGTGTGTGTGTGTGTCATGCATTACAGAACACAGAGCATTTCTTTGATTTTAATGCTTCAACATGAGACAGTACAAAACTTCACAGCTGAACATTGTCACAGCGACTTCCGTTTTCCACAGCTGCAATTTGTCCCAAAACAGGAAGCAGAAAACAACTGAAACATGAAGAGAATGAATCTGTTCGACACCGGACAGAACAATGAGTTTCAATGAGTCGATCTTTGATGAGGCAACAAAAATAAATGACCCAGAGGCAGATTAAAAAAAAAGGATGGAGGAAAACATTTGCAGGAAAGGGAGAGACAGAAACAGGGTGGTGGAGAGGAAGCAGCAAAGGAGAGCAGGTCTTACTTACATGAGGTGGGAAGGGTTGCAGGGTGGGGAGACCCTCCTCTGGGTAAGGGCTGTCCCCTTTGGGGACATAGGGCTTCAGGACCGAGCCAGTCTCATACATAGACATGGGCCGACTGGCCCGCGCAGACTGCCGGTGTTTCAGGGCTGAGGGGCTGGAGGGGTCGGGGTAGTCTGGACCGCTGGGGGTCTGATACATATGGGCTGTGACCTGCCGCCTCAGAGAGGTGTTCTCGCTTTGCAGAGACTGAAGCTGGAAGAGACGGTCAGCAAGACACCAAGAAGCGCTCAGCAAAGCAAGCTTGTTTCTCTGACATGACTCATCCTTCACCTGCCTCAGCAGCTCCTATCTGACATGTGGAGATCATCTCAACTCTTCTTAGTATTAGTTTAGCAGAGTTAGAAAACATTCATGCAGATGATTCTAGTTTGTTTCATCACAAAACCATTATTTTCCTTTACACCCTGGAGCAGCTTCAGAGTCTGTTCCTGGCCAGCTGCTGCAGGAAAACCGGATTCATGCAATCGTCTGATGCACCTGTGATGGAATTATAGGGAGGGGACTTATTCTGGTCTAAAAATGCAAAGCAAGTAATAAGCAAGCGAGAGGTTGTTGCACAAAGATGCAGCTAAAGTACAGACAGGCTGTAAAAAAGCATTCAAGAGCAGAAAACTGGCTGCAAAACAACGCAACACTTTGCGAAAGGGGAATGTTTTTGATAAAAGAGGGGATTTAATACTACCATTAATAGTATCTGCTCTTAAGTATTCAAATATGTTTGAATTGGATTATATTCCTGAATACTGCGCTCACATGTTTGTAGAAAATACTAACAACTAAAAAACATAATACTCTGGCAGTTTTTTTTCTCCACCATGATCCAAATAATTAACCCAGCATCTATCAAAATTAATTCTTCTCATCTTCTTCCCAAACTGTGTATTTCTGTACTCATGAGTCTAACAGAACACACAGAGCTGAGACGGGGCTGAAATTTGTGCTGATTCTCCAATTTCAGAATAAATTATTAGATGTAAAAATACTAATGTTTCTAAGTTAGTAAAAGTATTTTTTCCTGGTTTATGTAGCCATTTAAAAATAATACAAAACAAATCAAATAAGAAAAACAAAATTCTGAAAATGATCTAAAAACGTATCAAATAAAAAAATAATCCACAAAACAGCTCATTCAGAACCTAAAGCTACAAATAAATCATGCTTTTGTTTCTAAAGCATGCTTGTTAGTAACTTGTTTATCAACCATGACAAAGCAACATTTGACTGTTATCATTAATAAAGTTACAATCAACAAAAGCGTTAAACTCTCCCGCGTTGTCTCTAGATCTGGAGCATGCTGGTTAAGAACCGAGGCCGGGGCGGTGGCGAACGCTCCGTCCCCCTCCCGCTGTTAGTGATCTTATTGTTGGAACGCGGCCGATACCTTTTTCCTCATGAGTCTCAGCTCATCGTTCAGGTCGTTGTGGGTTCGTGTGAGCTCCAGGATCCTGGCTTCGGAGACAGACAGAGCGTTTTTCACCTCCATGAACTCTTGCATAGTAATGGGGCCATCAGACAGGTCAGAGTCCAGGCTCTGTTGGTGACGCGAGTCAGAAACCCAAACAATAAAAACGTGTCTTTAATGCTTTCTGGGGTTTTTTTTCTACCTAATGGCCGAATACCTTTGTCCGATCTTCTTTGCTTGAAGGAAGCTCTTGGTCTGTATCCTCGTCGGACGCCACGTTGTCATAATCGTTCTCGTTATCGTTATCTTGGCTATCGCCGCAGTGTCTGAAAGGCGTGCTCTTCAGAATGAACTCGACGTTATCTGGTGGGTGAAAAAAAATCCAGACGGTTAAAATCCGTACTTTAAGTCCGTTATTTGGGTATTTTTGGAAGAACAGAAAGACGTGAACCTTTAGGGCTGAAGACTGAATTCCCCAGCTGTCTGCGTTTAGCATCGCTCAATATGTCAATCAATAAAGTCGCAAATTCATGTGCGTTAAATCTTGCGAGCTTCTGTCGTCCCTGAAAGCAGTGAGCAGCGTCACGCAGCAGAACTGGTTTTGGCTGTCAAGTAAAGACCGGAACCGGATTTACCTGATTTCTGGTGGAGGAGTACTCTGGATTCACAGGAAGGAAAGGAACCACCGTGGTCTCCGTCACCAGGGTGTTGTGATTCTGTGTGGCCAACCACACTGCAAACAGTGACATCATCAACATTTGCCCACGGCTATAATCATCACCTTTAACTGACACAGTGAAGAGGTTTTAATGGCTAATACTCATTCACCTGCGTCAGTCTCTCGTCTGTCCACCTCATCGTACACGTCCATGGCCAGCTCCTCAAATAAGTGATTACTGAGCTGCACGGGCACCAGGTAACGTTTAGTTTTAATAAAAGACTAGAGAATCCGTTTTAATATTAAGTACTTACAGACTGCAGTTTCCTCTTTGCTGCTTTTGCAAGTTCAGATAAATCGGAGCTGCTGCAAACAGGGAATACATTTGGTTCAAATAAGCGTAAGAATTCAGACTTTCCATCGACGCGATGCACTTTTTACTTCGACTTATACTTACGTGTTTCTGATCCATCAAAAGTCCGCATACAAATACAAATCACATGTACTGTTTAGTATTAAAAATGTGATTTATTTTCGGCGTGGATTGCGTTTTTTTGGTTTTAAGCTTTATTGTCCAACTATAACTTTACTGCAACAATCAAAACCAAACTACTTCCTTACCTGTCGGCCAGCTGTGGGACAACAAAGTGCTCACCGCTTCTATGATCTGAACCAAACGAGGAGACAAAAAGTCACAGTCAGTATTTATGAGACACATTCAGCAACAAAAGAGCTACGTTCAACGCTGCTAATGACGGACGCCTCCCACCGCATACCTGGTTTTCGCCCACACAAGTAAAAGGCCAGCCTGTCGGTGAGCTCGTACTGAATCTCCACCAGCCTGTCTGCCAGGTCATGGTGACCAGCTTCTCTAAAATAAATACAACAAAGCTTGATGCTTATAATAGAAGGTTCAGTTGGTTTCATCTGTTAGAAAAGTTACTTTGCGTGGTGCACGGGAGTTTTGCCGTTGCAGTCTAAGGCTCCAGGATCAGCGCCGTAAACGGATAATAATTCAGCCTGAGATATTTGTCCTTCCTTTGCAGCTACGTGTAACGGAGTGTTCCCCTTTTCCTGGGGTGGAGATTAAAATCATGTGAGATCTAATTAGTACAACATGCATTTATGTATTAGTAATAAATAAAAACAAAACAGTCTTACAGGGTTGAAAAAATTGGCTTGTGCTCCGAGGGACAGCAACCTCAAACAAGTCTCCAGATTTCCAGTGCGTGCACACGAGTGAAGTTGCTAGCACGGAAATGTAGCAGTTAGCTGAAAAAGCACTAAATCTCATCAAATCTGAAGGAATAACTGTTTCTCCTCACCTTACTTAAGTCCTTGGCCGTGGAGCTGTCATCCTCTCGACAGGGCATGCGATGGACGAATGCCAGCATTTGATATTTGGCTCTTATAAACTCTGATTTGTTTGGGCTTTTTGGAAACAGACATGAAGACAAAAACTAGTAAAATCCAACCAAACAACAAGCCCTCTGTAATGGATGTGAACTGTAATGTCTCACTGAAGTTTGTCCTGAGGGTTGGCCTTGCGTTTTCCACTCATCACAGATGCAGGGTCCAGAAGGGAATGTTCCCATATTGAATTTGCACCATTACTGTATAATGTCTGAACCATCTAGGAGAGAGACAAAGACGTCTTTTAAAACGCGTCCCCAGCGACAGAGACAACACGACGCTGACCAGATGTTACAGATTTCCTGTCCAGCTTTATTTAAACAAAATCCGTGCACCCCGGCTGTATTCAAGACCCTAAACTGGGGCTACACTAATGATGGTGCAACATTTATTTAGACAGACCTGCAGCTGTGTTGGAGGCCAAGGTGTGTGTGTCAGGTGACGGACTTGAGAGCTGTGTCGGCCTAGACTTCGATGAACACTGCAGCACTCGTCACAAATCAACACGCCTCGGTTCACCGAGGCCCAGCGAGGCTCTGTGAGAGAAACATAAACACCGGCTGATTAGAGAAGTCGTTTAAGGTGTGAGAACAACGTTGCAGCTCTACGAAATTCCAGAATATTTTACAACTTTGAACCACTTAAGAAATCCATGCATTTATCTGTCAATCTGTAGCTGCATCATTCACCTACAGCCCATTTTAAATTGACATGAAACCATGCATTGTTTGTAAAAAGGAAGTGAGGACTACAGGTGGAAGCTGAATGCAGCTTCCTCTTTCAAAATAACAGACTTGGAACAAGCTGTTTAACAAATAAAAGTTTAATCTGTGACCAAATTCAGATTATATGCGTCGGTTCCTCACTTATCTACCACATCTCAACTAGATTATGTGTCAGAGTGTTTTTCTGTTGCGTTGCATCTGAAAAGAAGCTTTTTCTGACACTTATGACTCCAGAATAAAGCTATTGTTAACTCATTTGACCTTCACACAGCCAATAAAGCACACAGGCTGTCTGGGTGCGTGAAAGGGCAGACACTAGAGTCTGGAGAGGTCCGTGCAGCAGCTGCAGGAGTTGCCGCTCAGACTCTTGTCTCCTGGTCCCCGGATTTAAGGATCTCTACTTAACAGCTCTCTGACGAGACCTCCTGACGTGCCTCTTTAATGCTTTCCTCAACAAGAGCTTCTAAATTTGATCCCACATCTTGAAACTCTAAAAATATTAGCGCCCAACAACTGGTGGCTGACATATGGTGGGGCAGCTGCTGGGGAAAAAAATCAGGGCTAACAAAAAATGTAACAATAACAGGTAAAGGGTTATTATTATTATTATTTGCTTTAAAAAAGTCTGTTATTTTGATACAGTTTAAGAAGCAGGAAATATATTATGGCAACACAATAGCTGAAGAATTCTTCTGCGATGAGATTTAGCTGTCAGCATCCTGTTCTGCTTCCTGTGCTTGCTGCAAACATCACGTATGTTATGCTTACTATAAATGGAAATTATGCATTTGTCTGACACAATATGATCATCTGTGCAACTTCAATAGAAACATTGGGTTGTAGAGGATTAAATTCGGGGGAAATCTGTGAGAACAAACTAGATTATCCTGTCAAGATTGGTAAAAGGTGTGACTTGAATAAATAAATTTACTTAAGATAAACTATATACTGTACTAAGAAGTTTTAGGTTTATAGTGTAAATCGTTTGTCTGCTTGTTGGAATTTTTAGGGGAAATTAGGTTGAAAACACGTTAAAAGGAAATCTGGTCTGCAGTGAGTTCAGCTCAAACTCGATATGTCACTGACTTGTTACAAATGACACGACAAATAAAAGGCATATTCACAATTTATTAGCCAACAAAGTCCCTGGTAAAACTACAGGAAACGGACGACCTATCTGCAACGAAAGCAGCGCTGTAATCTGGTTTCATTTAATCCAGGTTGATCGAACCAAATGTCAACAAAAACCAAATGGGATACACTGAATGTAAATGTTCCTACCTGGAGCGTTGCAGTCTGCACAGATCTCCGTGTTTCTCAGACGTTTAGACATCCTGAGCTGGGGAGGAAATGCCTTCTAAAATGTGTAATGTAATATTTCCGTTATGATAACATTTGATGTGGTTCCGCGTTAGCTAAACTTCGCTCTTTGAGCAAACCAATCATCGAATTGCTAAACTATTTCATTTAGGTAAATGTCTAGCGTGTCGATTTAGCTAGTGTGTGCCACGAGTGATATTAAATAGCCTCTCAGGACTTAAAAGCTTGCCTGGTATCAAGCTGACAAGGCACCACCTGCCTTGCTTCCTAGCCCAATGCACATTTGGTAGTTTACTGATCGAAAGCAGCTGCGACCAATTCGTATGAGTTATTGAACCCACAGCCTAGACTGGCAGGAAATAAACCCTGTAATTACAACATTACTACACAAATTACGCCTCTTGGTTAAACAGTAATGTATAAGCAATTAAAATATTTATATTTATTGTTTGGGGGTATATTTAGCTTATTTAAACCTAAAAACAGCGCAAAATCATGTCTATTGTTAACCTGAGAGGGAAAATTGAGGGCAATAAAACACTGCTGCTCACAGAGACGCAGAAGGTGCGTTTGATCTATTAACCTTGTAGCACGGTGGAATAGTTGAATTTACATCTAATTTAAAACTTTACACACCACAAGTATGATTTCTGCCTTGTTCATAAAATAGGTGCGGGGCTGGAGTTATTTTGCACATGATTGATCTCATTGATTAAAGGTTTTAATTCATCGTGCATAACAAAACATTAAATAACTCTCTGAGAAAATTACCACAGAAATACATGAATTAAAAATATATAATAACAAAAGTGAAGAAGTGCCATATAATGCAATATGTAATATTTATTAATATTAAATATGATTCGGGAGGTGATTCTACGGACGGTGCAGTGTTACATTTTTAACCTTCCCAAAACGTAAAAGTAACGAGGATATGTCAGTCAAATCTGTGATTTTATTCATTCAAGCACAATGCTTACCTTTTATTTAATTTATTTTTACATTCTACAACAAGATGAATGCTAAGAATTAAATATTGAATGTTTAAAATATGCTCAGCTAAGACGTTTGTATATTTTAGACATGATTCTTATCCCCCCATGCTAACATGTCAAATGGTTTCGTCCAAACTGGAACCGTCTATCAATAAATAAATAACAACAGCGCCTTTTGTTCCAAAATCGTGACTTTGTTTTGTGTCTTCAAAATTAAAACTTATTTTTACGTTTAATTTATTATAATTCTATAATTTGTTTTAATCATGATTAAAAAAAACGTGATTGTGTATAGGGTTAGGTAAGTAGGACACCCCTGTCATTACGAGGTTGCTCTTCCTGGCACTTCCTTGTTCAAAAGTTTTTTTTTTTTATGGGAAGGCTCCAGGGGAGAAAGTTGGTCATCAGATTGTGTTTCTAACTTAAATTCTACGGTCATCTCTGAAGACGTGGACTATGCGTGTCGCATATTTTGATTTAACTAGCTACGGCAGCTGATTTGATGGGTGGTTTTTAACGACTGTCAGCGGTGAAAGGCTGGAGAAAGAGGAAGATGTCGATGGCTAACGTTAGCGAAGACATCCGAGGGAAGTTTCCTCTTCATTCCGCTGTTTGGGAGAATGATTTCAGGAAACTGGAGGAGGAATTACGATCGCTGCAGGTTAGTAGATGCGACGAACTTTTTATTATCCACACATCTGTGTTTTAGTGGTTAAACAAAACGAAACCGGAGTTAGCTGTTTGGTGGCCTTAGTTGAAAGTAGGCCATTGATGTTGACAGATGCTGCTGACACACACACACACACACACACACACACACACACACACACACACACACACACACACACACACACACACACACACACACACACACACAGTCTGAAATATTATAGATCAAACTGAGTGGTTCAAGGTTAACATCCTTCATAGACGTAATAATACAGACATGGGCGAACCATAAATGACACATATAACATGGGATAATAATATTTAAGAATATGCGTTTATTAGTTGTTTATTACTCATATATTTTTTATTTATTGCATCTAGTGTGAAATAACTGAGCACAAAATCAGCCTTATGATGTATTTTTATTTTAAAATCGTTAAAAGGCCGTATAAATCAGCGTTACTCACTCGTACCTGTAGTCTCTCTTGCATTGTGATACATTTTGTGTCGTATTGCCAGATCTTACCAATACACACCTCAAGTTTTCACAGTGTAATTTGCTCAGATCACCAACTATTAACATAGTTATTATATAGTGACTTGTATGAGAAACGTGCATGAAGCTGTTATTGTGGTAAGTACAGTCAGTCATTTACTATTATGAGCAAACGCTTAAATGATTAGTTAGATTGTTGTTTAGTTACAAATCCTGCACAAAATATACGTTTATCATCATCTGGTGTTTAACTATTTAAATTATCTGATATTTTTCCTCAGAATGAAATTGAGACTGTGGACCCTAGGGGTCGGACCCCTTTGCACCTGGCTGTGTCCCTGGGACACCTGGAGACCGTAAGAGTCCTCCTGAGACATGGCGCTCAAGTAACTAAAGAAAATGCCCATAACTGGACAGGTTAGCTCTACACCTGAATAAGATGGCAGATGAAATAACTCTCTGGGTTTCTTCATCACTTAGAACCCTTCATATATTTTTAATGGGATTTCTGATTTATGCATAGCACACTCTTTATTGTTTCGGTGAAACAGTTACTGTTGCAGTGAGGTTTTGTAATGGGGAATGTGCTATGTTGGTCCTTAAAAAGGTTTAGTGGTTTTCCGAACGCTTGTTTGTTGTGTGTAGTGCTACAGGAAGCGGTCAGCACTGGAGATCCGGAGATGGTTCAGTTAGTGCTTCAACGCAGAGACTACCTCAAAGCCTCCACTGCTCTGGGAGGAGTGCCTGAACTGCTGCTGAAGATCCGAGAGGTTGTTACCCATTCGTGTGTGTGAGCCTGGAAACAATTACCTGACAAATAAGCATGGGTCTGATTTTATTTATCTCCAGTCTCCAGACTTTTATATGGAAATGAAGTGGGAATTTACCAGCTGGAGTAAGTTTTTCTTTTATTATTATATTTTAGAAGTTTAGAGAAAAGGTTTCCCTGATTTGAACATTGATGTTCTTTTGTGTGCAGGGGTTTCCCTGATTCATGGTAATATCGGCTAAGTAGAGTTTATTTTGTTTTGTTGCCACCGATTACCCCAGTTGTGTTAATTAAGTCTCTATTGGTTCATTTTCTTTTGTGTAAATAAATGTGTTTAAGTTTAGCTTTTAACATCCCAGACAAGCCCCCATTTGTTACCCCAGGACCCCTCGATAGCATGGGTTGTAACAGTCATTCAAGTCAGAGGAAGCATTTCTAACGATGTAGCACCTGATGACTGGCTTAGAATGCTTCATCAGAGCCTACAGGTCAAAGGACATACCTACAAGTTTATCGAACCACATTCTTTTCATTGGGATGTTTTCTCACACGGTTGTTTTAGTTCCTCTTCTGTCCCGGATTTGTCCGAGTGACGTTTGCCGCATTTGGAAAAGTGGCGCCTGCCTGCGAGTGGACACCACTCTCCTCGGATTTGAAAACATGACCTGGATCAGAGGTCGCCGAAGTTACATCTTCAGAGGAGACGGTGTGTGTTTGAATCACAACACCAAAATCCCCAATTCTGTTTATGAAAGCTATTTCTGTAAAGGGCTGTTTGTATGCTGACAGAGTCATGTGCTGAGCTGATGGAGATGAACCACGATGATGGAGTTGTTGACGTCGAGCGCTTCAACATATCTCAAGAAGTAGAGGATGTCACGCTGGAGTCGATGCAGCCAGCTGAGCAGGAAGTTGCCAAAAGACTAACAACACCTATTGTCAACACCTACTTAGACACCAAGAATATTGCTTTTGAAAGGTAAAGATTTTTATTTATTTTAATTTCCTTTTTGTCTCAGAGCACAAAAGGATTAAACTCCATAGATGTTCCATTTCTTTTAGTCTCTTTTGTTTTCATATAATTTATTATGGTCATAGTTTTACCAGGCAGATTATTACCATATTTATCTTCCATGTTCATTTTTTTTCAGTAGACAAGGCAATTTATTTATACAGCACATTTCAAACACAGGGCAATTCAATGTGCTTTACAATTAGCATTAAATGGCACAACAACAAACACGAGAACACAAATTAAAAATATCCACAGATAAAATTATAATTTATAGCTAACAGGAAAACACAGAATTATGGTTGAGCAACTGTAACACGTTACAGTGGAGACGATGCAGCATAAGAAACCATTTAAAGGCTGATGAGTGCATTAGGGTTTTAAGTTTTGATTTAAACAACACTAGAGTTGGGGCAGATCTGAGGTCCTGGGGAAGCTGATTCCATATGTGTGCAGCATAGTAACTAAATGCATCTCCACCATGTTTGGTTCTGACCCGAGGTTCTACCAGCTGATTGTTTCCAAGGGATCTCAGAGCCCTATTGGGTGTATATACAGGAATGAGATCGGACATGTGTTTTGGTCCCATGCCATTGAGTGATTTATAAACTAGTAGGAGCACTTTGAAATCTATTCTGTAGTTTACTGGTAACCAGTGTAGAGATCTAAGAACAGGAATGATGTGCTCCATTCTCCTAGTTCTTGTTAAGACTCTAGCAGCAGCATTCTGAACAAGCTGCTGTTGCTTCACAGCTTTTTTGGAAGGACCAGTTAGAAGACCATTGCAATAGTCCAGCCGACTAGAAATAAAAGCATGAATGAAAGTCTGGTCTGGACATGAGACCTCGAACTCTTGATATTTGATGAAGGTGATAAAACGCTGATTTAGTTATTGCCTTAATATGTCCAGAGAAGCTCAGGTCTGAGTCAATGATGACACCAACATTTCTAACTTATATCTCCACCAATGATCTTTTTTTTTTTTTTTTTTTTTTTCCACAGGAGCAAGTCAGGAATTTGGGGTTGGAAAACTGATAAAACAGAAGTTGTCAATGGATTTGAATCGAAGGTTAGTCCACATGGGCTTTTGAACTTCTATATTTCTATGAATTAAAAAAAATAATTTCACTGGAAACTGTGTTTTTATTCCATGATAATTAAATCGTGGTTGTTTTCTCAGGTTTTCAATGTCAACAACGTAAACGTTGTCATCAGAACACGAACGGAGCATTTAACAGATGAGGAGAAAACCAGGATTAAAAGTTGGTGCAAATGTTTGCCTCCAACATGCGTCCGTTACACATTATGCTTTTAAAACTACATCTGACTTTTTCTGTTCAAAGGTGAAAGGAACGTTTTAGAGTCTCTGCTGGGAACCGTGGAGCAGCACATCAGTGCACAGGGGGTGAGTTGTGTAGTCTGTCAACACCTAATAAATAACGGAAGTTTGTCTCCACTCAGTGACTCATTCCAGGTGATTGCTTGAAATTTCAGGACCTAACTCTTGAGTATGCAACAGCCACAAATCCCACCGCTATCACCCCAGAGGAATATTTTGACCCCGACTTTGACCTGGGTGACAGAGACATCGGCCGCCCTATTGAACTCACCATTCGAACACAGAAGTAAGTTGGATTTATATTCATTTAAAGCAGCAATCTGGAGTTTTCCACCTTTCAGGAATTATGCATGATGTTCTAAAATCCTAAAAAAGTGACAGTCTCACCCTGTTCTGTGATATATTGTAGGCACTATGTAAATTTGTTTATGTTGCTAAGCCCACCCTCAATCAGATAGAGCCCTATGCAGATTGAATTGAGCGGCGCTCAGCATTAGTTTATAGTGCATGCATTTGCAGAAGTTGGCAACATTTCTTTTGGACAAGTAAGACTACAAAATATATAAATTAGGGGTGGAACTCGATTAAAAAGATTAATCTAATTAATTAGAGGCTTTGTAGTTACTTAATATTGATTAATCACATTTTAATCGTTCAAGACAATTTGCCCCCAAGCAATTTTTTTTTTATTAAAAATCATGTTAGTGAGGCAGAGATGATACACCTGCACTTTAATGAGTATATTTCTATAACCACAAGGTCTATTTGATTACTTTGGTCTCAATGTGGGATTTTTTGGGATGTGTAAATATTAGTATGTGTTATTGATGACGTGTAAATAGACATGGAATATTGTAAATGTTGTGTACTGAATTGAACACTAGGTGGCAGCAGAGCACTGCTAATATATATAGAGGTGTATCGTAGAGTTCAGGGGCCTCATTTATCAAGCTTGCTTACGCACAAAATGGGGTCGGAAAACTGCGTAAGCAACTTTCCATGCAAACTTTGGGATTTATCAAAGAAAACTTAGCAGAAAAATGTGCGCAACTTAAAGTTGACTAAGGACCTGGCTTACGCACATTTTGGACATGGAGAGCACCTGCAGTGCTGCTGCTGAGAAGGATACAATTATGAAATCCTGCAGCATTATCACTTGTACTGCTTCGTTTTTACACGGAACAAGACCCCCCACACGCACACGCGCGCGCGTACACACACATGCGAGCACACTCACACAACAAACACGAGCGCAAACACACACACACACACACACACACACACACACACACACACACACACACACACAGCCTGAAGCGCAGAATACGGAATGCAGAATATCAGCAGGGGGACAGATTGAGACAGAATGTCATGCATCTGTGACCGTGTGTGTGTCCTGTCACTGTGACTGACTGATCATGCGCCCTGGCTACTTGGACAGGGGAGATCTCCGTTTGGGTGACTGGTTAGCGTGCATGACTTTCACCCGGAAGTCTGGGGATCGAATCCCGATTGGACCTTTTTTTTTTTTTTCCGCCACAGATCTCTGAAGAATTCACATCATTGACGGCTTCAGCAACGCTGTGCCACTCCGTGGATTTTCTCTTATTTGTTTCGCAAAAGCACTTCCTTTCATATCTCCACCTCACCCACAAGTACCTCAATTTCTGCTTGTGAAATTGCGCTTCCTTGATCTGCCTTGATCTACGGTCGTCATGTCATTGGCGGAGCGCTGCAACAGCCAGTTTATGTATATGCATGAGATCCACAAGGCACTTTGCATTGACTATTTATGGCAGTAAGTGGGCGTGGTGAGGGCGGGATGTGACTAAAATGCAGCTGGGAAACATTCTCGTTAGTCTTTGATTTATGAAGCAGAGATTGCGTGCAGCTGTGCGTACTCCATGTTTGATAGATCACAAACCTACTTGGCGTAAGTACTTTTTTTTTTTTTTGCTGCACTTAAGTACGGTTTTAGTAAGGATTCTATGCAATGTTTGATAAATGAGACCCCAGGTGAAGTTCTGCTGAGGGTTACAAGATGAATGCTGCATGCTTGTCCCTCCTGCTGTAATAAAGTTCATATGGATAAAGTTACTGCCTGCCTGCTTTCTACTGACTACATGAAGAGTGATTTAAGATTCATTTAAGTATAGTTGTAGTTGTTTGGAGCACATAAAAAAGGTTTATATGTTCTTGTAGCCCAGGCTCTACAGTTTTGTTAGAGGTGATATTTATTGATATACAGGGCAAAATGTTTGATCCTCAACTTTTTAGCCCCTGCAATTGGGGATTCATTTTTTAAACGCATACATTTTTTCTAATTAAATAACCATAATTAACATGTTTAGTTTCCGCCCCTAATAAAATATGAATAAACAATTAGTTTTAGCTCTGCTGTCTGGCTAGAGGTGCGCACTACAAATGAGAGGCGTTGCTTCCAACTGTAATCACGAAAATAGGGAGAGGGGCTTACAGTGCAATACATTTTCCTACATCTAGATGGTGTCATCGGACAAAAACTCCAAGCAATGATAAATGACTTGCATTGTATAGCACTTTTCAGAGCCAGAGGACTCTAAAGCACTTCACACTACAGTGTATCATTCATTCATTCACACACTCATTCACACTCTGATGGTAATGAGCTACAGTGTAGCCACAGCTGCCCTGGGTCACACTGACAGAGGTGAGGCTGCTGTATACAGGCACCACCTGTCTCTCTGACCACCACCAGCAGGCGAGGTGGGTTAGGCGTCTTTCCCAAGGACACAACAGCAGGATTCTCTGGGCGGGAGTGAGTATCGATCCTACAACCCTGCCTCCTGAGCTACTGCTGCCCCTAGATTTCTGTCTAGATTTCTGCTTTAATAGATTTGTACATTTTTTTTCTCTTTTAAGTATATTTGAGGAATTTGTTGTGTGATTTTCTTTTCATTAGGTTCAAAGGAACATTGTGGATGAGCGAGGAGCATCCCCTCTCCCTGGTGGAGCAGGTGACCCCCGTCATTGACCTCATGGCACGGACCAGTTCCCATTTTGCACGGCTACGAGATTTCGTCACCCTGAATTTCCCCCCCGGATTTCCTGTTAAAATAGGTGTGTGACATTTCCAGTAGTTCTTGGTTATCAAGGCTGCATTTTAAGGAGCTTTTTGATTCTTTTTTCTCTTATAGAGATCCCCCTGTTTCATGTGCTTAATGCCAGAATAACATTTGGTAATCTAAATAAGTGCCGCACTGAAAAAGACGAAGAAGAAGAAGTGGGCACATCGGCAGCTACCACGCCATCATCTACTATGGAGGATTTAGCATCAACAGGTAGTAAACAAGCCAGAATTGTTGATTTTTAAGAGTTATTGATTTTTTTTTTATTTTAACCTCATCCTGGGTTTTATCCGCTCAGCACCGTCTCAGTTCCAGGTGTGTCCCTCAGTGTTCGAGGTGCCGGCGAGTTATCAACGCAGAGGGGGCAGCCGTCACACGCCTGCGCCCAACAATGATGAGGAGCTTTTGCAGTACGCCATCCATCAGAGTCTCCTAGATTCTCAGCGAGGCCCAGGCCAGGTCAGCACACTCACTGATTTTGTTTATTTAGTAGATCACAGCTTTGTTTTGCATTCTCCTGCATCCTTTTCATGCCTGTTGGGTTTATGTGGTTGCAGCAGGGGATCTGGGACAATGCTAATGGGGAATTTGCAGATTTAGTGCCAATCAGCCAAAATGACGGGTAGGAACAGGTTTGAATAATAATAAATGCGGTAGAGCAAAATTTGACATAATTATTTGAATGTCCTTCTAGGAGTATCCCAGAGGGGGTGCTGGTGGATTATGAAGATGCTTCCTACACGCCAACCACTTCCATCTCTGATTCAGAGCTCCGCCTGGCCATGGAGCTCTCAGCTCAAGCTCAAGAGGAAGAGGAGAGGAGGAGGAAGCAGGAGGAGGAGGAGCTGGAGAGGATTTTGCAGCTATCGCTCACTGACAAATAAAAAGGGAATTTTTTATAACTTTTCCAGATCCAGAAGCAACCAACACACCTCAGATTTTCCTCCTAACCTCCTCCTATGCAACCACAGATTATTTTCTGTAATGACATGACCTCGTGCATTTAAAAGTAAACTCCTTTATTTTCCAGAAGGTATTTTTGATAAGGCCATACACTTTTCTATAATTCCAGTTTGAGATTTAATTTTAAGTCACTTGTTCCGGTCCAGAAACTTGCAGCAGCATCCATCGCCATGTTGGATATGAAGGTTCTATGAACAAAAATGTTTTAGTGGATTTGGAGCTGTGGCACATCAAGTAAAAGAAATCAAACTTCTTCTTTTTTTTATCTTCTCAGCACATGCTGCGTCTAATATTTTAGAGAACCAGAAGAAGAACCTCTTTCTGGGGGAATCTTTGAGGAGTGTGGACCGAAAACACCAGCTTTAAGGATGAGGCGTCTTCCTGGATAATGAAAATCTCAGGGTTTCAACGTTTTAGATGACCCTTTTTGCTTTGAAATAATTCATCAGTTTATTTCTTGCTTCCATTTTAGCTTGGTAACGATGGTGCAGGACGGTACTACTCCCGCATATCAAAACTAAATCATGACTTCAGAAAGTTGGGATCGTTGAGCCAAATATTTATTTAGAAATTAATTTCTGTGTGATTTTGTGAATGTACAGTCTGATGATGGGTGGATAAAAAAGGCTTGACAGGGAACTTTAAAATCAGCTGCATGGTGACAGATCTGTGCTGGAACAAGGATGAGCGCCAGGTTACCTTAAGTTTTAATACTTGCCCTTAATATGCAGTTTTAGGGGAGGGGGTATTTTTTAAACCGTCACCTCAGTTCCGAAATGCAATAACCAAGACTCTGTGGATTTACAACTTTTCTAGAAAGTTACTGTAGCAGCGACTGTTTGCATTTCGTAGCCGTGAACAACTGGAAGCCTCTGTCTCAGATGGAGCACGTTCAGCTGCAGGATTTACATGCATGTGCCAAGGATTGCTCTGCAAAGTCGAGGTTCAATAGATTCATGCCGTGCCACGAGGTCTAAATTTCCTGAAAAAACATTTTTTATTAAAAGGATTTTTGTATCTAAATCAGTAAAGAGTAACAGAGTGACTGAGTCACGTGCTTTAACAACTTTTGGTGATTTCACTGACAGCCGACCACTTTTTGAAGCTCTGGTTTTCTGCTTTGATGCATTTTCAACTCAACCAAGTGGCCGAACTAGTGACCACTCGGCTTCGACGAGGCGAAAAGGTTTCTGTAACGCGCCGTTTCTGCTTGGATATAATTTTAATCTGTTATTGTTTTAAAAGAGAATGTCTGTTTGAAAAATGCTGTTTTTAAAACGTTCTAAAATAAAAGCACTTTATTCCATGAAGAGTAGTGTGTGTGTGTGTGTGTGTGTGTGTGTGTTGAATTACAATTGGGATGGTGAACTAAAATTAATCTTGCCATTTGTCTTCATTTTTGAGTAATAAAAACTTCTCAAATCTAACTTTCTTGATTTATCTGCATTGAAATGATTGTTTTTATCTTTGTTTTTTGCTTTTTTTAAAAGTTCATTCCCAACCTCCAATATAATTCTGTGAGCACTTTGGATAATTCACAGCAGAACACACAAAGGACTCTCAAGCACTACAGTTTCTGTAAAATAAATAAGTTTTCATACAACATTTTTCATGTTTTGTTAAACTATTTTTATATTCACCAGTTCACAAAACTGGCGACTGGTTGTATTTTATGCTATTTTTCATTTTTTACATTTATATTAACACAAAGCATTAACTCATACATGGTCTGTGTATTTAAACTCATTTAAATGTGAAAAATTATGAAAATAGTTATTTCTAGGTTGTTAATTAGGATACAGAATGTGGTTTTAATGTTTTGATCTTACAATAAGCTTTAATCAGTTTGAATCAGCCAAACTGATGTTGATCAAAGCTGTGATCATTTTGCTACTTTGTTGGATTTATGCATCAGTTTTTAAATGCATCATTAACTGAATTAAATCCATTTAATAACAGATTTTCCTTCAGATATGAAGTCTGAATAAATTAGGACAAAACAGAAAGAAAAACATAGAAAAGAAGATTCACACATGAACATTATATACTGTTTTAAAAAATTTTTCATTTTTAATAAATAAATAAATAAATATGCATCCAACAGTAGAATTTCAAAAGTTTTCAAACGCCAGCACATTATTTGTTTTTGGCTCATCATCCAGCAGCAGTGTGGACATTCCCACCCACCCCAAAATAAAAATAAAAATTACTTAATATGTCGTTGGAGAAAAGGTTTGCTGGATTCAGGACAGATTCAGATGTTTTTCTTTCATCCCGTGTGAAATGCAGATGTGTTTTGTCCTTTTCCAGCTGTTTTATCCCCATTTCTTCTCCAGAGACGAAATTCATCACAGCCGATGGGAACTTGCCCTAGACCATTTCTGAAAATCACTTTCTATAGGTAGATCTCTGATAGTATGGCATGTGTCCCCTTTGTCCATGTTCACTTTCTGTCTTCATCCAGATCTTCGGACCTTTGGAACCATATTCCGTTGTTTACACGATCAAGACAAACGCAAACACATTTCTAAAACCTGAAACATTTCAAACGTTTTTATCAGCAGGACTTCCTGGTGACAGATGTCAGAGACCGTCTGATCGTGTCCGGACAGGTCCTTTCCCTGGTCAGCGACGGGACAGCGGTTTGTACACACACACAGCCATGATGATCATCAACAGCAGCAGGACAGCGAGCACGCTCCCCATGATGACTGGAAAAAACACACGTGCGCGCGCTCCTTTATTAATGATCACAATTAAAAACAACAGGCCCTGAAACAGCCTGCCAGGGTCTCATTCCAGACTCTGGGGCTTCAGTCTGGATCCGTCGGGTCTTACCTAAATTCTGCTTCTGCAGCACCTCATAAGGTCGCTCTGTCAGCCTGGACTCGTCCTGCTGAGCGCTGATTATCACAATAAAACTCATGATTACAGCTGGAGGGATGAGAGGCAACATCGTAGTGGTGGAGGAGAGGATGGCGGCTTCCCCTTCCACTGCTTCAGGGTCCTAAAGCCGGTGAGGTTCTGCTATCATATGGTTAAAGGTGACATTATGCAAAACTCACATCAGTTTGTGCTGCCATGTGGGTCTTTACTGTCTCCATAAACATTCCGTGTTGTGAAAAACAAAAAATAAAAATATGTTAATGCCATGACTCCCAGTCTTTCACCCTCCTCTGCCTCTGCTGCCTCCTCATCAAGCCCTCAGCCACTTCATTCATCTCACCTGTCCCTGTCATCAGCTCATTACACACACCTGCTCCCCCTGCTATATATTCACCAGCCAGCCACCAGTCCCCCGACAGATTATTGAACACTTTTTGTTAGTAGATCTTCCAGCCTTGCACCTTGCCTTACTGCCTCTGGACCTCGTTTTTTCGACTGACCCCTGCCTTGAACTCTGCCTGCCACCACGACCCTCGCCTGTCTACTACCACGTCTCCAGCCTGCTCCCTGTACCTGCTTGTCCCGACCTGGTTTTGACCCACGCCTCCTCTCCGACTCTGTCTCCTGCCTCGCCCTCCTCGGGTACGCCACATCTAATAAAGACTTTTTATTGAACTTTTACTGTGTTTAGTGTCATCACGGGGCTTCCAAGTTCTGGTCGTGACAGTTAATCTGTTTTCTGTCAGTGTTGCTTTTAAGAATTGTGTGCCTAAAACAAACTTTTTCAAAAAGTCCTTGTTTGTGATGTCACAAATAGGAAATAAAAATAGAACCACTTCTCTCTGCAAGAGAAAGCTGCTGCTGGAGGAGCAGCAGCTCTACTCTGAGCCCCTCCCTCATGTTGAGCTTCTAAGCTTATAGTAGCCTGAGCGGTGAATGGGTGGGAGTGGCCAGAGGCAGCAACGTGTTTTGTTAAAGTGGCAGAGCCCTGAAATAGCTCACTATGGAAGGTACTGAAACTTTCAAGAATAAAACTGCTGAAATTTCTTTATGTGAGCGAGAATTAGAGTAAACAACTTCATGAACATGTTTTTTACTGATCATAAAACAATTACAATTCAAGACAAAAAGCCATAATGTGCCCTCTTTATCCTTTGTTTATTTAACACATCTGCATTGGTCTTTAGTAGGAACGAATGCCTTGTAAGTTGTACTTTGGAGAAACAAAGCTCCGGTGCTCCTGTTTCAGGTAGAAGTGAGCCACATCAAAGCTGAGCTTCAGGCTGCAGGATTTGGAGTCTTATTCCCTGATATTTGGACATCTTGTCTCGGATTGGATAACAGCAACTTGACTCTGACTCTGCTTTGCAACGCTGATGTTTTATCTCCACAAACATCACAATTCTATCGTGTAATGGAGTTGCTAATTGTTACGGCCAGCTGTAGTATTAGAAAGTAACACGAGTAGGCAAGAATTCATTTTTCAAGCTTTATTCAAACCTGTGTCACATGTAGCGGTATCAGGCATCCATCTTAACTCCCCCTGCACTTCTTCTCTCCTACCTGTTGTTCTATCCTATCCTGCCCCCTAGTGGCAGACATCACGCTAATGCTAACAGTTAGCTACCACTAGCCGAGACATTCTCTGCTGTTTCCCGGTTGCTAAAACAACAACAGCGTTCACCGTCTCGAGTCAAGATCAAGAGTCCATGAATGTTACAGTGTGACGTAGATGTGTCAGGCTTTACAAATCCTGGAGTTTCACCATGTATTTTCTCAGAAGCTAATGCAGGAGATCAGTGTAGGAGGCTATTTTCATGTTCGGCCTGTGCAAAGAACTCAGTGACTGATTATAATCAGCTATAAAATAAAAAAATATTTTTTCAGTGTTCCACACCTTTGACAGACTGAAGCCTCATTCAAACAAAATGTGGAACATTTGCGGTCCGGTTTCCATATGGGTTCCGCAAAAATCATTGAATCCAGTCAGAACCTTTACACCGGATATGAGGCAGCGCAGATCAGGATGCAAAGTTCCTGAATGTTTCTGCATGGAGTCTAGTTAGACGTTGCATGTGGATCGTCAAATAGTTAAAAAGAAATGAGCCAGACAGGAAGTGAGAAGTGTTCCTAAGGTGTGCATCCAGTACATTTCAAAATAAAAACCTGTTTCACATTATTTTGCCAGCTTTAGTTTTATTAACCCTCTGGAGACATGCGTTGCAGATTTGCAACGTTAAAACCTGTCTGCCTGGTTACTCCACGCACGTATTTCATGAGCATTTTTAACTCAGAAGTTCCTCCGAAGGACTTAGTTGTTCGTCCTTTTATCAGAACTTATTATGAGCCTGAGAGGGTTAATAATGACAGGGATATCAACTCACAATGCTTGATTTTTATTTTATTTTTTACAGGTAAATTTATAAAAGTATCATGTCAATTTTCTAATCATTGGTGCTCTTGTGAGCAGATTTCCGAAGACATTCTGCACAATTTAGTTCACATTTTCATCCCACAGAGCCTTTTTCAGAAGAACCAAGCCAACAATTTATTTGTCATCTTTGAGCAAATACTACAGTAAAATTATTTTACTGTTAAATTCACAGGATGTCAAACTACAGAGAAACTAAGTCTCTTTTATTTGTATGCCATTTTTTCGCAAAATCACAAAATGTTTCACATAATACAGAATAAAATCCAAAAAACAGTCAAACTTGAGAATAAGACGAGCTAAAAAAGAAGGTAAAAGCCAGTTTAAAAAAAATTTTATCACGCAGAAGTAAACCAAGTGCGATGAAACAAAAACATGGACAATAAATTCCAGATCAAACTTGGTAATGAAAGGTTTTAGGTTGGAGACGTAGTCCACAGCTTCTGTCACTTTTCTAACATCTGAAACATCAATGAAAAGTTGACAGAAAGGTCAAGCTCTAGATAAACATCATTACATCATCTCTCTGGCAGACTGACATTTAGCCTTTGGGTTTTTGTCTCGTTCCTCCATTAGAACATGCATTGCGGTTGTAAACTCTCCCAGCTGTCCACAGCTAAGCAGAGAAGACTAATGAGTAATATGAAATGTCACCCATGGTGGCCAGAAATTAAAACTGGAGGCTTTCCAGCTGCATTCGCCGTAATCCAAAGTCAGAGGTCCTGTTTTAATTGGATGAATAGAACGACTTCCACACGTTGCACAAATCTGTATTTGTCAACTGAGGAGGTGCAACTAGGTTAATAGGATAAACAGGAGAAAGCTGCCTTTAGTGGGGCCAAAATTATGAAGCATAAAGATTTTTGTTCATTAGACTGATATATGCTTCACACCATTCCTTTTTTAATGAAATTTAAATTTTTTAAAGTAGCAATACAGTATCTTCAATTTTAAGCTAGAGCTTTAACATTGATCTCAGTGATTGTTGGGTTAGAAACTTGACCAGTTTCAAATCTGACACCCCTCTCCATCCCTCTGTTGACCAAAAACCGCACAGTTTTGTGGAGCGGGTAGGTTCGTCAGGTCGTCGATCATCAATAAAAAGCACAAGAAACAGATAAAGAAGTTTGTTTTTCTGTTGACATTATGGAAGTAAAAGTGATGACTTTAGAGGCGAAACAAAGAGCTAAAATCGGAGTGAACACTGGCTGGCTCAACTAGTTTGAGGGAGCTAGCGATTAGCGTTTTCAGTTCACAATCGATCGTCAATAAAAAGCACAAGAAGAAGAAGTAGAAGAAGCTTTTTCTGTTTGCATCGTGGCAGATCATGGAAAAAAAATTTGAGAGTTGTCTTTGAAGGTGAAGCAAAGAGCTAAACCGGAGTGACCATTGGCATGGATTACACTAGTTGAGGGCAGGCGCGCAGATAGGGTGGGGGACGGGGGGGATCTGCCCCCCCCCCCCCCCCCGATTCAGATCGACCCTGATCCGTCCCCCCCATCAGTGTGTGAATGTGTGTGAATGAATGAATGATACACTGTAGTGCAAAGCGCTTTGGAGTCCTTACTCTGAGAGGCGCTATACAAGTGCGGCTCATTTATCATTTATAGTGTTGATCAGGCAGAGCTTTGTTGCCAGCGTTCCACTGCATAATGGCTTCAGACACGCATATAAATGTTAGTTTTTACGTAAACCATTGGATGAAATTACACAAACTGACTGAGCTCTAGTTGAGGCGCTTGCAATAGTTTGTGTATATGTACGTGCGTGTGTGTGTGTGTGTGTGTGTGTGTGTGTGTGTGTGTGTGTGTGTTTGGGGGAGGGTACATTGGAACTTTGTCCCCCCAGTTTGAAAATCCTATCTGCGCCCCTGGTTGAGGGAGTTGGTTATTAGCCTTTTCAGTATGCTGATTGTCAATAAAAAGCAAAAGAAGCAGTTTGTTTTGCCTGTTGGCATTATGGCAGAACCTGGAAGTAAAAGCAAGAGAGTAATGTCTTTGGAGACAAAGCAAAGAGCTAAAACCGGTATGAACATTGGCTCAACCTACACTAGTTTGGGGGAGCTAAAGGAGGCTACGAAATCACAGACTGGGTGACCTAGCTTCATTGTTACTGGACCTGTTAGTACTGTAATACTATTTTTTGTCCAACTGTGTGGATCTTTTTACTTAGTGATTTATTTTAGTATTAGCTGGCTCATGTTAGTGTGAGCTCATTGATGGCGCTACCTACAGCAGGCTGCAGCAGGGGTGTTTAGGACAGTTGCAATTCAACTTTGTACCAGTAGGGCGAAGGAGCAGGAAACTGCTCTGTGTTACTTTAAGTCTCTTTCTGGAGTATTTCTCTTTTCCAGTGGCACCATCTAAAGGCTGACAAGCAAATCACAAAAATAGTTTCTCCATTCCGCTTTTTTAAGATGGCAATTTCACATTTCTTGTTTATAAATGTGCTTCTGTAGCCGACAAACAGAGCTAAAACATATTGTTTTACAAGTATTATTCCCATGTCATGTTGGTGTTCTCATATAATTATATTTTAAGAGACTTACTTGTCCGTGAATAGTTCATCAACTCTGCATCAGCCGAGTTATTCCTTAAATCTGAAGCACGTGCGAGGTAGTCTAACGCTATTGGTTAAATCTGGTCAGCGCTCAGTTTCCTATTGCACGGAGTTCACAGTACACGATTGGACAATCACTTTTACGGATTTCTGAAAAATCATACATGATTTCTGAAAGGGGAAAACTCCGGAAAGATACTTTAATACATTGAATTTATGATAAATGGACATTAGATTTGACATGGCTTTAACTGTAATTTACATATAATAGCCTACATTTATTTCAGTCAGGTTTTTGTTAAATCAAGCAATCAATTTGTGATTATTTTCTTTATTCCAGTGACATCATGTTTATATTTTTTTACACCAAAAAGAAACAAGAAAATAAAACAATTCTGTCACAGCTGCTTGAATGATAAAAAAAATAATGAACATAACTTGTTTCTGAAAATGAATCTGTTCAGTTAAAATGATTCAAGAATCTGAATTCTGCAACATGGAACAACTGATTTAGCAACTGCAGAAAAGGAGTGAGAAATTAATTCAAACTCAAAGGTTGTGGAACCTGGATCAATAAAAAGTTGCAGAATTGGCATTTCGAGTCATTTATAGTTGAGAGCATAATGCTGGTGAGTAAAATGAAAACTAATCAAGTGAACCAATAAAACTGTCAACAATTTGTAAATAAAGACACAAATATGTTGTAATGTTCTCCAGCAGCTGCTACATGCAAACCAAACAGGGTTGAATCTGTAACGCATCATTTGTCTCATTGACTTACATGCATTCCTTTGTGATTTCATGTTATCCTGTTGAAATTATGATGAAGCTGTTTGTCTCTGTTTGAGAAAACATCGTGTCCATCAGTGTCTCTTTTATGTGTCCTGTTCTTCCTGGTTTTCAATAGAGTGTTTGACACAGAAAGACTTTGATGTTCAACCAACAGCAGCTCAGCAGGAACCATGCGTTCTGATCCACTTTCAGACCTGATCAGACCTGGCACGAATTAATTTTAATGAAATAGGTAAAAAAAATAAAATTAAAATAAGTCATTTTTTTCCATGCTGCAGTTCTTTTTTAAAACACAGAGCAGTTTTGTTTACCTGTTTTCTCGCTACGTTTCGTTTGCAGCCAACGAAACGTAGCGGGAAAACAGGTCAACAAAACTGTTCTGTGTTTTAAAAAAGAACTACAGCATGGAATTAGAGATACGACACAGCAAGAACACACCTAAGAAGTCGGTTTGTTGCTTTTGCGACTTTCTTTAAAGTTCTAAGGTGGATTTAAAGGATTATTCTACTTTTCTTTTAGATAATGAGAACAGTCATTAAAATAATTGTTAGCAGCAAATCTCTCTGACTGTTTTGATCTAAATAGTTCAATTTAACCATCAGAATCCTGCAGAATGTCTTTTAACGTGTGGGACACACATGCACATGGGTCTTGGTGCACAATATTCAGGAACTGGAATTGAGCCACATCGTAGCTGAGCTTCAAACGGCAGGATTTGGAGTCTTAATTCCTTGGACATCTCGCCTCTGATTGGCTAACAGTAGCACAACTTCTGACTGCAAGGTTGATGTTTTATCTCCACAAATACCACAAATCTAAAGGAGTTCTGCCATGTTGTAGAGTTGCTACCCCTTAGTGGTAGATGCAACTCTAATGCTAATGGTTAGCTTCTACTAGCTGAGACGTTATCTGCTGTTTCCTGGATTCTAAACCAACAAGATGGGTAAGTCTATGAATGTTAAGTGACAGTGTGACATTGATTTGTCAGGCTTTTCAAATCCTAGAGTTTCACCATCTATTTTCTGTCAGAAGCTAATGCAGCAGATAGGCGTAGGAGACTTTTTAATGTTCAGCCTGCATGAAAAAATTGGACTGACTGATTATAGTCAGAAATAAGATTTAAAAAATGTTTTTCAGTGTTCCACACCTTTAATGTTCATGTTTGAGCCCAGAAATAAAAAATAAAACTACACAAAGAAAACATGATTCAAACTATTTATACACTTCTTTACATAAACCAGGACAACAACCATCATAAGTTTTTCTGAGTAAGCATTGAAAATAAGCGAACAATTACATCTGCAAAAAACATCTGAACAGTCTTTAGTTAGAGTGAAAATGTTTTCCTGGAGAGGCACACATGTCGTTACCATTGTTATGTTTAATCGCGTGTTTAAGGCAGTCTGACTGGAGTGTAAATGGAAAACAACACGTGCATTTTGAATTTATTTGCAACTAACTGGTTAAAAATCAGAAAGTACTTGTTTGCATGCAGCATGTGAGACAAGATGCTATGTAGTTTTAGTTCAGAGGAAGAAAAACTCTTCCGTCCAAAGCCTAAACCTACAGATGCCATGAAATCTGATTAAAGAAGTATATTTCTGATTTAAAGATTAAATATAACACCAAAGTCAAAAGAGTTCAATTTGGCTCCTCTGAATCTAAACTGAATGCTTCTTTTAAAAACGCACATGCTTAAAAGTACAGACCACTTTGCACGGACTCCTACAAGCACAAGAACCACATTTAAACCGATGCAGGTCCAGATGACACACACACACACACACACACACACACACACACACACACACACACACACACACACACACACACACACACACACACACACACACACACACACACACACACACACACACACACACACACACACACACACAGTCAGAAGATGTGTCTATTGCTCTCCCTGTTTCTTTTAGACTTAGAGCTGTAGCAGCAAAGTGTTTGTTTATATCATCAGACAGAACAGTCACCAAATCAGGTTTGATCAAACTGGTTAAAAAAGAAATCTATATGCAGACAGAGGTGTTTGTGTCTCTCTGAGCTGCGGCAGTCATGTTGAGGCCGTCGGCGTGAACGTCAGGGATGGTCCTCTCCGGTCTCAGGCACACCGCCAACCTCTGAGGAAGGAGAACGAGGTGGAAGTCAAACGTTAGGTAGTCAAATGTGTTCGAAGGGATTTTAATCTTCACTCTCTGACCTGCTTGAGGGACCCGGGGGTCCACACTAGCTTGTAGACCATGTAGATGGGGATCCACATGAAGGAGGAGAAGCCGATGGCGTATCCGACCATGATGCTCCAGTCAGGGTACTTATAATCAAACAGCGTAAGGGGCGGGGCTTTCAGCAGGGAGCTCACGATGATGTACTGAGAGAAGAGGTAAAACGTTTCCATTTATTAATATGTAACTAAAGGCTTTTTTAGTTATGGTGATTGTCAGATTGAGTGCAGCTGTGTTGGCTTGAGGGAGGAGGGGGGAGCGGAAGCCCACGCATGCCTCAATCTCACTGGAGAGCAGGAGATGGTGCTGACCAGTCCTGAACTCCTGCTCCTGGCCCAAAGAGGCAACAGCCGTAACACGAAGCATAAAATAAGTCACGGTGATGTAATGTTCCAATTAAGAAAGATGGATGTAAATGAGAGACAAGATTTTAAACAGGAGATAGAAAATGGGACATTTCCCTGAGTGTTTTGCTAACAACAAGTCGGCAAAAGTTTGCTTTGATGCTGCGAGGAGTTCAATCTACAGAGAAGCTGTTTGGCTTCTGCTGCCTTCAAAGGCTGCTGGTCTTTTGATCTCACAACAAGCTTTCACTCATCCTTATCTGCTTCGGTCCACTTATCTCTAGATAACGTAAATGGATGGTTTCATCTTTTCAAAAGGGGGATATCTTACAGCATCCCTAATGTGTAAATACATATTGGTTTCCCGTTAAGGCTCTGACTGAAAATAAAAATGCATTTGTTTTCTTCTCTTACTGCTAGGAATGCAGGACTGATGGCCACCCAGCAAACTCTCCAGAACAATCCCGGGGCTTTGCCCAGCATCGCCTGAACGTCGCTGCTGAATCTTTTGATTCCTTAAAGAAATATAAAAATAACACATTATTTCCAAATGTGAATTACTTGGAAAAGAATCAGAAAAGCATTGAAATGGAAGTTTTTGTACCGTAGAACCAGGAAACGGCGATGGCCTCGAGGAAACCCACTGCAATGATGGAGCATCCGACTCCAAACTCCTCCAGCAGCTTCACCACGTAGGCCCCACCCTGCCAAAAGGATTATAGTTCATCACTGCGTCCGGATCTGACTAAACATCACAAAATTATGAATTTATTTAGCTTTCTTCATTAGTATATGATGGTAAAAATAAAACTTACATTTGTAAGGGTGCTCAGAGAGCCCAAAAAACAGACGATCACCAAGCACAGAACAACGAGTTCACGTCTGTGAGAGAAATGATCAGGGTATTCATCCAACACGGCGGTGATTATCGCCTCCAGTCCTCCAAACTACAATTATACACATGAACCATGATTTAGAAATCTAAATCTAAATGCTGTGTATCAGGAGGAAATAGAAATAAATGCAAAAATTGATGCAAAGATTCAATTGTTTCAATCCTTTGTAACAAATGAAAGCTGCTCCAGCCTTTTCTGTTCCTGTAAAACTGGAAACACCAACATAGACCTAAATCACACAGAAGCCACTCTTCATACCGTGCTGTCCAGGCCCAGAGTGATCATCATCACAAAAAAAATGATGGCAAAGAACGTAGACCCCATCATGTTAGCGATCGCCTCAGGGTACGTGATGAAGAGCAAACTTGGACCTGGAAAAAGGGAAATGCACTCACAGAGATCCAGGGAGGAAATAGCTGATTAACGTTAGTTGTTTGGTGTTAATAGAACAATTTCCTCACCTTTATCTCTGGCAACATCCTCCACCTCGACCTTCCTCATCTCTGCCATGTAGCCCAGAACCGTAAAGATCACAAACCCAGACACAAAGCTGGTGAGACAGTTCACCAGGCTGGTCACGATGGCATCGCTGCAACATGAAACATCACATTCACATCATTTGAGTTCAAGCGTTTCAGATGTACAAATATTTACTTTTTTGTTGAAAGATTTTTAAAACGTGAGCACCAAGAAATGACCTGACCATGAACGTAGCTTCGGGGGGGGGGAGGGACAGGGGGGATGTGCCTAGACCCCCCCCCCCCACACACACACACACTTTTTCCAATGTCAGTATTTGTCTCCTGCACTTTTTACCATCCCAAAACAATATTACGTTATATTAAATAGACACTGGTTGAGCACTAGAACCAAGCAGAAAACAACCGCTTGTGTTGAAGCCTGTTTCCCAGTAGAACCGTCCATCAGCTCATCTATTGGTGATACTTGCTAACATGGGATTGGCCATTCCTGCCACCTGTGTTCTGGACAGTTCTGCAGTCCTGACACTGCGTAAAAGAGCCTCTAGGCTGTAGTTTCATACATAGTTACTGTAACCCCCCCCCCCCCACCCCCCACCCCACCCCCACTGGTCCTCATGCCGGTTGTGCCCCCCCACTTTTAAAGTCAAAACTAAGTCTATGCATCTGAGACTTTTAAATAGCTTCAATTTACAGCAATAGTAACAAGGGAAACAAGTGAAAAGGTTTTGTGACATTATATTTTAAAAACAGGGCTCAAACTTCTTCTCTTTTTCCACAATTAAAGATTATATTGTTGGTTTTACTAAACTCTAACAACAATTTTTGCTATTTTAAGCCATGAAAAACTCACAAGTACAATATTTCCTTTGCAGTTTTCCAAGTTTTTATGTTTACATCCCACAAAGTGAAACTTGGAGGCAATTCAGGAAGAGAATTTGGCAAATAAATAATTGAACTGGTCTTTTATTATCTAATAAATAAACGATATGCATCGCATTCTGTTAAAGAGTGAAAAGCATGTTAAAGAACAACATGTTACAATTTTTAGCTTGTTAGTCAAAAGCAACACATTTCCCCTACGTGCAGCTCCGTGTTACTGTTGAACATTTAGAGTTCAGCTCTGCTGATAAAGTCATGATCCACCTCAGAAGTGTGCTTAGTATAAAACCAATAAAGCTTTTATTTGTAAAGAGTCCCAGCAGATCTTTCCATAGAGAACTCAAGATGTCAGCTTCTCACCCACACCAGCATCATCAGAGGACATTTAGGGTCTGTACCGATAGCAGTTATTAGTGAAAGGGTTGTAGCTGGAAAGAGCCAGGAGGACCCCAAAGCCTGGACCCAGCGAGAAGAAAATCTGAGCTGCAGCATCGACCCAAACCTGGAAAAAAAAAAAAAAAAACATCAGGGAATCCAGAATCTGGAAAGTTTTTTTTTCTCTCATTCAGTTTCAGCAAATACTAAAAAGTGAATTCCTTTATTTGAAAATAAATAAATAAATAAAACCAGATTCAACATCTTTGTTGAAGGTGTTCTGATTTGAGAAGGCTGTGTGTGTGTAGAGGACCAGTTGCTGCACAGCTGTACGTAGAGAGATCTGAAGAGGAGCTCGCATTCGGCAGAAAAAAAGCGCTGGATATCAGCGAGGGAGACAGAAAGGGACGCCTTTGTCATCGGGCAGAAAATCTAAACCAATTATGCATCTGATTATCCTGCTCTGTGGCTTATTTATGCATCTCATTTCTGTCTCATCCATATTCTCGCTCAAACAAAGCACTCGCACACATTTAGTAACCAGATCAAGGTGGGGATAGATGTATGCTCTTTTAGGATAATATTCTTTATTTTGGGGAGGTAAAAAACGATAATGTTTTTGTGATAGTGCATTTAGTTAATCAAATTATTAAATAAACAACAAAACTAAATATTTGTCAACTTTTTTTGTCTTTATTTAGATTTTCACCCACATTTTTATTTATTTATTTATTTTAGGTGGCAGCAAAGGTGACAAAAATAGCTGAAATTTAGCTTTATTCTAATTACTAGCTGGTGGTTTTCAGGCATTTTAATATTTACAGACATGATAGAATCTTAAAAAATTTAATTAAATTAAAAATCCTCCTGATTTAACTCACACTGGTCTCCAACAGCTTGTCCCACTGAGGTTTCAGATAAAACACCACACCTCTCCAGGCTCCTGGCAGGGTGGCACCTCGGATCAGCAGGATGAACAGCACGATGTAGGGTAAAGTGGCCGTCACCCAAACAACCTGCAGGAACGATAAAAAGAACTAAGACATAAAACTAAGTTTAAAGTGTATCCAGTCCTTAATTAATACTGAGTCGCTACCTTCCCAGATGTCTTCACTCCCTTCCAGAGGCTGAAGTAAACAATGGTAAAAATGAGAAAGAGGCAGAGCATCAGCTGCCAGCGAACCCCACCGACGTTCCTCAGCCCCGAGGACTTGTGGATCTCTAGAACGTTTCTCCTGTTGAAACAAAAAACACTCAAATCATCACGTTGTCACCAAAGAAAGGCAGGGCTTGGCGTACAAAAATACCCTGATGTTTGTGAAGGCGGTTACAGTAAGGCTATTTATACTTGTGGCTTCTGTTACTCACACTTACATGCACTTACGTGTAAAATTCCTCTGCCGGAGACCTGGAGGAGTTCGTCCAAGTCACGTTATCCGTGCCAAAGTAGTTGGTGCAGTCAGGGGTGTTCCACAAGTTGTCACAGTTGGTCCACGGCAAGATGCTGGAGAAGGAGGAGTAGAAGTAGAAGAGGGCCCAGGCGATGATGGTGTTGTAGTAAAAGGACACATACAGAGCGATGATGCATATGGCATATCCTATACCTGAAATAAGAAGATGTCCATTAGATATCAGCACTGTATTCAGATTACTTGGATGAGCTGTTTGTTTTAGAGCTGCTTGGTGATGGCCTCACCTTTGAAAATGGGACAGATGTGTTTCCAGATGGAAATCGCTCCAGTTCTGTGAAATTGACCCAGAGCCAGCTCCATGTAGAAAAGGGGCACGCCTCCAAAGATGGCCATCAGGACATAGGGTATCAGGAAAGCCCCTGCACAGAGGCAAGGAATAAACCAGAGCATTATTATGATAACTTAAGGAAAAACTTCAGTTTTGTCTTCATTTACTGAAAATAGATGAAAGCTCACAGGGACCAGAGAAAAAATCTGGGGAAAATATCTTTGTTTCAAAATATTCGTGCTCTTATTATGATTTCTATATTTTCTTTCATTTAAATGAAATTTGAAACGTGTTTAAATGACTTTTAATTTCAAAACACTTGATTAATTTAATGTTGAAAGTTAAATCTAACTTCCCACATCACACAGTGACCTTAGAAATAAACCTAAACATGATCCTAATACTTTTATATGCATTTCTAAAATGACATTTTATTCAATAATGTTTTTTCAAATAGGAATATGACGGGATAAAATAACTAAGCTACCGCCCAAAAGGAAACACGTGAAAAGTTTATAATGAACATTTCTGAGACTTGAGCCGATTTTGGCACCATGGACAGTTCCTCCTCTCACCGCGTTTTTTAAATATCTTTATTCCCTTTGGAAGTTTAATTTCGTTTTATTTGTAAAACAAACTTACCTCCTCCGTTTTGATAACAAATATACGGAAATCTCCAAACGTTTCCAAGATCCACTGCGAAGCCAATGACCGAGAGGAGAAAATCCATCTTCTTGCTCCACTTGTCCCTGGAATCCGTCTGCGTGATGACCGGCACCGTGACGGCGCTGTAGCCGGGGTTCGGAGAGCCCTGCTGGGGCAGACTGCCGGCCATGCCCGATGAGTCCTGTCGGGACACCGGACTGAGAAAAGTCTGAGAGAGGAGCAGGTCCACAGAGGACGAGGAGGAGGAGGTCTGCTCTCTTGGTGATGACAGGACCGAGTGGGAGGAGACACACCTGTCTGGGGAGGAGATCAAAATGATCTAGACACCGCCAACACTCAGGATCATCTCAGTTAGAAAAGTAGAGATCAAAAGTTTTTATGCAGTTTTCAATCATTTAAAAAATCCCAAATAAACTATTTTATCAAAAAGTAGCACTGTGTGTGTGTGTGTGTGTGTGTGTGTGTGTGTGTGTGTGTGTGTGTGTGTGTGTGAGAGAGAGAGAGAGAGAGAGAGAGAGAGAGAGAGAGAGAGAGAGAGAGAGAGAGAGAGAGAGAGAGAGAGAGAGAGAGAGAGCAGGTTCTCTGATGGGCTAATGTGGTTACCAAGGTGTTTTCCTTGAGGACCCCCTTGCTCATGTCCAAGACAAGCCAGGACCCCAACCCCAACTCCTGCACACACACTGGAGTTGGCCATAAGAACCAAGTTGTTTTTTTTTTCTGATTAAAAAAGGAAACTGAAAATAAATTAGATGAAACTGGATTTTTAATTATCCTTTGGATTTTAACTCAAAATTAAAAGACAAAGTCAAGAACTCTTTGGTTTTCACATTTAATGTTAAATGTTTCAGATCAGGACAAGGTTGACTTGAGCATCTTAATAGTTCTTAACAGTTTTTATTATAGATTGTGGCTGTTGTGTGCTCATCTTGTTTTAGGTTTTTATTGTTGATTTGTTTTACCTTGTACAGCACTTTTTTTTTAATTTGTTCATTTCAGGCACAACAAAATACATACATAAAACATAAAGAGCACAAAAACAAGAAACAAAAATTACCTGAAAAGGAGTGGGACGACAAAAACGTATTAAATCCCACCCCTATACTCACTCATCAACTAAAAAAAAACAATAAGCTTCCCGCAGCTACGCTCATCGTAGCAAACCAAACAACCCATCATCAGCTCCGGGCACATGCAAACATCACAACAGCAGCTCGCAAACAACAAATAGAACCTTCATAACTGAATACAGCATATATTAATTATAAATTGTGTTACCACAGGTAAACAGGCAATAATAATTACATAGTAACAAACACACATACATATACATACATACATGTGTATCAGCACACACATGTACATATATGTACATACATACGCACACACAATTTATTTTTTTATTATTTATTTATTTATTTTTGGTTATCCATACCAGCAGTGGTAAGAGAATAGACATTGCAGAGCACACTAAAACCATCATTGAGTATACTGTGACCAGACCAACTGTTTGTAGGGGAATTTAAATCTATGAATGTTATTGCATTGTTTCAGTTGTAAACTCAGACTGTTCCTGATTTTCACACCACATACAAACACACAAAAGCCTTTGCGGGTTGTTCGAGTTCTAGGTCATTTGGATTCTCCAAAGCCTCTCACATTATAAACCCTTTCTTGAATTTCAACTATAGTTTGTAAATTTGCAGGTAGAAGTTTATTAAAGGCTTTGTATAAGATTATGGATGTATTGTAATTAACCAGATCCTGGAATTTTAGTAATTTTGCTTGAAGAAAGAATTTTTGAGTATGATCTAGATAACCAGCCTTGTGAATAATACGAAGTGCTCGTTTCTGTACTGTGACTAATGGATTAGTTGTATTTTTATATGTGTTTCCCCACACTTCCACACAATATGTAAAATATGGAAGAAGCAGGGTACAGTACAGAGTACGAAGTGCATCTTTATCAAGGTATGGTTTCACTTTGTTCAAAACTGCGAGGCTTCTGGAAATTTTGGTTTTTGTGTCTGACGTGGGGTTTCCATGAAATTTTGCTATCAATTACAACTCCCAAAAATTTGTTTTCACTCACATTATCAATTGGTACACCATCAATGTTAATTGGTAATTCTGTATTATATTTTAAATTACCAAAAATCATTGCTTTAGTTTTATTTATATTTAATGATAATTTATTTATATCCATCCATTTTTTAAAATTTCTTTTAGCTCCCTGTTTGGCTGTAGCTTTGCTGCTGTAAATGCGCTCTATAAATAAAAATTGACCTTGACCTTGACCTTGACCTGACCCTGTAAATGAAAAAGTAACTTTAAATGTTTGTGGTACTGGTGACAATCCTTTCATTTCTCTGTGGAGACATTTTGGCCATGCTTTTTGCAGAATTAGTTTATTAAACCATTTGGTAATGCTAACCTCAGTTAAGTCCAAATGTTGACAAAAACAGATTGAGATCTCTCAGAAAGTGCAGAGAGCAGGATGTGTCCAGGTCCTGAGGCAGCAAAGCAGCCCGGACCTAGCCAGGCCTGCCAGACTCGCCCTCGGTCTAATCTACACAGAGGACGATGCCTTTGCTTCCCATAAGGAAGCATTGGCATGGTTGGCCAGACTACCACAGACCATCACACCACCATCACCGTGTTTGAAAAGCAGTTAGTTTACAGCAGATGTAACAGTCACATACATTAATTTGAAAACTACCTTCAGTATACACCTTTATGTCTATTGTATCCACTCAAGTTTTGCTGTTTGTTTGTTTGTTTGTCTTTGTCTGATGTAGAAATGTGTTGATCTGAAACATTTAAATGCACACACAGAAGAGATGTGTGAGGGAGTGAATAAAGGCTGGAGAAACGATCAGCTGAGGAAAGAAAAGTCAGTTGTTCTGCCAAAGGGTAGGGGCCCCTGACAACATAGGAACAAATCATCTGACTTTCTAAACACACTCTCCTCCCGTCAATCTGCTGTGGAACCGGAGCAGAAGAACATCAGACTGACAGGAGCCTGTATCGGATGCTCTGCTGCCTGTTGGAGCCCGTCGACTCTAATCATGACCATGATGGTCCTGATCCACACACAGATCTCACCCAGCCTTAGCGCTCCTCTCCGATGAGTTTTCTTCCACATGCATCATCATTGACTTTTGCCTTTGACACCAATACGCTGAAAATGTTGATTTTCTCTTGATGACCGGCAGAGACTTGCTGATTACTGAGGCAGATGTCCAGTCATGACACCTAAGGAAATTATTAACACAAACGATCTAAAGATGGTCGCTCCAGAGAGGGAATCCTGGGTTCAAGATGTAAAGCAGGGTCCAGGCCCACTGCTTTCAGGCTGTCATGTTGTGTTATCACTCTGACTTCTCACCTCCTGATTCTCCTGACAGCTCAGAGCTGCAGGCAGAGCTGCAGCCACAGCCCTAGGCCCTGATGCCTCAGCTCACTCTAGATTATTGGGCCTCCTTTTGCTCATGTTCTGTCTAACTTTACTGAGTGCATGCTCTCACTTGTGTGCTGCATATAGAGGTGAAAACTGTTGCTGTGTTCTGTTAAAGGCTGAACAACAGATCTATTTAGATTTACTTGTTCCTCTATTTAAAGATGAAAGCTGACATTACTCTACTGTCATCTTCTGGACAGTATGAGTTACTGACAAGTATTAATATAACTGTTCTGTCCACTACACACAAATGATATAGATCATTTTATTTGTGTATGTTCAGCTTTGTTTATGTGTTTTTATTTGATAAATATACTCTTGAACATTATGAAGCATCCTTGCTTATTTATTTTTGCTTCCAACTGCATTTTAAACACTTTAATCATCACCTCCCTGTGTTGAAATGTTAAATTAGTTTTAACCCTTTACCAAGCTGATCTGGACATGTTTTCATTCTGTTGTTGTCTATTATACTTCCTGTGTTGGTGTTTTATTTTATTTTTACTCAGGTATAGTCTGTTGTTTCTTATGCTGCACCTTCTGCACTGTGACTGCTCAGACTTTTAACTTGGCATTTTCTTTTTTAATCAAATTTTATTTGTGTATTGTGAAATGTTGAATTTCATTTGAATTTTATTTATTTTTATTTTACCATATCCTTTATGTTTTAGCCGCTTGTGGTGCAAGGTGACTCAGTGGGAGTGCCCTCAATTACCTATTCTATTCTATTCTATTCTATTCTTTCTGTTTTGTTCTATTCCCCTCAACTCTACTCAATTATTTTCTATACAATACTACTCTACTCTATTCTATTCTATTCTATTCCATTCTCTTCTCTTGTATTCTATTCTCGCCTCACCTCTGTCAGTGCGCCCCAGGGCAGCTGTGGCTACTCGTAGCTCATCGCCACACGATTCAGTGTGTGAATGTGTGTGTAAATGGATGAATGATACACTGTAGTGTAAAGCACTTTGGAGTCCTTACTCTGAGAGGCGCTATACAAGTGCGGGTCATTCTTATTCTATTCTATTCTATTCTATTCTATTCTATTCTATTCTATTCTATTCTATTCTACTCTACTCTATTCTACTCTACGCTATTCTATTATATTCTATTCTACTCTATTCTACTCTATTCTACTCTTCTCTATTCAATTCCATTTGTCTCTACTCTATGACATTCACCTCTACTTTATTCTATTCTATTCTATTCTATTCTATTCTATTCTATTCTATTCTATTCTTAAATCTACTATGTTGTCACATTGCCTTTAAAATTTATAGTTTTGTTCATTTTGAATATGTATGGTTTTATATTTTTGCCGTTTTCCTTGCACTTAAAAAGCACATTCAGTTGTCTCTGTGTGTGAAATGTGCTCTAAAACACCTTGTCCATTTTGACTTTGAGCTGTGTAGATTCCAATCAATGCATTAGAAACAAATCTCTATTCTATTCTGCTTTGTTTCTTACACATTGATGCAATATTTTCAAGACACAGTTAGGATTCTAATTTTTTTTAAATGTATGAATAAATGTGCAACTTCAAAATTAAATCTGTGATATTTTAAAGAATTCAAGTTCAGTAAAATGTATCTAAAGCGCAAATTAAAGCTAACGGTAGCTCTTTTCTTGCGTGTATCCCATAAAACTCCAACACAATACTCACTCACAGAATGTGTCGTTTCTCATTTTGACCACAAGATGGCGGTAAAACAAAGCATTTACTCAAAAGCTGCAGGAAGCTGGAACGCAGCGCGCGGACTGTCAATAAAGCTGCGGTTGGAATATATATTATCCTACAAATCAGCCTTTGTTGAGAAACATCACATCTAATCTCAGAATGAATGTTGATATTAAACATAAAGGTTGGTAATCATGTAGCTCATTGAACTTGAAAGCTGACTGGCGCTCCAGCCAATAGCAGCAGAGCGTGCGTCTTTAAGGGGCGTGTGTCCAGTAGAGGTGGAGTCGTGAGACTCAACTGAGTGGAAAACCAGCACTCTGGTACTGGGAAGACAGGAGGAAGGATCCATTGGCAACAATCATGGCAGGTGGGAAAATGGGAAAATGAACTCATTATAATAATAACAATTTTAATTATGTCGTTTTAAATAATAGATTAAGTTTGATTTTTCAGTGAGTTAAAGCTTGTTTTGTGATTTTAGAGGCAGAGACTCGTCAGAAGCTGCTGCGCACCGTGAAGAAGGAGGTGGGTGTTATCACACCAGCAGTTATCCTGCTGGAAAAACAAACACGCTGCTTCCAGGTTACCCTAACCCTAACAAAGCCCTGCTGATGCTGCTGTCTCCCCAGGATCAGGATGAATAGTCATTATTAAAACATTATGAATGTTTTTAAGTACAGTTATTACTTAGAATAAACTCTGTTTCTTTCATTTTGTGTTATCAGACCAGAGGAAACAGATTTTTTTCTCTGTGTGTGTGTGTGTGTGTGTGTGTGTGTGTGTGTGTGTGTGTGTGTGTGTGTGTGTGTGTGTGTGTGTGTGTGTGTGTGTGTGTGTGTGTGTGTGTGTGTGTGATTATCTGGGTTTCCCACCAGAGTAAAAAGCAGATCTTGAATGAAACATCGGGATAAGCGAGTCAGCCCAACATTCAAACCTCGACAAGCTTTCATGGTTGAATATTGAGCGACGCAGATAATCAGAAACCTTAAACTATCTATATTAATGTCGATGTAAACTATCTTCGGTTTATTTATTTATTTCGGTTTATTTCAAATCCAGTGATGGAAAAAATCCTCATTCATTCATAAAAACTCTTAAAGTTCTGCTATAAGGACATCTTGTGTGTTGGCGACTTAAATCCTCATAACCCAAAACACACAGCCTCGCATCTATCTAGAGGAGTTAATAACCGTTTTTAATCTCCTTTATTTTTATTTTTTAAACGCTTTCATCACACACAGAGAGCTAGCCCTTCCTCAACCTATTTAGCATGACCTGAATTATTACATCTCCATTTGCAGGGCATTCACACTTCTTGTTTATTAGATGTGAAAAGGGTTTTAGTCCTTCAGACGGTAAAACAAAAGTACATTTAGTTCTTGTACTGTCCTTTGAGCATGCATATTTGACCAAATGGCAAAATGAAATATCACCAGCTAAAAAAGACCATAATAATAAATCCATTTGCTCCCACATGATGTCTTGTTTAGCCGATGTAGCCTTGAAGTAGCTGTTGTTCTACTTTGGCATATTGTTCATATTTGTTGTTTAACTATTTATTGTATAAGATAGATAGATAGATAGATAGATAGATAGATAGATAGATAGATAGATAGATAGATGATAGATAGATAGATAGATAGATAGATAGATAGATAGATAGATAGATAGATAGATAGATAGATAGATAGATAGATAGATAGATGATAGATAGATAGATAGATAGATAGATAGATAGATAGATATCGGCCTTGTTAGCATCTAACCTCACTGAAACACAACTTAAATGACACCAGATAGCGTCTCAATGGGTTGACAGCTTTGGGATTCAGTCCTGAGCTACATCTAATCCTCAGGTTGTGCTAAAATGAGATAATTGACCTAACAGAAAATAACCAGAGTTCACTCCATTGTCTTTTAGGGGTGTTTTCTGTTGAGTTTTTCTTTTTTTGGTGTGTGTTTCTATTGAACACCGTCGACTCTGGCAGCGCTCCAACCTAATCTCTGCTCTCCTACTGTTGTGGCCTCGAGTCAAGACGTGGAAAATTAACTTTTATTGTTGCAAATGATTTTCACTGGTCAGACAAATCCAGATCAACACGTTTTCACCTATTGTGAATGTTAATTTCAGATTGCTTAAGAAAGACAAAAACATAACGACCATTCCTGGTTCATGTTAAATGAAGGCTTTGGTTTAATCTGTGTTCCTCTGCATCCTGTTAGCAGCCTTATCTGCAGAAACCAGACCTTTCCCATGATTCAAACTGCTTTCTGTATAAACATGAAGATGTACTGACATTTAGGTTTTCTGCAGATGGAGAGTAAACTGGTGGCGTCTGCATTGTGAGACCTCCCCTTGATATCATCATTAATCCACAGCAAGGAAATTAAACCCAACTCAAGAGTTTTAATAACAAGAACATTAGTCAGCATTTTGTCTCAGCTGTGGATTTTCAATGCATTTAACGCCAAAATTCAGATTTGAGTCACTGAAATGCTAAACGTGTTTATTTGGCTTCGGTTCAAAGCAAAGGTCATCATAAACTTGAATCGATTTATTTCAGATTGTCAAAATTAGTCAAAAACTTTACAGGATATTCTCAGTGTATCAGTATTTGCTTCAGAGGCACAGGGTGTGCTCAGCGTTTTTCCACAGGAACCCAAACATTTATACTTTTAAATGAATAATTAGCTTGAAATCCACTTATTCTTTAGGTGTCGTCCCAGTGTTCTTGCTCTAATCTGTTGGCCCTTTTCAGAATATTTGCACGCTCAAATATGCTTAAAAAACATCAGTTTTACCTTTTATGGGGATGTGTTAGCATTGGCATGCATGGATGTAAAAAACAATGTTTGTTTGCATTTTCCATTGGATTTGGAGTATTTCTGCTCGATGTGGGCTGTGCCATATTGCGTCTGCATGGTGTGTGTTTACACTCCTTCCCTGTCCAGCTGGTTTTATGCCATCAGTCTGCTCAAACGTACCTGGATGTGGGCCATTATCCAGAGAGCTCTGCGTCTGCTGCAGCAGAATTACCCTCTGGCACAGAAATTGGTTTGAATAAGAACTCGTATTTACCTCGGCTTTGATTCAGAGCCTTTCTCTGTCCGCCCGTGTCACAGTGTCTCGCTTCCTCTCTTCCTTCTCTGGGCCCTTTCCTTTATAAATCACACATTAACACAAATACACACCTGTATTTGCTGAAGGAGCGGGTAAAAAAAGCAGCGCCGTTTACGTTTCCTGTTTCATACTTTTAGAGCTAAGTCATTCGAGTTTCATTTGTCTGAAGCTTCTACATCAATGCACGGTATCCGTCCTGCAGGGAAATCACCAGATAAAACTGCCGCCATGCACACAGGTGGAGATGATTACTCTGAGACTGTTATTATAATTTGACCTGTGGGTGAACATTTTCATAATGAGGTTTTAGAGGGAAGAAGACAGGAAATGCACCATAAATCAAACTAAATCACATTGTGGTTTTGATCATTGCTGTATGCTAATGAGCAGGTCAGCCTTGTACTTATAAAAAATAACATCCTGCACAGCTTTTGTCCCCTTAAGTGGTCATAAAATGAAGATGTCCATGCAGCCTGTTCTGCATACACTCATTTGCATGAATGTCAGTCATGATTAATTATTAGAGGGTTCTCATTCATCGTTGGCCCTGTAGATGATGGATGATGAAGGCTTGAGGCTAGAGACTGAGTCTTTATCTGTGTTTCATTATCTTGGCTGTGTTGTTGCAGGACTTAATTGGTGTGCTCAGTAGATCTCGTCGCTGCTTCCTTCAAGCTGTAGTGATTCGTTTCATCCAGCTTTGCTCAAATAGTGGTGTTTAATGGCTGCTGTAGCGACACCCACGTTGTTGGAACTGTAAATTCAAGTGAGGATATGTGTTGGTAAACTTTAAAAGAATCCCATTGGGTCAGATTCTTGCTTTAGTGATGCTGAATGAACCCACTGGGATACGACATCATCGCCGTAGTTCTGGGTGTTATCAGTGCTTCTAGAGGCGGGGAGCTGCAGTCGTTCTTGTTTAGGAGAGAGATGAATTCCTGTTTTTTGTGCCTCTCTTTGGCAGAAAGCGTTCCGCGGCGAGACTCGTGACATCTCCATAGAAACCCACAGGTTGCCTATGCTCAGATGC